TCTGACCGCTTCTCCCCCTTGCCAGGCCTTTCCGAGAGCTACTTTTGTTTCTTTAGCTCTGCACCCAGCAACTCCACCTGGCTGTTTCACAAACGTGTCAAGCTGAACTTGCCCCCTGTCCTTACTGTCCCACTAGATCCTCTCTAGAGCAAAGCCAGAACCTAACACACCAGCTACTGTTTCCCCACCTCTCAGCCAATCACCTTCTCCATGCTAATGTAATTTAAAACCCAAACATGAACCAGGCATGGTGGCACACAATTGTAACCCCAGCACTCAGGAGACTGAGGCAGAAGGTTCAGGCTCAAGGCCAGCTTGATGAGTCCAAGGCCAGCCTGAACTGCATAGTGAAGCCCTGTCTCAAAAGATTAAAAAATTTTACTCAAGAAAATAGAAACTGTTGGAACATGAGACAATATGTTCTATACTACACTGAGCGATACGTAGGGTCTCCCTTTATATCAATTTCAAATAGAATGCATTTTAATTAAATCATGATCAAGGACAGACTCTTCAATATATAAAGAAGTTCCAGTTTTACAAAACAATGAGCTAGACTCCAATCATTTTTTTCTATGTAAACAACTAAAATCACTGAGTCACTATGGAAAACAAATTCTCCCAAGTCACAAAGAGCTAACACAGTGAGCATTACTCAGCCAAACTGCGAGGGAAAATGTGGAGCCCAGAGGAAGTCAGCACTGAACTTTTCCCGAGACAGGGTCTCTCTATGCAGTCCAGGCTGGCCCGGAGCTCACAGCAATCCTCCTGCTTCAGCCTCCAGAGTGCTGGGGTTGCAGGTGTGTGCCACCATGATCCGGTGGAATTAATTTTGAAAGGGGTCTGAGGGTACTGGAAAGACAGGGCCTGACTACAAGCAAAGTGAAAAATGGAAAGCTATTCTCAGACCAAGTCACATCACAGGCTGTTGGCCAGCACTGAGCCTGAGCTTGACTGGGCCCTGCCCAAAAGACAGCTGTCTGGAGCCTGAAGAACAGAGAAAGAGACTGCGGGGCACCAGGCACCTGACAGAAGGGACTGTGCTGAGTCCAGCTCTAGGCCAGGCAGCACGAGCTCGCTGGTCAACAGCACAACCTGGCTGGAGGGACCACCAAAGATGGCCAAGCTGCACTGACAGTTAATTTCTTCCTTTTGATGACTTTCAAGGCTTCATAAAAATTATTACTTTTATGTGGTTTTGAGACAGGGTCTTGCTGTGCAGCTCAGACTGGCTTTGAACTCATTTTGCAGACTAGGTTAGCCTGGAACTCAAAGTAATCCTCCTGCCTCAGCTTCCCAAATGCCTGGATTACAGGCACATGCCATCATGCCTGGCTAAAATGTTACCATTAAGGAAATCTTGATGAAGGGTTTATAGAAAAATCTACAGTATCTTTGTAACCCTTCTATAAAGCTAAAGCTTCTTCTAAGGAAAAAGTACTTCAAAGCACTTTATGATAGGATTATTAAAAAATAAAAACTACAGAATATAGAAAAGCCAAACACACGTATTCCTAGCTTTTTTCATTTATTAGACCCTCAATTATCTCAGAGCACTTTGGCGATCTTTGAAGCATATTTTAAGCACTTTTCTTTGTGCAAGAGCTGCAGGTTTCATTCTACTCTTTAAATTCAAATTCACTGTCTGCTGTTCCTCCTGCTTTGGACTGTAACCACGGAGAAAAGTGAGAAGCACTGCACTGTCCCATAGTGAGGACTGAGTCACTGGATGAAGACGTGAGAAAGCAGGGAGAAACGCTGGGAAGCTCTGAACACTTCCTCCAGGACCATCCCAGGAGCCCCTGCCATCGCGTCCGTGCGCTGCTGCGGCAGGCGGCACAGGGGTGGAAACGTGCGGTCATCAGGCCTGCGTGCCCTTAGTGCTCCTCTCACGGGTGTACCTTTTAATTTTTCCCTTAGGAAGTATTTGAAAGTACTAAATAAAGCCAGATGTGGTGGCTCACGCCTGTAATCCCAGCACTCGGGAGGCTGAGGCGGGAGGATCGTTGCGAGTTCGAGACCAGCCTGGGCTACAAAGTGAGCTCAAAGCCAGCCTGAACTGCATAGCGAGACCCCGTCTCAAAAAGACAAAATAAATAAATAAATAAATAAAGTACTAAGTAAACAGAAACCGCAACGCGCACGGGACGGACCTCTCAGGGCTTGGTCTTGTTTTTAGCTTAGGTTTTAGTGTATGTGCTACCAAAGTAAGCACATGTGAGCTTATTCTGCCTCAACATTTTCTAATTAACTGAAAGGCACTTGTGATTCCTCTTCTACTGCAGCCTCGCTCCCTCATTTTTGGTGTGTGTAGGTTGTACTATAAAAAGAAAGGAGACAGAAAAGAATACGAAATTATAGGAGATAGCCAAAGTTACCATTCAGAGCCAGCAAATCAGCCTAAGCCAAATAGTGTTATTCAAAATGCCTGTGGTGGGGTCCCTAACGGTCACCTTGTGACACCCAGCGGAACTGAGTCAGCGCGGTGCTGGCGTGGAAGGAAGGGCACCTGAGGATCCTTGCCCACAGCACAGGAGGAGAGCTGGAGGGGAAGACTGCTGTGGATTCTCCTGGAGGAGCTCAGCACGCTGGTTCCCTGATATGAACACAGCTGTTCTCATCCTCAGAGGAGCTGGGGTCCTCGCCGTCACCGAGGATGGCTGCGGCTCTCTTTGGGGGAGCTCTGGTCCTTACCTTGAGTATCACTTCCTGGCTCCACTGCAGACCCCTCGCCTGCTGCCACAGCTCCTTCACCTCGCTGGGGCAGATTTTCTAGCTCCCACCGCTGTGCTTTGAGCCTTCCCAGTGAGGTCCTTGGTACAGACTCACATATGACAGTGTCGTGGGCTCTAGGCCTCCAGCTGGAGCCATGCCAGACACTGCCATGGGCTCCACGCCCTCGGCTGCATGCTTTGGTCTCTAGTGGGGGGACAGATTTCCCACACTCTTTCGCATTTGACGCTCTGAATAAACATTATAAAATAATGCTATAAATTATGGGTCCTGTGTTGTCTTTTTTTCATTTGTATATCCTGACTAAACAATGATTCTATCTTTTTTTAGGTTTTGGTTTGGTTTTGGTTTGCTCAGACAAGTTCTCACTATGCAATTCAGGCTGGCCTGGAGCTCACTATGCAGCCCAGGCTAGTTTTGGTTGGTTTTCTGAGACAGGGTCTCACTATGCAGTTCAGGGCAGATTTTGAACTTATTATGTAGCTCAGGATGACCTCAAACTCAAAGTAATCCTGCTGCCTCTGCCTCCCGAGTGCTGGGATTACAAACAAGCACCACCATGCCCACAAAATAAACACCTTTGGGGAACAATTCTCCTGGACTAGAAAAGCACACGAAGGTAGGGACAGGCGCTCCAGCCTCCATTTCCATCCCAGGCTCCTGCCAGCCTCCACCCCATCGCAGCGCCCTCCCACTATGTGCTGACTTGGCTCCGGCTTTGTCTTGCACAGCTGCCCTGAACCTCCACCCGGGCTGGCTGGTGGACAGCAATTCTAGCATCAAGATGCCGTCCCTGCGCGTCACCCATCTCCCGGAAAGTGTGCGGGAGAACTATAACAGGCACCGGGATAGCCACGGTGAGGATCCCAGGTTGCTCCCAATGAGACCCTCCTGTGACAGGCGGTGCAGTGACCCTGTCCTCTCTGCCCTTAGCACAAAGAGCGGGGAGAAATTCTGCCAGGCCCATTGTCTCAGAAGGCGGGCGGGTTTCTGTTGTCTTCCTGTCTGCTATCAGTACTAATGTCATGGTCTGATGCCATCGCTTTACAGTCGTCAATATCCAAAAGCAGGAGCCGTCATCTTTTTAGGGTGTGGCGTGATGTTTGAGCCAGGGTCTCCCTATGTGGTTCAGGCTGGCCTCGAACTCATGGTGATCCTCCTGCCTCAGCCTCCCAAGTGCAGGGATCACAGGCGTGCACCACCACACCCAGCTAGAGTCTGTTTCTTCTGCAAGTCTTTCACGCTGGTCATGGGAAAGGCATTTTCAGATTCTCTGCTGTTTTTCAGTTATGTGTATAACAGCATTACAGATGTGCCCCGAATGTTGGCTCACATTTCCTTTTTTACTATCCAAACTCATCCCCATAATGAATTCACAGCTAATCTAAAATATGTATTTTGCGGACTAGGGATTCAGCTCAGTGGTATAAGCACCTGCTTGGCAAATGAAAGGTCGTAAGTTCCATCCCCAGCACCAGAAATAAAATAAAATATATATTTGGGGGTTTGTTGGTTGTTTTTGTTTTCTGAGACAGGATCTCCCTGTGTAGGTAGGCTAGACTTGAATTCACCATCTAGCTCAGGCTGGCCTTCAATCATGGTCAGCCTCCTGCCTTAGCCTCCAAATGCTGGATGCATCATGCTCAACTGCTCTGAAATTTTAAAAGAAAATGTTTAAAACGAAACATCTGCTTTTACAGAGGGTCACCACCCACATGGATTAATAGAGTCAAATGATGAGTAACTGCATATCTTTTTTTTTGAGAAATGGTCTCACTCTGTAGTTCAGGCTGGCCTTGAACTCACTGTGTGGCCTCAAACTTGAGGCCATGTTTCTCTGCCTCCCAAGTGCTGGGATTACAGGTGTGAGGCACCATGCCCAGCGAGCAATTATATAGCTCATCCTTGGTGCGTACAGGAAAATAAAAAAATTAAACCTCAGTTTTTAAAACTGAAAAAGTCCAGGACACAGTGAATAACATGTAGGTGAGACTAGAATCCAACTTCACAAAATTAATTTTTAAAATATACTTAAAACAATTTTTAAGACCTACAGGGATAGAGATTGTACCAAGATTTTTTATGTTGACTCGTAACATGGAAAGAATCATGAAGCAGGAAATACTAATAAAACCCAGCTTGAATGTTACTCAGAAGTGCAGCAAAACGAAAACCAACTCAGCCTGCCAAGCAGATATAACCGAAATGGACTTACAAGGAAAACACAGGCTTTTGGTGGTGGTTGTTGAGGAAAAATGACTACAAACCTTGAAGACTTCAGATCCTTTTTTGCTTTTACAAAAGCATGCTCACTAAAGAGGAAAAAAAAGTCAAAATTACAGACTTTTCGAGAAATCAATCAGAAACACAAAAGCAAATATTAGAAAGTTTTCCAGAAAGCCTGGGCCCAAAAATGTAACCAACCACCCATCAAGTACCAAAATACTTAAAAAACATAACGAGGAGATACTTGTTCCTAATCCATTGCATTTTAAGCCAGACTACTGTGTGGATTCAATTGCATTTAACCGAAGTGTATGCTACCTTATATTCTCTTTCGGTTTGTTTTTTGTTTTAACTTTTTAAGACAGGGTCTCACTATGTAGTCTAGGTTGGACTTTAAATTCAGTATGTGGAAAAAAAAATTCAGTATGTGGTCCCTCACACATCCCTCAACCTTTCAGAAATTCTCCGGCCTCAGTCTCCAGGGTACAGGGATTACAGGCACTGTTATACATATACACTGCCCCATAGAAGCAGTAATGGCCAAGTTTATTCAAGAAAGTTAAAGTGAGGGCTGGGGATATAGTTCAGAGGTACAAGGTCCTGCTGGTGAGCACAAGGGCCTGAGTTCAATTCTTGGTACCAAAAAAAAGAAGGTTAAAGTGAAGAGTGAGAAACTGGTTCTGCAGAGCAAGCTTGGGACAGGTAAGAGGAGAAAATGCAACCAAAAGGCCACCCTGGCAGATGCTGGTGGGCTGCTGTGAGGGGCCACAGCACCCCCTGGATTTCAGAACCTCTTCTTCCTCATCTTCAAGCTCTGCACAGGCTGTTTGCTTCCTCCCCAGCTATTACCTTTGATCCCCACAGAGCTCTCACATAGTTGACTGAAGAAGGATTAACTGGGACTTGTGAACCAAAACCTATCAAGATTGGGAACACAGAGGCCTGATAAAAGGTTCAAGACTCTCAGTCGCCTGTTTGCAAAGTCTTGGTTGAAAATTTAAGGATCTGATTCATCAACGGTCTTATTACCTCTTTTAAAATCCTAAAAAGCTGGCGTGCACTCCTATACTCCCGGCACTCAGCGGGCTGGGGGAAGAGGATGACTGAGAGTTGGAGGCCAACTGAGGCTCACACACCAAATCCAGCGCTAGCCTGAACTAGGCAACACCCTGCCTCAAAAAACAATAAAACTTTAGAAAGCCTACTGACGTTAAATATGAAACAAACAACTTTATAGAAAAACCATTTTGATGTTTATTAAATTATTTCTAAGTTCAAATTCATAATTTATATATAAGGGGATAAAGAGACAAAGATCTGAGAATATTTCTTCAATATAATAAGTTATTTATTACAAGCTGGGCATAGCAGCACACGCTTGCCATCCCAGCACTCAGGTTCTCAAGGCAGGAGGACTGCTACAAGACTCAACCTGGGCTACACAGTGAGTTCCCAGCCAGCCTGAATTACAGAGACTTTGTCTCGGAAAACAAATTAATTAATTTAATTAAATACAAAACAAAAAATCTGAAAAGAACTTCTCAGGATGGAAGCAAATACTGAAAATCACACATTTCATAAAGAACTTACAAAGAATTATTACACCACAACAATACAAGGGTAAATAACCCTATGTTGCAATGGGCGAAGAATATGAACGTTTTTATAAAAAAAAAAAAGACATGAAGTCCCGGCTACTTGGGAGGCTGAGGCAGGAGAATAAAAAGTCTGAGACCAGCACAGGCAATTTAGAAAAATCCTACTGTGCTGCCGTGCCCGGTGGTGCACAGCTGTAATCCCAGTACTGAGGCTGAAGCAGGAGGAGTGCCCCCTTCAAGGCAGCCTGGGCTACATCCTGAGAGCACGCACACAAGGTTCAATCTCCAGCATGGCCAAAAAGAAGAACAAAACCAGATAATGGGAGGGTGAGGACAGAGACACCAGCATCTCCTCACTGCTAGTAGGGACTCCACCAGCATGGATCTGTGGCAAAGGACCTGGCGGATCCTCAAAAGCTGCAGCAGAGTCACAGTCACCCCACAACCCAGCAGTTCCACTCCCACGCCCACAGCTGAGACGTGCCATGTGGGAGGGCCACGCCATGCCACCAATGCCCCTGCTCAGCCAGAGTAACTCCAAGCCACGCCAGGCGCTGGGCACAGGCAGGCTTGGGAGCCACTAGAATACACCACCCCACAGATGGGGACGCATTGAGGGTTTGGTCACATGAAATGTGTGAAACTGACAAATCCAGAGACAGATTATGTTACTATCGTGAGTTCCTCATTTGACGGCCTGCCCATTTAATGGCTGTTGGGATGTATGACTTTTTGTGTGTGTGTGACAGGTTCTTGCTATATTGCTCAGACTGGCCTGGAACTCACAGTGATCCTCCTGCCTCAGCCTCCCAAATGTTTGTTTGGGTTACAGGCATGCACTACCTTGCTTGGTTAGTTCTGTTGAAAAACGAATTACAAATCAGCCACAGTAGTACACACCTATAATCCTGGCACTTGGGAGACTGAGGCAGGGTTTAAACTAGAGCCCAGCCCAGCAATTTAACAACTTAGAACCTTCCTCAAAATAAAAAGGGCTGGAGGATATAACTCAGTGGGAAAGTTTAGGTTTCAACCCCCAGTACTGCAATAAACAAACAGGAATTATAGCCTCGTGCGGTGGTACACACCTGTAATCCCAGCACTGGAGAGGTTAAGGCCGGACTGCAATTCAAGGCCAGCCTGGGCTGCATAATGAGAGTCTGTCTCAACAACTACAGAAAAATTACAATACCTTCTTCAGAAGGGAAATAACTCAATTATATACTAAATGGGACTAGAGGGGGTAGGGCTGGATAATTTCACTCTTTTAAAACTATCTGTGCAACCTGAATTATTTTTATAACTTACAAATCATTTTAAAACATAAGGAAGATTTTGATTTTATTGTTTTATAAGAAAAACTTCAAAAATAAAAATGTGTCCTTTCAGGGTCCTCTTGGAGCTAATTTGTAAGCCACATGAGACAAAGTCATTAAATAATACTTTTCACAGCTCTGTTCCTCACCCCTTCCAAAGTTCTCCAAGTCTGCCTTCCTGAATTCAGGTGAACAAGCCCTAGAAAACGCAAAGTTAAACATTTATCTTTCTGAAGGCTGTGGTTATCAGAAGAATTGATGGTGCGATAAAACTTCCCTCTAAACCAACCCCAAAATTTAATTTGAAAAGTATTTGCCCACAACTAGTGCGGCTAAAGACTTGAAGGCAAAACTTCAGACTTTGGGGATTTTATTTGGAAACCTGGGGAGGTGGGTTTTGTTGTTCTTTTTAGTACCGGGAATCAAACTCGCCAGGCAGGGGCTTATACCGCTGAGCTAGATCCTTGATCCCAGTGTTTTGGTGTTTTTGTTTGTTTTGTTTGCTTTTTTTTTGTTTTGTTTTGGGTGGTATCAGGAATCAAATTCACAACCTTGCACTTGCCAGGCAGGCGCTTACGCCACTAAGCTAAATACCTAGCCCTGTTTTGGTTATTAACAAGGTAAGGTTAAAAAAAAAAGAGTGTCATCAAGTGAAGAGACCCTTGCCCTCATCTCTTGAGTATGGAGACAAACTCAGGACGCAGGTCTGAGGATCATTTCTATGGTAACACTGGATAAGTAAAGACTATCCTTTATTTAGCAAATAAAGCAAAATGTAAGCCCCCTCTGTAGGGAAAGGTAACCTTTGCTTTCATAGTACACTGAGATAGGTGCCCTTAAAGTAACCAATCTAGACAGTTATCTCACGTTTTAACTTTCTCTTTCAGAGGTGAATAAAGTCATTTAATAGATAACAGAAAGCGAAGTAAAAATAATTATGGTGCGCTATGCCGCAAGTACCAGCCCCCCACGAATATAACCATTACAAACTGCAAACGCAGACTAGGGCAGACTTCTTTTTTTTTCTTTGAAATTCGCAAAAAACGAGATCTTAAAAACAGTCAAAAGCGAGTAGGTGGCATCTCGCCGCTTGGAGACCCAGTGGCACTTATAGCTTATAACTTATGGCGGGAAGTGGGTTAGTCCAGCCTCTCCCACGCGCCTGTCCAAATATGCAACTGAACACTCCAGCTTTCAAATCACACTGGGAACCGAACATGAGTATCCCCGAGCGGTCAGCGGGGTCACTGTCGCATTTCCGCAGTGTCCTTGTTTCACTTTAGCCTCTTTCCAAGGATGAGTCCAGCCGCGCTGGTGGCACACACCGGCACTCTCAGCACCAAGGAGGCCGCGGCAGGAGGATCGAGCTGGAGGCCACCTGAGAGACACAGCGAGCCCCGCTCTCCACAACTCTGGAAAGAGGATGCAGCCAGAAAACTGCAGGAGACAACCGCCTCCTTCTCGGCGCCCCAGCGGCGCGGGCGAAGGCCGGGGACGCCAGGGCGGACCCGAACCTTCCGGCACCAGGCTCGGTGTCGCCTTCCGGCTGGGCGCCCCAGCCCCCATACACTCGGTTCCGGGCCCAGACACGCCCCACTCCCGCGGCCGAGGGCCCGGGGGCAGGAAAGTGGCGATGACTCACACGCCCGGGCCTGCGGCCAGACCGCGGCCTCCCTCGCCGCCGCGCTCCCCGCCCCTCAGCCTTTCCAGATCTGCAGCTCCAACCGGAGCACCCCTCTTCCCCCGAACCCCCCTATCCCGAAGCGCGTACCTGAGAGTCCCGCAGGGCCCGGCCGCGCACGCGCACCCAATGCCACCACCAGCGCGCGTGCGCAGCAAGCCACCCCCCCCCCTCGTGCGCGTGCGCAGCACCCCCACCTCGCGCGCGCGCCGGACCAGCGCCACCGCCCGGGAGGCCGGGCGAGGCCGCGGCGGAGGCGGAGGCCCGGCGCCCTGGGCGGCGCGCGGCGCCCGAAGCCCGTCCTCCCCGCCCGGCGACAACGGCCGAGGGGAGGGGACAAGTGGCGGGGGCAGGAAGCTGGGGCTTAAAAGGGCAGCGGGCGCCGGGCGCTTCCTCGTCGCCTCAGCCCGGTTGGCCTCAGCTCCTTGCAGCCGCCGCCGCCGCCGCCGTCGCCATGTACCGCCGCCTGGGCGAGGCGCTGCTCCTGCCCCGCGCCGGGCCTTGCGCGCTGGCCTCGGCCGTCGACCCCGCCGCGCTCTTCGGCAGCTGGGCCCGCGCGCCGCCCGCCGCCCCGCCACCCGGCCTCGGGACGCCCGTCCGCCGGCGCTACAGCGAGGCGGCGGCCCAGCGCGAGGACGACCCCAACTTCTTTAAGATGGTGGAGGGCTTCTTCGACCGCGGCGCCGACATCGTGGAGGACAAGCTGGTGGAAGACCTGCGCACCCGCGAGAGCGAGGAGCAGAAGCGCAACCGCGTGCGGGGCATCCTGCGCATCATCAAGCCCTGCAACCACGTGCTGAGCGTCTCCTTCCCCATCCGGCGCGACGACGGCTCCTGGGAGGTCATCGAGGGCTACCGCGCGCAGCACAGCCAGCACCGCACGCCCTGCAAAGGAGGTGAGCAGTGGCCCGCGCCCGCCGCTCCGGGCGTGGCAAGCTGGCCAGACCGCCGCTTTCCGCCCTAAGATGTCCACGTCGGCGGGGCTGCCCTCCGCGGCACCCGGGCCGCTACTGCACCGATGCTGTCTGCAGAGCTGACGGTGCACCGGGCTTTGCGGCCCGGATCGGGGTCGCGGGTGGGGTGGGGACCGCGCCGAAATGCACTGCAGCTGGCCCCTTCAAGGCTGCCCGGCGAGCTTTCGTGACTGCAGTAGGAACCACCCGCTCCAAGCAGAAGTTGTTTTCTGATGTTTTCGTTTTGCAACAGCAGTGACAGATGTAGGATCATAGGAAATTACCTGCATTCTAGGTTTGAAGTCTAGACAGTTGTACTAACCAAAGGCATTTACTCATGTTACGTGTAACATGAGCGCCTGTTACTCTTGTGAATTGAGTTATTTTTGCAGCCTGACGGCGTGCTTTGTGCCCCCTCTCAAATTCGGGCAGGATAAAATCTCTGCCGCTAACTCCGGGCGTCCTGACGGTATGCGCACCGCGGCCCGCCGGCCAATGGAATGAAACAGCCCTGGGGGTGTGTAAGCGTCCCGCCCAGCGCGCGATCCCAGCAGGGGAAAGGCGAAATAGGAAAACAGTCCGACGTGTTCAGTTTGGTAGTCGTCGAGTGTAGTGTCAAGTCTGGGCTCCCCGCAGATTTGGTTTCTGTGGTCAGATTTGCCCTCTTCAGAAACATAAAAGCCTTTTCTCGCACACATCCACACCCAATTTATTGTGCATCTTAAAGGTATTTAAAAGTAACGTAAAATAAGAACAAAAGCCTTTTTTTCTGTATTGTTATAAAGAAATTAAGGAGAGTGAAAGACCCGTAGAAGGTTAGAGTTTCGCTGGAGCTGGGTTGGCAAATAAACAGCGAGGGGGTTGGGCCAGACCCTTTGTCTCCCTCAACCCAGTGGCTGGCTTTCTGTTGCCAGCTAACTTCAAAGGGCAGTTTTTAGAAATCCTCTCTTCACCAGAAAATTTCAGCTGTAGCGGTATTCCCAGCAGCTGGCAGGGGGAACAAAGGTTGTTCCCGATGGTTTAATGATTCACTAAATTTACATTGACCCGCCCACTCAGGGTTTACCTTTAGAGCTTAATTGCCCTTCAGCTTTGCAGTTTCCTATGCTGGAAGCTGTTGGAGTCGCTTTGACCTCCAGTTTCCCTTCCACTCCAAAGATGTATAAAATGGACACGCTGTGGTTCTCCTGCCTGGCCTGCCTTCTTCCTGCTGCTCTCTCCAGGAACGCGGAGCTCAGGCTCCCCTGTAAAGCAAACAAGGATGCTGAAGGAGAGGCAACGTGGAGCAAATATTAGGCCACATGGCCACGTTTCTGTAAAATGAGCAGAGTGCGGTTGACAGCATTTTCTGTCCTTAAAAGACACAAACCAGTAGGTTTGTTTTCTGCAGCATCTGACTTGGTTTCTTTGAAGCTCTTTGTTTCTTCTTCCAGGCCAGTTCTTTCTGTCCTTGTCACAACTCTGCCCTCACTAGTGCAACTCAAGTCCACTGTGGTTTGTCAGTGCTCTTCCTCTAGCTACCACAGCCATGAATTTAACAACAAATTGTATCACCTGTTTCAGAACACTTACTATAGCATTTTCATGTACAGAAGTGCAAGGTGGTCTGTTCTATTCATCAGCACAGGGACATGCAGAAGCTGAGTCACAGCTACACAGAAGCGTGCAATGCAAGATGATATAGCAAGGAAGAACATTGGACTGTGCAAAGTGATACATCTAGTATCTTAATTACTGTATGGGTGGATGAATATGTAACTGTGAAATCCTTGAAATACTGTACATGATAGGCAAATTTTACTCTCAAGACATTGGGGTACACATTTATCACCCTTACTTGACCATAGAAAAACACAATGTACATTCTAAACAGATTATCTTCACTGAGGTTTTGCACTGAAACAGTTAAGGCTGTTTTGATGTGTAAGTCGGGCTCTCCCAAGGCCTTAGGCCAGAGATTTCGTGAGGCCAGAGGTTTCGGGCCAACTTGGGGAAACATAGGCCTTTTGTTTTGTTTTTTTGTTTTGTTTTGTGTCCTGGGGATGGAAACCGGGGCTTTGGCTACGCGTGGTTTGTAGAAACAAGGTCGTTTGAAGCCACCCCGGCTAGGCTTGGACTGGGTAGGATGTTCCTGCCTCGGCCTCACAGTGCTGGGGCCCTGTCTTCTATCTCAAGTTAAAAAAAGACAGAAAAGGAAGTTGCTAATCATGGTCCCACTCTGGTTTTAGAATGCATTAGGTGAGAGAATAAGTGACTGGGATAAAAATGGCCCTGATGAGTCTTTCCCTCTCAGCCATTCTAGCCACACTCCTTCCACAACTAAACTGTCTTCTTCCTCAGTGTTTTTTGCCAGAAGAAAAAACTAATCTGCTCATCACCTGCTTTTTCCCTCCTTAGCTTTTCGGTATCTTATCTTTCCTCCACAGTGACCTTATGCTTGAGTTTCCTAAAATAAAATTCTCAAACGTTGAAGCCAAGCAACAGTTTAATTGCCTTTATAGAGAAAGCAGGATTTAAAGACCTGGGAGTGACTGACAAGTTTGTCATTGCAAACAAGGGTTTTCCCACATTTTCTCAAAACCATATTTAATTGAGCCTGCTTGATTTGCTTTTGTTAAGGGTTTGCAAAAGCGTGTGGTGTAGACCCCCGAGGCAGTTTAAGTGATGACTTAAAAATAATTCCAGGTGTCTGTGGTGTGCCTCCTTGTAATCTCAGCACTGAGGAGGCCAAGGAAGACAGACCCTGAGGTGTTTCGGTTGTCTTTTGTTCTTAGAGTCCAAGTTTGAGGCCATCTTGAATTACACAATAGGTTCAAGGCCAGCCTGTACTATATTGAGACCTGGTCTGAAAAACAAATACTTGTTCAACAAGGATGAATATTGCATGCATGTGCCACTGATTTGAGACTAGTTTGGGTTTTGGTGTGCTTGAGGAAGGTGTTAGAGACTGGATCTCCGGCCTGTCTCAGTGAATTTTCTGCTCAGTGGGCCACAGTTCTGCCTGAGGCCTGTCTGCCTTTTTAGAAGGAAGCTTATCATGCAGCGGTCAGCTGGGGGAAAGGTAAGCACAGGTGATGGTGTGGTCAGTTTGCCTTCTCTTCAAGCCTGCCCAACTTTGTTGTGATCTGAAAACTTCAGCAAAGTTCGCCCATCCCTGGTTCTTTCTCCAGAAAGTCTTAGGACTTTCTCAGGCCATCAACATTTAGGTATAACTGATGGGCTGTAGGTTCAATCAGGATAGGCTGACCCCAGCTATCATTATTATAAAGGCTGTGCTTGCCTGAAACTGGTGTGCAGAACCCAGCCTGAGAGGTGGGTGGTCTCCCCTGGGCAGCTGCGGGTGGGGCTGACCTGCAGATGAGTCACTCCGCCTTCCCAGGGGAGGCAGGCAGGATGTTTCCGACTTATTTTTGCCATGCTCAGTTGACAGCCATCAAAACTTGGGTATCTGAAGGGACTCACGATTCTCATCGTCTGAAAGTCCGGCTGTGTGTCTGCATCTTGCTACCTACCACAGGAGAAACAGAATCTACGGTGTCTGAAAGTCCAAGCCAGAGTGCAGGTGATGAATACTGTGCAGCCCTATCCCTGACAGTGCTGTTTTCTAGTGCTCACTGTTCAGTGCCCAAGTGTGTTGCTAATTGAAAGGCTCTCATTTCCCAGCAGCTCCGTGCCTCTCTTCTTAGAGACTCTGGGCCTCATGGAGTATGCATCCCTGTGTTCCCAGCACGCCCAGAATGCAGGAGGACTGCTGTGAACTACATAATGGGCTTATGTCAAAAGAGAGTGGAGGCCCGAACCTGTGGGAAGGTGTACAGCAGAGTCGCCACCTTCCCAGCGCTGTGTGGATGCATTCAGCAAGCAGGCACTGCTCACTCCCTTTCCAAAATGCCCTTTGCGATATTAGGGACCTCAGGTTGGAGACTAAGCACCAGTACCCATTAAACTCCAGTAAAATGGGGAAACTGAGCTTTCATGCCTCTAGTGTAAAGAAATTGGATTTATCACTCGGTAAATTAAATTCCTTGTTACTGCTTAGAAAAATCATTTCTGTCCACTAATGTTGGGGGCGGTGGCAAACACCAGTGATCCCAGCACTTTGGGAGGCTGAAGCAGGAGGTTCACTAATTTGGGCCCAGCCTGGGCAAAAATAAATAAGCATTAACAAAAACAAATACTCTTTCTGCCTTCAGAGAGGCCATGAGGCAACCAGTGGGTGGTGGTGACAGCTGCTGTTGAAAGTTGCGTGTGAGGGACCCTCCGCTAGGAATTCTGCACACATCCTCTGGTGCGTCATCACCAGGCTGCAGCAGCTTCTTGTGCATTGCTGCCTTTATGCTTCCTAAAAGGAACCCCTGCCCTTGCTGCCCAAAGGTGGCTAAGGTCTGAGTGTGTCCTTTGGCAAGGGGACACAGTCAGCAGGTAGTGGGACTGGAGTTCTGGTTCCAGCACTCACCTTAGTGATTATCATCACTGAGTGATTCCCTCATCTAAAAAGGTAGAGCTTTCGTCTGTGTGTTAGAAATTACTAAAAGACCTACCTTCTTCCTGAAAAGAACACGTGTTGGCATGGCATTACAGATGAGTATCATCAGAAACGAGCTGTGCAGGGGCCCATTTGTTCTAGTTGCTGAGGCCATGAAATAACATTCTGAAGAGTTTATCTAGTGAAAGAGGTTTGAAGTCCTGCATTGGATAGGCCTTTTTTGGAGACAGGGTCACACAGTGTCCTCTGGGCAGCCCTTGAACTTGCAGCAATCCTCCTTGTCTAAGCCCTGCCCTAGTGCTGGGAAAGCAGGCTTGCACCATCTCACCCCGCTTGATGGGACTTGAGAAGAGCGAGGTGGTGCACACCTGTAACCCCAAGGATACCCTGCTGAATTGCCTGGGCTGGGATCATGGGCATGTGCCACTCAGCCCACTATGTCTGTCCGGGCTTGTCTACTGTCTCCAAATAATTCCCTTCCCCTCCGAAGACCCATCTCAAATATCACTTATACTTGTAAATAATTCATAGGAAACTGGGCATCTGAAGTTTCAAGCCTTTGTCTCTTTGAACCTTTTACTAACAAGTTACTGTGTTTAGTTGCTAAACACTATCCAACTTTTTCGTTGCTAGTTTTAGTTGCTAATTTTGCATGATTTCCAACACATGTTTGGGATGAAGGTGTGCCCAGATATACTGTTAGTCACTGCAAGAGGATCTTGCAAGTTAACATTTACATAATTAATCTTCCATCTATCAAGCAGTAAACTATTTAATCACAACACTGGTATTTTATAGATGTATGTCTGTATAAATGGAAAGATAATACATTTAACTCTGCAAGAATGATTGCTCCCTCAGAGAAGGCTGATCACAATTGAAAGGCAAGGGAGACTTAAATTTCAATGGATGAAAATGTGAATGTGTGTTGCGTAGTTTTAAATTTCAGTGCACACAAGCTAGCCAGGCGTGGTGTAGAGCGCCACTCCGAGGCTGAGGCGGGCCTATTGCAAGTTCAAGGCCAGGCTGGTTTACATATTAAGTCCCAGTGCAGCCTGGGTTTTAGGGTTGTCTGGAGGGTTAGAACAAAAGAAGCAAAATATTTTCCAGTATCAGCTAAACATCTGCTTCCTGGGAAACTTGGATTTGTTTTTTCAGAATAGTTAGAAGGCTGAGCTGATAGGAGGGAAGTGGAAACGCCTGCTTCTCTGCCTTCTCACACAGGACACTTAGTTTGTGGGGACAGTCGGGCAGTTACAGTGTCTGGCTTTTCTTGGTTCCTCTGCATGATGCCCCCCAAGTGCTGTGCTGGGTTTATGTCCGAGACTTCTGGGTCGTAACTTGCTGAGGAACACGGTTCTTCCCTGTTCTTTGCTCTGCTCCTCATTTTTAATCATGTGAGTCTCCCCTTGTGAGTTAGGAAAATGTATGAAGAGAAGATCGGTTCTGGTAAACGGATGATGAGAGTATAGTGCATGGGTTTTAAGAGTGACAAGGCCTTTTTGTTTGCCTGGAGGTTCTCTGGTTGTGGCAGAATTCTTGTTCGTTAAATAAATAATCAGAATACAGCTGGAAACAGAATTTCCATTCCAAATAGTTTTTACAAGTATTTGAATTCTGGTGAATATTTAGTTAATGATTCATCATATAAAACTGGGGGCTATGTGAATGTGTGTTGGTGTTGAGTCACCTAAAGAAGGCAAGAAAAATCCAAGCTACTCAGTTGTGGTTTGCTCTGAATCATTTTTGACGTAAGGAGCTGGCTTGTTTTCATCATCACCATGGCAACTCTAACTAGTTTTTGTTTTTGATTTTTGTGCCTCCTAGAAGCTCAGTGTGTGTACCCATCGTTGGGCGCTGTAGCCCAAGAAGTATGAGGTAGCTAAGTTAGAAGCAGAGCAGAGCTGCGCACTGTGGTTTGCAGATAGAAGCCTGTGTTTCCTCAGCCTTCTCAAACAGCTGCACCCCAGCCCGCTGGGAATAACTGTCCTTAGCTCGTCCTGAGCGAGAGGTACAGTAAGCACTCTGTTCATCCCTGCCCTGCCCACTGCCTCAGAGACTGGCAGTCATAAAGATTGATGGCCGAGGGTGGGTTCTCCCTGTCCTCTGGACTGAAGCAGATGAGTTTGTCAACAGATCAGAAAGTGGACTTTGGTTGTAGGTCCCATTTCTGAGCATGCTCAGCCTGAAGTTGATACCTTGATAATCAGCCTATCCACTGCCATCCAGAGACCCTAAGATCCCTCCTCCAACACCAGCAGTGTCATGACAGTAGAAGCTGACAGATGGTGCTAACTTCAGGGTAGAAAAAAATTTCTGCTTACATTCTTCCTCCTGTTTTTGAGACAGGGTCTTTGCTGTGTAGCTGGCCTTGAATTCCCTGGGTGTCCTGGACTGCCCACAAAGCCGTCCTCCTGCCTCGGCCTCCCCAGTGCTGGGATGATGCTGTGCGCCACCCTACCCAGCTGCCTTCCTCCGTTCCTCCTCCTTGGCCCTGTGTCCTGTTGGCCTTCTGTCCCACACACGCCGTCCTGGAGAAAAGGGGAAATGAGGGTATTGAGGCCTCCAACAAAGTCAGACTCTGGATTTGTAAAGCCCGAACGTTTTCCTACATGTATAATATTTATTTTTGGCTTTGCTAAGCAGTTTTGTCTTCCAGTTAAAATATTTTCAAATACAGTGGCCATTTGGAAGAGTCTTCCTGTCACTGAACTTTGAAGTATGTCACCTTTGTCCTCCACATCCTCCAATTGTACTGATTTCTCCCAGCTACTGAGTTTAGGAATTCAGTCAGTGCCTTCTTTTCACAGTTACATCCCTATTTAGGTTTCTGTGTCCCTAAGAATGCGACTAGGCGCCTTCAAGTGACAGTGTGTGTGTATGGTTGTCTTTGGCTTCTGACCCCCAGGGGGCACAGTAACGACTGCCTTGCTGGAGTGCACGTGGTTAGATGCACTGTGGGGTTTTCTTGTTTTACTTTTCACTCGGCAGTTTCTCGCTGTGATACTACACCTTCCGGCTGCTGGAAGGAGAAATATTTGGGAACCGGATGATTAATGGTTGGGCGCAGGCAGGTGCCCCCCCTGCCGTGCTCCTCTGCTCCGGCCCATTCCCAGAGCCCAGGCCCTCCCCTTTGGGCTCCTCCTGGCCTCCTCATTAGAGGCCTGCTCTGAGTGCCAGCAGCTGCCTGCGGGGATTCTTAGCACTGCATACTTTACAAACAAGAGGCCTGGCTCCAGCCAGTGGAAACCATTTCTGACTCAAATTATTCCAGTACTTTTGTAATAAAATGGTTACTTTGTTTCAACTTCTGTCTGGTTGCTAATTAGCACTGGGGTCTTTCCATTTAGATGGTTTTGCTATTTGATTTATGAACATTACTAGTGAAATCAGTTTTTAGTTCCCCACTAAATTATCACTATCTTTAAAAATTAAAGCCTTTCAGTTTTTAAGTTGAGGCAGAATAAGCTTTCCCCCGCTAGAGGAGAAAGCACTGAGAATGAGGGTTTCTTGGTGCGCCTCCCTCTGCAGGTGGGGTGAGGAATGATGAGGTACCCGTGGGAGTTGACCCTCAGAGTAGCGCTAAAGCAAGACAGAAGCCAGCCATGAGTCTGCCAGTTCCAGTGGTAGTGAACCTGTGGCACACGGGCCATTTGTTGTGATGGAAAGCTCTGAAAGGCCAGTTCGCTGCTGGGTGGTTCTGATAATGTTCCCACCACAAGTATCAGTGCCATATGCGGACTGTCCCCCTGGAGCTTGCAGTCACTTATTAAAGAATAAGCCCCAGGGGGCCTGGTGTAAGCCCCACCCTGGCAAGGTCATGAGTTCTATCCCTGGCACCAGGAAAAAAAAGAGCCAGGCATGGTGGTGCACACCTATATTCCCAGCACTCAAGAGGCTGAGGCAGGAGGATCCTTGGGAGTTCAGCACCAGCCTGGGTTACAAAGCAAGCTCAAGTCCGGCCTGAAGAACATTAGTGAGACCCTATCGCAAAAAAGACACACACACATAAAATGAGTTGCTTTGCTCTGGGCCACTGCCTTACAGTGCTTGTTGTAGTGTGGGGATAATTGAAACAGGACAGCTTGGGCCTGTGCCGCTTGTCTCGCGCAAGACTGGACTTCCAGATGTGGGCTCCTGTTAAGGGTCCGGGTTAGACTTGGGTGCCTGGCTCGGCAGTTTCTACCCAGTACTGGGCCACAGCACTCAGCATCTGTAATGGTGGGGGTGGGGGGTGTCTTAGTGTTTAAAGAGCATTTGTGTTATACATACAAATGTTGCTGGGAATATAGCTCAGTGGCACAGTGCCTGCCTGGCAAGCAAGAGGTCCTGAGTTCACTTTTGTTTGTTTGTTGTTTTGAGACAGGGTCTCGCTATGTAGCCCAGGCTGGCCTCAAACTCATAGTGATCCTCCTGCCTCTGCCTGCTAAGTGCTGAAACCACCAGACCTGGCTCATCTTAATTTTATTTTAATTATTTTTTTTCCTAAAGTAATTTTTAGGGGCTAGCGCTGTAACTTTTTAGTATTTAGTATCGGTGCTGATGGCACATTTTGAAAGTTTACATGTATGTCAAATTTTAGCAGCTGTGGCTTTTCTACCTTAATTTTTTACTTACCAGCAGTACGAGGACCTGACCCCAAGGCCTTGCCATACATGGAGGTGAGCAGTAAGGGCTGAACTACATCTACATCCCCAGCTCTCCCACACTGATTGCTGAGACAGGTTCTCACTCACAGCCCAGGGTGGCCTCGAACTCTCAGCAGAGGCCCTGATTATGTGTTTCCTGTTAAACACCAGGAATTAAAGCAGCAAACAAAACAGTCTGACTCTGGCACTAACCTCATAAATGAGAAAGCCAGACCTAGACAGATACGATCCTTCAGGGTAAATACAGGGAGGAAAGCAGCAGGTGGGAGCTGAGTGGGAGGGCGAGGTGCTGTGTGAGGGGCGGTCCGGGAAGCCTCGGAAGGTACAGGGAGCTGCACAGACATCTGAGCGCCACAGAAAGCTCGCTTCACCCCGAGTTCTGCAGTGTGAGGATGGGGTGCACTTACTTCACTAGCAAACACACGATGTGCAGGGTGTAGTTCTAGGAGCACCCTGGAGTGGAGACAGGGTCCTACTGTGCTGCACAGGCTAAGAACCTGGAACCAGCGGGTGCGCCGCGCCGCGCCATGCCATGCAGTCTTAGTCTCTCAGTAACCTTCAGGATTTGCTTTTTATGGTCACACATACTATACATAAAATTTTCTTAAAACAGCAATCTCTTCAGTCAGTACTCAGGCTGATGGATAATTCCTGGAATAGAGGGTCTCCTCAAGCTGCCAATGAGTTACTGTATATTTTCCTCCTAAACAACACGGGAGAGCTGTCCTACCCAGCACCAGGCAGGAACCATGGGGGAGGGGGCTGTACCTTCCTTGGGGTTTCTGCACCCAGATACAGGCTGGGCTTCCTGCTGGGCTGAGAGCAGGAAAACCGGAAGTGGAGAGGCTTAGCCCCACAAAACCCCAAGCAGTGAGCACCCCGCCCCTGTTCTGTGTCTGTCTCCCAGATGGCCTGGCCGGCTCCCTCTTTGCAGGAGGGGTCACCTTACCTTTGAGGTGCAGCTGAGTGAGAGGAGTCACCAGCAGAGGGATCTGCCTAGATGCGATAATTTAAAGCCAGAGCCTCAGGGAGGCACTTGGCCTTACAGCTGCGTCTGTCAAGCCCGGTAGCAGTCCACTTTGCCCGTGTTTATGTTGTATCATTAGAAAGCAAAACTCCTACCCAGCATGGCAGTGTCCTCTGGACCCAGCACTTGGGAAGCTGAGTCAGGATGATCCCTGCAAGTTTGAAGCCAGCTGGACTACATAGCAACACTCTGTCTTCAAAAACACAGCCCTCCCCCCAAAAATAGCAAAATTCCCTGAGCTAGTCGCCTTCCAGAAAGCTCAAAACACGATCCAGTGATAACTGTAATTTCCCTTTGAGGGCAAGGACTGTGTCTTAGTTGTCTTGGGTCTCAGTCGCTGTCTCCCCCCAGACCTGAGCCGCGTTCCTCACTCGGCTCCCTGTGCCTTCTGTGGCTCCCTGCCTGTCCGACGGGCAGCTCTCCCTCTTCCCTCCTCTTCCTTCCCTCCATGCTGTTCTGGCACAGCAGCTGCTGCTGCGGCTCTACTTGGAAATTGCCTGCTTGCAGAATGCAGACAGTGTGGACATCATTTTGTAGCCTTTTAAAAACTTACTGCTGATGTGTTCTAAGTACCTCCTTTTCTTTCTCCCTGCCCCTCCTGAAAAACACCTCTGCCCAGGCATCCGCTACAGCACCGACGTGAGCGTGGACGAGGTGAAGGCGCTGGCCTCGCTGATGACATACAAGTGCGCCGTGGTGGGTGAGTGCTCCCTCCTCTGTCGCCGGCTGCCGGCTGCAGGGAGATGTGTCTGCGCAGAGACCTCGGCTTTGTTTCCGTGCGGGGAGGTTCACAGGCACTCAGCGGATTTTTTTCTTTAAATGTAGTTCTTTGTTCTAAATCCCTGTCTGTACCTGTAAATAAGACCCAATCATGCAGACGGAAAATAAACACCTTCCGTGCTCTTTAAAAAGCAGTAAAAAGCACTGATTAAATACGCATTGCAACTTGGCTAGTCTTACAATGTACATTGCAGTGTTAAAACAGATCACTGTGGGTTTATTTCTTGAGTTAAGCCTTAACGTTTTTTGTAATACAGGTTAAACATCCTTAGTCCAAAAATCTGAAATGCTGAAACATTTACAACTTTCTGAAACAAATAGAAAACTGCACAGCTAAGCCAGGCCTGGTAACACACCCCTGTAATCCCACATGCAGAGACTGCCTGGACTGCATATGAGACCTTTTCTCAGAAACAAAGAGAAACTCCCCACTTGGTTGTGTTTGTTTGGTTTTGTTTGTACTAGAAATCGAACTTGGGACCTTCACCTTGCCAGGCAGGTGCTGTGCCTCGGAGCAGTGTTCCCAGCCCCCTACTTGGTTTTATTCTCCAGGCTGGCTCAGAGCACAGGCACACAAAACATTCTATACGGAATACATTCAGACTGTATGTGTCTGGAACATAAATAAATTTTATGTCTGGATTTGGGTCCCTTTCCCAAGATACCTTATTAGGTGTATGCATATATTCCAAAATTCAAAAGTAACCTGAAATCCAAAACTCTTACAAACAAACATTTGATAAGGAACACTCAACCCATGTTACATGGTGCCAGCTTTTTATTTTTTAACCTTTACATGGAATCACAACTGTGAGCCTTCCCTTTCAGATGTGCCATTTGGCGGAGCTAAAGCAGGTGTTAAGATCAACCCCAAGAACTATTCAGTAAGTATCAAAGCAGTATGTGTATACAACAGCCTTACCAAGGACCTTGGGATTAGTTTCTGGGCCCTTGGGTACCCCTCTTATCAGTAAGGCCGGTGGTCTTCCTGACTTTTCAAAGGGAAAGGGAGAGCATGCACATAAATAACTTACTGGATGTGCTGCCGTGTAAAGGCTTGATACCAGTCTCCACATTTTTAAAAGTGGCTAATGCCTTCTTGTCTGGGGGGCTGTGTGTTTGTGTTTGGTGTTTGTTTGGTTGTTGGTCGGTGTTGGTGTTTTGAGGCGGTCTTCCTGCATAGTCCAGGCTGGCCCTGAACTTGCAGCCATCCTCCTGCCTCAGTCTCTCAGGTACTAAGATTACTGGCGTGTGCTGCCAGGCATAGCTGATGCTTTTACATTTTAGGCGCTTGTATCCATGTTCAAAAATTAATGTGATCTGAAGATTTAATGTAGAGCTCTTGTTCTGGTGACAGATAACTAAACAAAAACTATCATTTCCAAGTTAATGAAAACTACTTACAATGTTATACATGCAACAAAATTACAGTCTATATAAATAATACCTTAATAAGTGCATATGATTCATTATCTTCAAAATTTGCCATTTAAGGGCAAAGATAAAGCTCAGCAGCATAAGCACCTGCCTGGCAAGCACAAGGTCCTGAGTTATTAATTCCCAGTACCAAAAATAAGATTAAAGTAAAATTTGCCGTTTAATTGAAAATACAGATAAGGCCCAGAGGATCTACTTATATCAAATTGTTGGGTTTTGGAGGAGGGCTGCTTTTTTTATAGGGTTGTGGGTTCCTTGAGTTTGTTTTGTTATTTGGGGATTTTTTTGTTTGCTTGTCTTTTTGAGGCAAGGCTTCACTGTGCAGTTCAAGCGGACCTCAAACTCACGGCAGTCCCCCTGCCTTAGCTCCCCAGCACTGGCATTCCAGCTGTGCTCAGCCACACCTGGCTAGGTTTGGTGGTAGTGGTGGTGATGTTTTTAAGTGAGGTGTTAATGCAGAGGGGAGTTGGGACTTAACCTAGTTGTTTTTAATTAAACCCTCTGCTTTGTACATGCTTCGCCTGGGTGCTGTGGCTGACCTGTATCCCAGCCTTCCACCATAATTTTTGTTTCCTTGTTTTTTCCTTCACAGGACAGTGAATTGGAAAAGATCACCAGAAGGTTCACCATGGAGCTAGCAAAGAAGGGCTTCATCGGTGTGTATTGCCACACGTGGTTTCGGTCTATAGTGAGAGCATGTAAAGGGTAATGGTCTTTGTGCATGGTGAACAGAGTTGCCCTTTCTGTGAGAAGCTAGGTTCTCTCCTAGGTCTCATGAGCACCCCTGGGTGCTTGCAGCCCATCTCTACTGGGCAAGTTCAGTTTTGTCTCCTGCAGTGCGGACAGCAGGGAGCCTGAGGGCGGGGATTAATAGTGTCACCCTTGAGTTCCCTGCTGAGACATTCAAAAGTACAGGAAGGATTTCCTGGCTCTGAGTAACACCTGAGTATAAAATACTTTTTAGTAAGTATAAAGCAGTTTTTAAAGCAGGAATCTGGAGTCTTTTAGAGCAGGAGGTGTTGAAGGGGCTCTGCTGTCTCTTCAGAGCAGTGGGTCTGGTGCAGGCCGGTGGTCACTTGTCCCATCTGAGTCTGGGCACTCCCAAGATGCTTTGCGTTGGCTACCAAAGGTTTTACTTAACCACACTGAATTTTTTTGTTGTTATTGTTGCTGGGAATCAAACTCAGGACCTTGTGCATGCCATGCAGGCACTTATATGACTGAGCTATATCCTGGGCAAGCACACTAAACTTTAAAAGAATCTAATCTTGTTTGGCTTGATTTTTGGTTTGGCTTGGTTTTTGTTATAGAGCCTCACTGTGTAATTCAGTCTGGTCTTGAACTCACTTTGTTGCCCAGGCTGGCCTTGGACTCTCAGGGATCCTCCTGCCTCAGCTCCCCCAGTGCTGAGATTACAGGTGTATGCCACCACACCTGCTCTGCTTGAATTTTGTTTTTTAAATTTTAGCTGTTTTTTTGTGTAAGATGTGAATATACTTTTTAGGATGTTTAAATATTTCCCATTCTTTAATTTTCAAACAATTTAAGCCACAGTCATTTTACTTGAATAAAATAAAATTACTTGGTATAATACTTTTCTTGTCATCATAGCTAAACAAAATAAGACTAAAAGAGAAAATTCACTTTTTCTCTCCTTTCCTGTCCTTGTTTTTCTTGTTTTTTGGTGGAGGAAGATTGTTTTGGTTTTTTTGTCTTTGTTTTTGTTTTGAGACAGTCTCAGCATTAGCTGTATTTTGAAATTTGCCTCATTTGTAGGAGAAAAGTTATGAAACAAGTAAATAACATTGAAATAAGGTACATACAGACAACACCAGGCTTTTATAAGATTTGGCCCTGTGTCATAATCTGAAAGACATTTGTGTTACGACTGCCTCACACCAGCACTGGTGTGAACTTGTGCATGGTAACACGTAAGCAGCATGCTAGGAAGGTTAACCACCTTCACACCTGCGGGCTGAGTCCCAGTTCACACCTGCGGGGGTGAGCCCTAGTTCTAACAAATACAGTGAGTAAAAGTCTCCTCAGACTGAAAGTAGCCTTTGTTTCTGTATTATACCCTCTTAGCCTAAATCCCAAGTGCCTTTTAATAATTTTGTGTGGTTTTGGATTTTATTCAGTCGTGAATTTTCTGCATCTAGAGGGTTCACACCTAATTTTATGAATCTTGACAAGTATCTGAACTCCAGAAGTTTAAAATAAATGATTCTTTGGAGTTGCGTGGGATGAGAGAGGCATGTAGCACTCTGGAAGGCTGAGGCAGGAAGATCACATGTTGCAGCCTTCCTGAGTTCCACACCTGAGGCTTGAGTCTGAATCCCGATGGTTCCACTTTGTGAGTTTAGGATCACGTCTCTAAGACACGAACCTTGACTCTTCTAAGAAAGGCAGCTCAGACTCCCAGAAAGGCCACTCAGATTTGGATAGGAGTGTGTTGAATCCGTAGACAAAATTAATGGCGGGTTGCAGACGTAACCATCTTGTCTTCCGGTCCGTGAGTGTGGTATGTGGTGTAGGTGTGTCCTGGAAGCTCATTCCTGTTGCTGTCGTTTCGTAGTTCTCCGTATAATTGCACGTAGATATTGACTCCTGCAGTAAGGGGTGTGCTGGTCTGTGGCTTCCACGTGATGTCCCGCCCTGGGGGCCGGGTGATACCAGCCTCACGCAAGCAGCTGGACGGGCCGGTGTCCGCTGCCTCTTCTGGTTCGTGGCAGATGTGTGGAAGGTTGCTGTTGACTCTTGTGGGGTAGAAATAGCGTAGACCTGTGTAAACCGGACAGTCCCTGCAGATGGATCCCTGGTGTCACTGTCCTTCTCGGAGCCCTGTGTCACCACACCAAGAAGACCCTCTCTGCTCTCGCCCTGTGCTTGTGCTCAGTTAGAGCCATCACTCTTCCAGAGAGGATGGGCTTCTGCCTCACACTGTTTCTCACATTTAGAGAATTATTCAAGAATGACTTGTAATGTGTGCATCCCCGAACAGTGATTTTATGCACAGCAGAGCCTACTGATACTCTCCCTTTGTTTTGAGTTGGGGAAGCTGTCCTGCCTCTGGCAGTCCAGGCCAGTGTTGGTAAGAAAGTTTATTGTCCAACCGAGTGCCTTAGGTCTGCTGCTGTGCCTATGGGAATTGTTACTTGAAGCACCTAGACCATTACTTACCCCTTAGCCTTGCTGGAAACAAGGACACTTTGTCAGCAGTTGTCGTTTGGACAGCAGAAAAGGCATGAGGTTAAATAGCTTACAGACTTTGCCACCGAGGCATGGAAAGGGAGCCCTCCCCCAGTGGGTGGCGCTGCACCGCTCCTCAGGTGGCCTGCTGAGCAACTTGAGGGGCCCTGTATGAGGAGCGGGGTACAGTCCCCAAATAATAGGGACTGCTGTCAAACGCGTGCCCTGCGTGTCGAGTTGTCCTGGGCCTATGCTGCGTTCATTACATCACAGCTTGTTCAGAGAATTACATCAGCTGGAACTGGGGCCATCGGATTGTACACGACAGGAAAAGGACGTGTACAGTCTGATGGCGTGTACAGTTCTGATGGTTAAAAAGTAAAGTTTGTAGAGTGGATGTGACCCTTGAAAAGAGCTTTATTGCACACCTATAATTCCAGCGCTTGAAAGGCTGAGGCAAGAGGATTGCTGTGAGTTCAAGGCCAACCTGAACTACATGTGAGACCCTGTCTCAGAAAGGAAGAAAAGAACTTTATTTTTTAAGAGGACACTTAATTTTTTTGATACTGTTTTTCACCAGGTCCAACACTTCAACCACTTTGAAAGTTGTAATTTTGCTTTATAAAGATGAGTTTGGGTGGTAAGATAAAGTCAGAATACCGAGGTGTGATGGCATATCCTGTAATCCCAACTGCAGGGGAGGCTGAGGCAGAAGGATTGCAACCTAGGCAGCCTGGGCAATTTAACAAGACTGTCTCAAGATGAGGAAGGGTTGGGAATGCAGTGCAGCACTGCAGAAAGTAAAAAAGAAAAGATCAAACCAAGTTGAAACACAGAACACAGTAGACAGGTTCACGCATATTTCTTTCCAGTCATCTGTGCGTGTGCGTGTGCATGTGCGTGTATACAGGGAACTGGGGAAGAGAAGCAAGACTAGGACCAGTTGAGGTGCGTGGGGACATACGTGACTGGGCCTGCCCTCCCCACGTTTCGGTCTGGTGGTGATTCCGAGTGATCGCGTGGATGTAGTCAGCCTCCTCCCTGGCTGCGTGGTGCTCCTTGTAGGTGCATCGGATTTTAGCTAACTGGCCTGCTGCACAGCCAAGTGGTGCCTGGCCTCGCCGTCTGGGAAGGGAGGGCTGTCTCTGGATCCCTGCCTTCGCAGATGGCGGTGGACGTCCCTGAGCACAGGGTCTCCGTGTCCCCGCAGTGGCTCTCCCTCAGCAGCATTGTGTGCTGCCTGTGAGCCTTGGAGTCTTACTCTCAAGCACTTAATTTGCTGTGAAGCCCAGGCCCAGACCCCTGTGCACTAAGCACTGAAGAGCAGGTCAGAGCTCTGTTCTTCAGTAGAGAGGAGCCCAGCCTTCGCCACAGTGCCTTCAGCTGGGACTTTGTCCCCTTGTATTGGTGAGCAGCTGCACGCCACTGTGCTGTCCCACGCGTGTGCTGCTTGCTGCCCACAGTCCTGTTTGTGGTGCGGGAAGGTCATTTGGTCTCTGATTGCCATTGAGGGAACTGAGGCCAGTAGACTAAACCTGTGTGCCAGCGGGGCTGGTGCCCTCTGTGCAGAGCTAACACACCATGTTGGGGAGCCGTTGCTGCCTAATAGTGCCTCTCCGTGTGTGGAGAACGTGTCACGAGCATTACTGGGATTTGCATGAGTTACCTGAATGAGCTGTAAAGGCCTCCAGCCGTGACGACGTTCTCTTAGAGAATTACAGGGATCTTTGTGTTCCGGGTGAGTTTATCTTAAAAACTGGTACACTGCCCTTTCCCTGTGCTCTCAGGTCCTGGCATTGACGTGCCTGCCCCGGACATGAGCACGGGCGAGCGGGAGATGTCCTGGATCGCGGACACCTATGCCAGCACCATAGGGCACTATGTGAGTATCCTCGGAGCCCCAGGTTTCCTGCCTTGTACGCGAGATGCTCAGAATCACTTGATTTTTCTCCCTTGTAATCAAAATGATTCACATATCATTTTGCTTGCCTTTCTCTAAGACTATAAATGTGAACCAAGAATGAGCTTTTCTTACCTGCCGGCATAGGCTGTGCCCTAGGGCAGGACCTTCCCCCACCGCTGCTGAGATGCCAGAGCGTAAATGCAGGAGCATTCTGCACTGGCTTTCCCCCTGAGAGCTGTCATTTACACAGGAGCTAAGACTGTGACCAGATCAAGTATGGGAATGGTGTGACCAGGCTGGAGTTAGGGTTCCAGGAAGATGTGTGTGGGCTCGGCATGTGGAGCCACAGCAGAGGTGGGCAAACCACAACAGCAGTGGTAAGCCCTGGGGTTGCTTTTAGCCCCTGTGGTGGCAGAGCCCAGGCACACGTGAGGGGCACTGCAGACTCAAGACTGGGTGGGCGTGTAGAATCAAGGAGAGGACCCTAGTTGAAGTACTGAGCAGGACACAAGAGGAAGACACCTTCCTGTCCCCGAGAGCACGAAGCCTTAAGCGACAGGCATTCGTGGGGTAGGAAGAGCTGTGGCTGTGGAAGAGCTGACCAAGGACGAGCCAGGGGCACACTACGCCTGTGTAAGTGCTGGGGTTGTTGCAGAACTGTGAAAAAGAACGGTGGAGCCAGAGGCCTTTAGAGGAGAGGGCCAGACAAGGCCTTGAGGGTGGAGGCTTCTACCCTGAAGTGGCAGGGAAGGCCAGCTGAGGGGTCACCAGGCTGCAGCCTGGCCAAGATCAGGAAAGCTTTGAACTTCGCCTTAAACGAAAGGCATGAAGAGCTCACTGGGAGCAGGTGTGTGACGCCATTGGGTATGCACTCGAGCCCTGCCTTGAGCCCAAGGGGTGGGGGCGTGAGGTGTGTCCACCACCTTAGAAAAGAGGCACTGGACACAGCCCAGACTAGGGCTGCTACCCAAGGAAAGTGGTGCCAGAGAAAGCCCAGGCCAGGGCGGTGCACAAACGAGGTCTCTGGAGGCAGGGACTCAGACCTCAGCCGGGAGTGGGGCTTGGGAGGAGGAGGCAGGGGTCAGGTGTCTCCTGAGCCCTGTCACTTGTCTGTGGCAGCTTGGGCAGAACTCTAGTGGCCCCATGGCCCAAGAGTGCCTGGGCCTCGGGTTCCTCATTCATCTATGAAGTTCCGTCATGGTACCTGCGTGGTAGGACTCTTGGCTTCGTGAGACCTTAGGGAAATTCCGTGGAGACTGATCTAGTGCACTCGGGCAGTCGTAGCCCTCAGTGCAGAAGCACGAGCTAAATCCCCAGCCCAAACTATGTGTTTGTCTTTTTTTGTTTTGGGGGTTTTATTTTTGGTACCTGAGATGGAACTCAGGACCTTGAACATGCCAGGCAGGTGCGTATGCAGCTGAGCTAAATCCCCAGGAGGTGGTGTTTATGCCTGCAAGTGTGTGTGGTGCTGGAGACTGGACCCAGGGCCTCAGGCACGTCAGCTCTGCAGGCTCGTGTCTCTCGGAGCTCGGGGTAGGCCGCGTGCTGTCATCTGCAGCACGCCGACAGCGGTGCAGCAAGAGCTGGGCTGAGCCGACGGAAGATCCTCCCTGCTGAGGGCCCGGAGACCCAGGCCGGCCTCGCCGGAGAGGGTTTAGTTTTGGTCATGCGTTCCGAGGCGCGCCGAGGGTCCTCTGCACAGCGCCTTGCAGGGCATGTCCTCCTCCCCGGGGGCTCCTGGGGTCCCGGCATTAGGTATGCTGGGGAGTGTGGCGGCTGGCGCCAGGCCTGGCCTCAGACAGTGTTTCCTTCAGCAGCTGGATTTGCGCTTTCATTCTGCAGTGCCGCTTGGCTCCAGGTTTGCGATTCTGTATTCAGAAGTATTAATTATTCATGAAAGGAAACTGTGGGAAAACTACTGACTCTGGAGCACTTTTACTTGGCTGCTTTTTTCTTTTAACTTGGCTGTCACTTTTTGTTGGTAATTAGACAAATAATACAAGTTTAAACTCTCTCTGAAAATGTTTAAACAGTACCGTAAGGACCGGTGTACTGTGACCGCTCCTGCTCTCCCTGGCATGGGCGGGAATTGGTGTGCAACCAGCGTGGCCTCCTGTTCGTGGGCAGTGGATGCCCACAGGCTGCGCCTTTGCCCTGACTGGAGGTGCCACCTTCGTTTCCTGGACTCTGTGTCCTATCGCCGCTGGCCTGTACCTCTGAGGCCATCCTTCCCTCTAGCCCAGAAATGTGTGCACACCCTCCAGGTTCTGCCCCTGCAGGCATTTATTTAAAATAGTTTTATCTCTTTTAGATGAGCTTGAGTACAAGCTCTTTTACAGTTTCTTTTAAAAACTGACATTTTACAGAATTTCAAAATAGTGTGGCAGAAGAAGGCACTATTGAGTCCCCCACCCAAAAACTTGGGAACGCTCTTCCGTGGCGGCCCTGAGCGGCCGCACAGATGGAATGGGAGATTTTAAACACACTTACCAGGGCTTCTGTTTCTGTTGAAATAAGCTGAATTATCTTGCTTTTATCAGACTGTTATTCGTGCTTGCCCCTGAATTTCAACTCGCCCATCAAAGAATAGCTCCTGTGTGATTATTTTCCAGGAACAAGAAAGTTGAAATCGCAGGGCCTGTTCTGCAGCAAGGCGCGCTGTGAGCTGGCTTTCTCACCCAGAATGCCGCACCGCGCTAATCGGGCTGAGGCTCGCTAACGGGAATGTGCTTACTTAAGCTTTCACTCAGGATGCTGGTTCAGGACTAGGACCAGGCCTGACACTGCCTGCGCTAACCCCGTCTCCTCCGACAGGATATTAACGCGCACGCCTGCGTTACCGGGAAGCCCATCAGTCAGGGGGGCATCCACGGGCGGATCTCTGCCACCGGCCGCGGGGTTTTCCACGGGATCGAGAACTTCATCAACGAAGCTTCCTACATGAGCATTTTAGGAATGACACCAGGCTTTGGAGACAAAACATTTGTTGTTCAGGTAAATAAAGCAAAAATAACAGGCAACATACGTTTTATAATGTGTTTAGACATGGAACTTTAAAGTTAGATTCCTCGAATCCCTTAGGTTTTAGAGTGCTTCTTTTCAGAGTGATACATCCCTCTTTCTTTTAACCCTTGGTGTGATTCCTGTCTAGAAGTGATTTTGCATCTCTCATAGCCATGAAATTCATAAGCTACTCAGGGTTGCAATGTAGACCCTCAGAAAAGGGGAGCAGTCCCATGGTGTAATTTGCTGAACTGTCATGAGTGTGCAGAAAGTTTGCACATTGACCCAGGCGTGTTTGATATGTTAACATGTAATTCCCTAGAAGAACACTGCTTTAAAGGGAGTGTGCTCCATTCCACATACCCAACCAAAGGACCTCAGGTCACGGGGACGGAGCACACCAGTGCAGGGGCAGCCGCCCTTTTCTTTCTCTATACCGTTGCATCTAACAGAAGGGGTGGGGTCCTCATTCTTCAGCCTGGAGCTTTATTGCTGAAAAGCAGCGAGTGAGTACACTGGTTCTTTTGACAAAAGAATTTTGAGAATTGCTTCTAACTAACAGTGTGGATTTACCTTGCTCAAGATGTGACTCAGACTGCCTGTCCGGGGTCTTTAATTTTTATTGTGTGTGATTTATTGTTCTTCGCAGGGCTTTGGAAATGTAGGCCTGCATTCTATGAGATATTTACATCGTTTCGGTGCTAAATGTGTTGGTGTCGGGGAATCTGATGGGAGTATATACAACCCGGATGGCATCGACCCAAAAGAACTGGAAGATTTCAAGTTGGTATGTTACTCGTACCTGAACATGGACCATTTAGAACCTTGTGAAGTTGAGCTGAGCCTTACTTAAACCTACTTCCATTTTTTAAAAAATCAATCACAGCAACATGGAACAGTTCTGGGATTCCCTAAGGCAAGAATATACGAGGGAAGCATCTTGGAAGCCGACTGCGACATCCTGATCCCTGCTGCCAGCGAGAAGCAGTTGACCAAATCCAACGCTCCCAAGGTCAAGGCCAAGGTAAAAGCGCTAGAACAGGCGCCAGCAGCGCTGCCGTGCCGTGCCGTGCCGTGCCATGCCGTGCCGTGCCGTGGCATCGGGTAGGCCTGGCCGTCTGAATGGCTGCTGTTCACAGCTTTATTGACTGTACATTCGTGTCGATAACTTTCACCCATTTAAAGTGTACACCTTAATGACTTCTTAGTATATTCAGAGTTGTGCAACCATCGCCAGACTTCCAAGCTGTAGTTAAGAAAACTATGGGAACAGGTAAAAGACAACTCTAAGAGTACACCTTGTAGAACAAAATGACGCTGCTGGTTTAATTGTCCTCAAAATTGCACTGTCACATCCCCTAGCTTGTGCTCATGCAGGTGCTTCTGACACTGAGCATGTCCTGACTCTTGCAGATCATTGCTGAAGGTGCCAATGGACCCACCACTCCAGAAGCCGATAAGATCTTCCTGGAGAGGAACATCATGGTTATTCCAGTAAGTCGTCTGCGTGCCTCAGCTGGTACAGGCTGGGAATCATTACCGTCCTCTGCTGGGAGCAGCAGCACACAAGAGGGCTGCTGGTTTCCCACCTGGGCCGAGTTGTTCCTAGGCTGCGGCCTTTCACCTCCCCGGAGCAGAGCACTGCCTCTAGCTTCTGGCCCCCTTCCAGGATGTGGTCAAGAATGCTCTTGAGGATTCTTAACCTTAAGCATTTCAAGTGTCCCTTCCTGCTGGACTCCAGAGGCTGCTGGGAGGGACATAGGTCGAGGTTTTCAACAGGCAAACTGGGGTTCACAACAAAAGGTATTGGAGATAGTGTGGACTTGGGGTGCCTTTTTGATGAGCACCCTTTGCTGAGAACTTGACGAGAAAGGCTCCAGCTATTGCTGACCAAGTCATCATTAATGAGCGGGGAAGGGGGGAGTTTTCTTTTTCCTAAATAGAAAAAAATCCTCAGATTGAGAAAAAAGGTTTGTCAGATTAACTGAGATTTCTGGTGTCCTGTAGGATATTCGGGAAGTTTGAGGCTTAGTCAACCACATAGAAGTGGAGTTACATTCATTTCCAGCTTGACTGAAGTCTCCACCTTTTCTGTCTTCCGTCACGTCCTGTGTGTAGGATCTCTACTTGAATGCGGGAGGAGTGACAGTATCTTACTTTGAGTGGCTGAAGAACCTGAATCATGTCAGCTATGGCCGATTGACCTTCAAGTATGAGAGGGATTCCAACTACCACTTGCTCAGTGAGTTCCCAGAAGCTTGTTCTCCAGCAGTCATTTTTGGGATAGTTAAAAGCCTGCAGGAAGCACACCTTTAAGGGGCCTTTTCCTCTGGGAGTCCTAGAGACACTCATTTCAGAGCAGAAAGCAGTTGTTCTGTCTTAACAAGGCTTGGACCAAAAAACACACTTGCTGTGCAGATGTCCGGGGCATCACTTCCCTCCTCTCTGCATCAGAGCTCTGTTCTGTGGTGTCACATTCCTAGAATGTAACCTACAAGTAAATGGCGTTCCAACACGTGATCGCCTGCCTACCCTTTCTGTCTCCGGCTGCTGTTGGTGGAGCCCGGGAGCATCTTGATGAGATGCTCAGTTTGGAGCAAGCCCCGGAGAGGGCAGGATTTCTCGTCCTGTGGCGTGGCCCGGGACCTCCCAGTGAGGCCTGGCCGTGCTGAGGCCCTGTTTCCATGGCTGACGCTGGTCCTGGTTCCTCTTTTCTCCGTGTTCTCTTTTAATAGAGCCGGGCAGTAACCCTGGCAGTGGGTGTTATGGAAACAGCGGTGGCCTGCATTCACATTCGGGCAGGAACCTGGCAGCGCCTCCGTTCTTTCTAACTGGGCTTCTTCGTGGTTAACCCTTTTATGTCACTGGTTTTGGAGATTTCTAAAACTGTCAGTCTAGGAGATGTAGTTTGGGGCTCCTTTGGTTCTATGCATTTGGATTTTATGTTGAGGGTTTTTGCTTCATTTTTTCCTCCCCTACTAGCACTACACTGTCTTAACTTGACTTTTTGGCTCTTTATAGTGTCTGTTCAAGAAAGCTTAGAAAGAAAATTTGGGAAGCATGGAGGAACAATTCCTATCGTCCCGACAGCAGAGTTCCAGGACAGAATATCGGTATGTATGGTGGCAGCTGGGTGGCATCGTACGCAGGCTCCCTTATCCCCTCCCTGTCTGCCAGACAGGCCAGGTTATCAGGCGTTGCGGGATGACAGCCAAAGTGACAGTCCTGTATGACTTGTGTGCTTCTTGCCTTCTCTTTTATTTCATCCCAAGAGTGATACAAACATCCTAGTGACTGTAAATAACACATTTTAAAAGTAAGTAGTTTTGCTTTTCGCACTATTTGAAATACAGATGGCTTAACAGTAACTCAGCATAAGTACGAGGGATTCATATATATTTTTGGACTCTTCTTGGTTTTGGTTTTTGGCTTAGTTCGGTTTTTTGCTCTAAGTTCTCCCTACCTAGTCCAGGCTGGCCTGGAGCTCAGCAGGATTCCTGCCACCCTAAGTTGCAGAGAAGGGTAACTAGAGGGCAGGCATTAGACTGAGTCACTTTTGTGAAAATGGGATATCCCTGTGTGGGCACAGGCTTGGTCACAGGTATGGACTGGGCTGCTTCCGGTTTTTGGTCTTTAGGGACAGGACCTAGCTCTGCAGTGCAGGTTGGCCTTCATCTTGTTTTTGTAGCCCAGGCTGGCCTCAAGCCCGATCCCCCTGCCTCAGCCTCCCAAGAGCTGGGATTGCTGGCATGTGCCTCCATGCCCAGCGAGAAGACCAAACTGTTGCCAGGGTGTGTTAATACTGTGGATGCTTTGCAGAGAGAACTCGTTTACCAGTGTGTGTCACGTGTGTGTGCATGGGGAACCTGGAGCCTCAGTAAGGGACTGGGTCTCCTGGGAGTGCTGCTCCCCAGCCCCAGCCAGCGGCCTCAGGCGCACTGTGCCCAGGAGGTGGAGGAGTAGTCAGGGTCCCTGCCTCGGGTCTGGCACAGCCTCCCTGTGGGGTGGGAAGGTAATTCAGGAGAGGCATGGCTGGCTCCATGCTGACGTCATGGTTATTCACAGCTGGCTTTTTGGTTAGACGAGACGTGATGTAACAGTACAGTGACTAGGAAACGGCCCAGTTATGTGGCCCAGTAGCCTTCCCACCGTGCCCTTTGTTGCCCTGGAGTTGTGCTGTCTCCATCCCGGTCCCTGGGAGGGGACCTGACACCGTGGCTGTCTGCAGAATCCCCCTCCTCGTAGCTGCTGCTCCGAGGGGCAGCATGGCACAGGTGACTCAGCAGGTGCCTGGCTTGTGCTGTGCTGAGGACCATGCCTGAGGGACGGGAACACAAGGAAAGCCCAGACTGTGACCTCAGTGCCATGCACCATGGCCCTGCTGGCCATTCACGTGGTTGGCCTTCTCTGTCCCCCAAGGCCCTCACTCGTCCTCTGGGTCTCAGGAGCTTCCCACCAGGCCTCCGTTGGCCTCCCTCTCCCGGCCATCTCTCGAGTGCAGGGGAGCAGCCTTGGCCTCTGCTCCTGCAGCTCCTGCACAGGCCCAGCATGGCCCGTTGGGAGCCCTGCAGCAGCAAGGGCTGCTCCCGCCAGCACCGCTCTGCTCAGTAGGTCTCCTCATGCGCCCTGCACTGGGTTTACCTGTGCCTGCACCGCTCCTTCCTCCCCCTGCCTTCTCAGTGCTATTCTCCGGCCCTCCGAAAGGAGGTGGATATGCTGGCTGTGGTGGCACACTGATCCCATCTACTTGCAACTTTGAGGCCAGCCCAGGCAACTTCGCTACACCTTGTCTCAAAATTTTACAAACCAGGGTTGCCCTCAGCAGTAGAGCATTTGGCAAACATGCATCAGGCCCTTGATTTAGCCTGCCAACCACCAAAGCCACAAGAAAGAGTTGTCTGTGTCCTGTTCTTGGCAAGGGGATCAGTGGCCTTGGCAAGGGGTCGTCCTCACCTTGACTTTGTAACAGCCCCCCACCTGAGGACGCTTCCTCATGCTTTCCCGGATACCACGTGTCCTGGCTTCCTCCCTGCCTCGCTGGCCTCTGTCCTGCTGCCCCCTTTACCCTGATCCCTTGCCTTTGTGGCCAAGACTCACAGCAGAATTGACTCCTTAGCTCTGTTCTGTTCCCCCCCAGCAAACTCCAGACTGTCAGAGCAGAGTGCGCCTTGTGTGCTTGTGTGCTGGCCACAGTGCCTGGGGAGGTGCCTGCCGCCCTGTAGGTGTCAGCGGAAGCTGGGTAGACGAGGGAATGGTACAGCAGTGCTCCGGCTGCAAAGCAAGTTCATCTCCTCCTAACCGCAAGAACAGAATTTTAACCCCGTAACACAGATACATAGAAAGGCTTCCTGACGCAAATATGCCAGAGCAGTGGACGTGAACCAGATGCTGCTGAGCGCTCTTGGCAAGGTTTAAGTGGCTTCATGCAGCACAATAGGAAGGGTAGTTTCTTGTTCTTAAGTTGTTTCTAAAATGTATTCCTAGAAGCACTGCGTAGAAATATCTGTCCAGACCCCTTGGCTTTTAGAGGTATTGGTGCAGGAGCGAGAAGGGAGACAGCTGTGGTGGGAGCCCCGGGCTGCTCTGGGTTAATGCCCTGGAGCTGCCTGATGCTGGCGGTGCCGCGAGGGAGCCTGGCAGGAGTCCACTGCAGAGTGCTGCTGGCCTGACCCAGATTCCTCTGTCCTGCCTGCTGTCCTGTCACGGGGAGAGCCAGGTGACAGACGGTGCCTGATGACAGCAGTGAGCGCAGACAGCTACCTGCCTGCTCGCCCCCGGGGCTGTGGTCCCTCCCCACCGCGGTTGGAATACTGGAGGAAGCCAAGCAGGGAGAGGTGTTAGATATGGGGAGGGGACCCGGGACGGGTGGGGGAGGTCAGGTGGCAAAGATACAGAAGTGTCCAGATCCGGGAATAATGACAAAGCGTCTCGCACCCACAAAACCCCAGTCCTCTGCTCCCTGGGTTCCATACAGAAATTCATGTGGCTTTTCCGAAACCGAGGGCCCGGCTGACCCCAGGTTCACTTCGGGCACTGTGTGGCTCTGGTAAACTTGTGCTTTTTCCCAACAGGGGGCGTCAGAGAAGGACATCGTGCACTCAGGCTTGGCCTACACAATGGAGCGATCCGCCAGGGTATGTGGCGGCATGTCTGCCTTGCTGCTGGTGGCACCCAGGCCCACCGCACTGCCCGTCCCCATGCGGGTCATGGGTGGGGAGTGGGAAGCAGCAGTGTTAGCAGGGCCTGGTCTCCTGTGTGCAGCGGGACCCACCTCTTGAGCAGTGGGCGGGCTGTGGGTCCCCTGCACACCCCCGCCGGGCCCAGGACTCAGCCCCATGCTTAGGGCAGCGGGAGCCGCAGGCAGCGACCCCTGGGGTGGGGTGGGGGGCTGTGACAGCTGACCTGTATCTCAGTTCGCACTTCTTCCTGAGCTCAGATTCTGCCCTCTGGGCTTTCCAAGTGGAGGCAGCATGCACACAGTGACGCTGGTGCTTCTGAAGGGTGTGTCACAAAGTTCTGAGACACAGTGGAAAGGCCACATGCCCATCCTTTATAAAGTGTGTGACTCGGCAGCCTGTGCTGATTGCACAGGGCTGGGTCGCTGTGGCCGGCGTGAAATTCTAGGACACTTTTGTCATGGCGCACTTGGTTCTTTCAAGCCACTCGGAAATGTCAGGAGGTTCCAGCCTGGCTGCCAGAGCGGTTAGTCTGTGGCCGCCCGCCTGCCCGCCATGAGCAGCCAGGCCGTGCTGGCTCGTCCTGGGCGCGGCTGCCTGCTGGGGTCTTAGGCCTTTCCCCTCCGTTTCAGCAAATCATGCGCACGGCCATGAAGTATAACCTGGGCCTGGACCTGAGGACGGCTGCCTACGTCAATGCCATCGAGAAGGTCTTCAAGGTGTACAACGAAGCAGGCGTGACCTTCACATAGACGCTGGTGGCCGCTGCCTGCCACCCCTCCGCCTGCACCGTCTTCAGCCCTCACAGTTTACATGTACCCGCAGCAGTCCTTCCCATGACTCAGTAGATAACGGGACACCGTTCTCAACCAGGCAGCCCAGATGAGCCCTTTCCAGAAGGAAGACAAGGCCGGGGCCATGCGCAGGCTGTGCCAGGGAGCCGGGCTGATCCAGGAGCCACCCGGGCAGTGGCTCCCCTGCGCGCCCGCAGGTCCACACAGCTAGAGCTTTGCCACACGAGCAGGTGTATGGCATTGTCAGAAGGTGGCGTGGGCCTTGAGCGAGTTCTGGTCTTTTACATCCACAGAGTACTCAATTTTACAAGTTGCAAAGAAAAATAAAGCTGTTCCTCTTGTGCATTTTATTCTTCTGGAATAAAATACATGCTGCTGTAATAAAATTGCCTTTAATCACTTCACAGCCTAACCCTTGACTCAAGCAGTGAATGCCTATAAACATAATAAACGGAGAAAGTAGTATTTTTATAGCATCAACAGTACCCTTTGTAGCCTCTCCCTATCATGTGTTGTCCAGCAGGAGCCGCAGGGCCCAGTGGGGAGCCGCCGTCAGCCAGCAGCCACACGGGCTTTTCTGCTACCATCAGAGTTTGCTAACTGCCATTATGACATAGTCCAAAGAATGCAGTAACCTCCTTATCACGGTGGTGAGTCTGCTGCCCTCCGAAGACCTGTTGTGCTCATAGCTGAACCGTCATTGAAGTAGCATGGCCCAGAAGTGGCCACAAGGCTCCCGTCAGGAGCTGGCCAGCTGAGTGTGTGGGCCCGGCCCAGCCTGGCCTGGCCTGGTCTAGTCTAGCTGTGCTTGCACTGCAGGCCGAGGCCGGCTTTGTGCAGGGAAGACTCGGCCGGGGCCTTCTGGACCGCAGTGTCCCAGTAGAGTATAGGTAACATTTACAGGAGGGCAGGCGCGCTTTTTATTTTGACAGTAATGCCCTTTCAGAAATTTCTAACCACTTTGTAACTGCATGACCTAACCTGGTGATAAAAAGTTATTAAAAGTCTGCCTTTTCCAGAGCTTGCATTTCTTCTGTGTTTATGCTTGATGTCTTGGTGATGAAACCCTCTGTGACCTTTCCTTCGCCGTGACGTGGGCTACTCCAGCCTCATTCCTAGTTTGGCATTTTGTTTGATGAAACAAACTTGTCAGGTACCCTAATGAATGCTGAGGGTGCTGGGTGTTGAGAGGGGGGGCTTGCTGTGCAGTTCACAGCCGTCCTCCTGCCTCAGCCTCCCGAGGGCTGGGACTGCAGGCGTGCTCCACCACACCTGGCTTAGAGTGGTTCCACCAGGTCCTCCGATGCCAGGTTTGGAGGCTTAGTCTGTGTAAGGGCCAAGCAGCGCTGGTGTCAGCGGACTGGGTCCCGTTCAGTCGCGAGATCCACTCATGCCTTCAGCTTAGCTTCTCGTAATTGTATTGATTTCCGTAATCCAAGCTTTATGTGCTCTAAAGTTAATGTTCCTGAAGTGGCCTTAGGTGACTTCAGTAGCACCTGAAAAATGCCTATTTCTGAGCCCAGAGAACACCTAAATACCAGGGTCATTGGCCTTCTCAGGTCAAAGGGCAAGCTTCACAGTGCTGAGGGGCGGTGATTTCCCCCTGGGAAGGGAAGCCCTGGCGTCTGCACGCAGCAGGCAGCCCCTGCTCCTGAGCACCCAGGCCAGCCCTCATCCCCCTCCCTGAGGCACCCCGGGCCCAGCGCTGCAGCCACGTGCCACAAGTGGGGTTGGTTCCGTCTTGTTTGCAGTACGCGTTACGGTTTTCAGGCTTATTTTCAGGTAACTTACTGGCTGCTCACCAGACTTGTACTTTTAAGCAGTGTCTCAGCCCTGACACTGGGCCAGGGCTCCTCCACACAGTGGGCTGCCCTGTGCCCTGTGCAGCTAGACATGCCCTAGGGCAAGCAGTGAGCAGTCACCGGACCACACCCTCCCTGCCCCAAGGGACCCAGTCTGCAAGGCAAGGCCTTCCTCCTGTTTCCGGTCACACCCTTGGCCTGTTTTGTAGCTGTTGCTTTGACAGGATTTGTCTTACTGCTTTCCTCGTTGCTGAAACAAAATACCAACACCCAAAGCTTTAGCTCATGGTTTGTAGAGGCCCAGCCCATAGCCGGCTGGCGCCAGGGTGGCAGGCTGGCATCACGGAGAACAGTTCAAGCCCGGCGGAGGGGAGCAGAGCAACAAGGGGGACCTCGGCGCTCTCCGGCCTTTGGCTCTTATCAGGGCTACTTAAGTTGGGCAGCACTTGATACCTTATAACCTTGAGGTGTTTTCAGATAAGGGCTTGCTTACAAAGCTCAATTCTTCTTGAGTTGCTGTGCCTGAAATATCATGTAAGAAGCCACAGGGTCATCAGATGTCACACAGATTTACGCCTGCTTTTTTCTAAGAATTGTGTAGCTAGGTTTTTTGCTTCTTTTTTTGGTACCAGGGATCGATCTCACAACTGCACGCTTGCAAGGCAGGCACTTAATGCCACTGAGCTAAATCCCCAGCCCCTGTAGCTATTATGTTAAAGATGCATTTTGTCTATTTTACAGATACTACAAATACCTATTTTAAAAATATTCTCTTTATACATGATGTTAAATAGGAATTGTTCTCTTTCCTAAAATACAGAAATACTGATTTAGTAGCCCGCAGCCTTGCTGAACATGTTTGTAGAACGTGTGGAGTCTGCCATCTCCCATGTGTGGCTTTCGTCTGCAGGCGCAGTTTGACCTCCTTCGTTCCTTCCCGATGGTGCCTTCTGCTTTGGAGCCTCAGTTACAGTGCTGACAGAAACAGCAAGAGCGGACGTCTTTGTCTTGGTCCTGACCTGAGAGGGGAGCCTTCAGTTCAAGGCTCAGAGAGCAAGGTGGGGGGCTGGGCGTGGGCGTGCACGCCTGGAATCCCAGCACTAGAGGCCACCGCCGGAGTGTCTCAAAGTTAAGCCCACCCTGAGAAATGCATCGAGCAGGACTCTTCCTAAAGAAGAAAGGACGGAAAGAGAGAGAAATTTAAGGAAAGCCCTAGTTGGATCTCCCGTACCACACAGGGGGAAGGCAGGGGACACCTTGGTGAGTGCCTGGGTAGCCTGGGTGAGGGCTTGCTGCCCCCGCCCTCTCCATGGTCGAGGTGGCTCCTTGAACTGGTGGAGTGCGGGGTGGAGGCTTTTGCTACATCTGTTAAGACCATTACGTGTCTTTCCCTTTTCCCGTTCCGTTAAAATGACGCATGACTCGGGTTTGCTTTCTGTTATATGCTGCTGCTGGTGTTCTGTCGGGGACCCTTTTGGCTATGACGGTGAGGAGCATTGTTCTGAAGTTCTCTCTATCTCTGGTGCCGTTTTGATGTGGGAGACAGGGTGATACTGGCCTCAGAATGAGCTTAAAATGTTTTTCTTTCTTGCATGGTTTCAGTTTTGAAACTGGTGTTTATTCACCTTGTAGTTTTTAATGGAACCCAGCACGGAAGCCCTGGGTACGGCTGCTCTTTAAGGGAATTTTTATTGTTGTTAGCAGCTCAGTCTCATTACCAAACCCTTCAGGTTCCCCATTCTGCCGTGGTCAGTTCTAGTGGCTTACGCCCAAGGAGTTCCATCCGGGTCATCTGATCTGTGGGCACACAGTTGTTACAGCAGGTGTTCTCTGTGTCAGTCCGCAGATCAGTAGCGTGACCTTTCTCAGGGAACAGTCAACGGTCCAAAGAACCGGATTGAAGACGTTCCCACCTGCTAATTCCGGGACAACCTGGACATCATAATAACAGTAATCATAGGACCCCCCCTGAGCAAGGACCCAGCCTCCACGCTCGTGTGCCTACATCCGGGAGTGCGAGACGCAGAGCCTGCCAGGGAGTGGGAAAGCCAGGGTCCACTGGGAAGGCACACTGGCCATACTGGACACCTGGAGCCTGTGACGGCCACGCCTGTCCTGCCAAGCCGCAGCAGCAGGAATGTGACCCTGAGAGGAAATCAGAGCGGTGGGCGTGCTTCCCTGTGCCGGGCTGAGGTGGAGAATCAGACCACCTCAGAGCAGGGGAGGGATTCGCAGCAGTTAGCACCATTTTCATAGCCCTTTGTGGTAATACGGTGTTAATTACTTCCTCAGTGATTGCTTTGGAGATTACAGTGAACACCTTCACTATGACAATCTGCTTCATAATTGCTAACAACTTAATTTCTTCCTTTTTGTTGTTTTTCATTCTTTGGTTTGTTTGTTTGTTTTGTTTTGTTTTGTTTTTGAGATAGGGTCTTACCATGTAACCCAAGCTGGCCTCAAACTCAAGGAACCCCCCTGCCTCAGCTTCCTGAGTGCTGGGATTACAGCTGGGCCCCGCCGCCCCTGGCTATAATTTCAGTAGCAATTGGAAACTTGGTTGCTGTAGCTCCGTTTGTGGTTATGGGCCTAGGAATTTCATCTGGGCATCCTGTACCGATCTACAGCGACCTGTACTTACTGTTTTGTGCCCTTGTCTTTTTAGTGGTAAAGAAAAACAGGAACAGAAACACATTTCTCCCGTCTCTTCTGTCCGCCCACTTAGAGACCTGTGCTCATCTGTAGCTTTGTGTTAGCACCTGGGGACCTCAAGCTTCAGACCCAGGCTGTCAAGGGTCCCCTGTCAGGCAGACCCTGTTCCAAGGGAGGCTATTGGTTTCTGTTTAGCTGGGGAACGCTCCTTTCTCCTTCATGGAAAGCTTTATACTCCTGAGTTTTCTCCACAGCAGAGATCTGCCTTCAGTAGTAGATTCAGACCCACTAGTAAGACGGGATGAAGCGGAGGCCTGAGCGGTGTGGAGCGCCCCGGACCGAGATGTCTGGACCGTCACTGTCCTGAGGGCCCGGGTGGAGGCCAGGCACTCTGGGAGGCTGAGTGGGCAGCGCCAGGACTTGAGGCTGGTGTTATGGTAGGATGTAGGTCGCGGGTGTGGCTGCAAGGAGGGGGACACTGGGACTGTCCCCTAGCGCCCTCTGCCACAGTTCAGCCTCAGCCCGTGCCAGCAGCAGTGGAGCCAAGTGACCATGGACTGAAACCTCGCTGCTACTCTTAGGTTTTTGTCACAGTGACAGAAAGCTGACAGTCACCTTAGCCTGCAGTGTTACCCTGGCAACAGGAGGCAGGGGGCTCATTTAATCCTGAGGGGTTTCAGGCTGAGACCACGCCATGCAGCCGGGACAGCACCCTGCAGCCTCGGGGTCTCAGAGTGGGCTGGGGGAGCCGGCCTGCAGGTGCCTGCGGTGAGGCAGAGGGGGTCCCATCGCCCCACAGTACACACCAGGCACCTGAGGACAGTGACAGAGGGGCCAGAGGGCCGGGGTCTCAGGGCCTGCCTGTCTGGTCCAGTCCTCACAGGGCAGTGTCCTCAAAGCAGAGACTTTCTGGAGGCCATTGCTGGACCTCTGTCACTGGCAGCTCCGTAGCTTCCTATGACAGTTTGAGGTCAGCTCCCGATCGGTCACGGCAGGGCTCACGCAATGGGAAGAAGGTGGGCGGAGGGAGGCGCTCGGTCTCCACCAGCCTGCCAGGCGCAGTTGGGCAGGCTGGGCCCTGGCGCTGCTCCAGCCCTGCCAAGGAGGAAGCCTTTGTTTATCCAACGCTTCCTGCTCAGGCTCCGCAGGAGTGACGCCCAGCTCGCCCTTCGAGTCCTGCAACCCCGCCCTCCCCACCTCTGCAGCGAGAGCCTCCTCGCCTGAGTTACCAAGCGGCAATTAGGGCGCCAATCGGCCAGCTCCTGAGTGGCCCTTGCAGAAGGGAGCACACCCCACAAGCACAATTTTTTCTTTACTGTCTTTTTTGAAGTTCTGGGACTCACACCTCACAGAGACACAGAAGAGGACTTCAGGAACTGCTTTAGGAAGTAACAAGAGAATAAAACAGATGTTACAGTTGGACATGTCCCCCAAGGTCTCATGTGGTCATGGGGATGGACCTTTCAAAGGTGCTGAGTCTAGCGTCTGTGACTGATCATTGTCTGGCGCTGGGATTGGCGGTGTGAGAGCTGCACCCGCCCAGGGGTAAGAGCGAGAGCATCCCACAGTGTTAGGGGGGAAGCAGGGAGCCTCCCCTTGCCTTCACACTTGTTACTTGTGGCTGCCTTGAACAGTTGCCTCTTAGTCACACCTCCCTGCCCTGGGGCCAGCTGAGTACTCGGACTAAAACCTCCAGAAACTGCAAGCTAAAGAAACCTTTCCTTCCCTCATTTTGGGTCTCAGTAACCGAAAAAAATAACCAAGACAACAGAGGAAAAAAAAGCCAGCCAGACATGGTCGAGCAACCTGTAATCCCAGCACTCGGGAGGCTGAGACAGGAGGATCACCGTAAGTTCAAGGCCTGCCTGGGCTGCATAGAGGGAAGGACAGACAGAAAGAAAGAAAGCAGAGAAAGAACAAACCAGGAGTCAGGTGTTCCAAGTGAGAAACATTTTGAGGGAATGAATTGCAATGTGGCTTTTGCATTGTGGCTTTTACTGTAATAAATAATTTAACTGACCATGTATTTTGGTCACACGTAAGTGAGCTGCATGTGTTTTGCAGCTTATTACCTTACAGAACTACCTTAGGTCATGAACCTTGTGTTTGCTTGCGTTCCCTGCAGCAGGTGATGGACATGACCACACCTGTCTTCCCCGGAACTGTGGCTTTGCGCCTCATAGGACGGGACAACGGTTCTCATTCTCAGAAGCCACGGGTGGCCCATCTCCCACACGCAGGGTATTTGCCAGCCAGTCCCTGTCCACGACCCAGTTTTCAGGTAAGGACCTTGTGATTCAGGGGCACAGGTCTCAGTTCCGCCCTGGGTGACAGACCCAATGGGCGGAGCAAAGCCTGCCGCCCAGATGACTTCTGAGTGACATCTGAGCGTGTCACCTGCTACCTCTTGCTATTCCAAACATGCCGCGACCTAGGGACCCCCGTATGGACTCGAGCACCCTGGGAAAGGACAGCACAGTCTCAAAGGACCTGCCAGCCCGAGGTGGCCTGGCTCCGTCCACAGTGTCCTGGCCCTGTGGGCTTGGGTTTGGATTAGAGGGATTCAAAAGGCATCAGGGGCCAGACTGAGACACAAGGTCCAGCCCTGAAGGACAGCCACGAATGTCCCCCCGCTGAGATGTTGGAGATTCCCGGGGTGTTTAGGACATTATGAGGCCAAGGTAAGGTAAGCCAGAGATACAGTAAGGCCTGCCTGGGCTGCTAGCGACCCTATCTCAAAGAGAGACAGGCAGAAAGAAAGCAGAGAAGAATGAACCGGGAGCCAGCAGCCCTCCCCTGCCCTCCTCTCCCCGCCCCTCGCCTCCCCTCTGCCATTGGGTGGGCCCTGGGTGCCACCCCAGCCGGGACAGGCTGGCTTGGCAAAAGGGCACAGCGCACAGGGCCACCCATGCCCAAGGCCCAGCAGGGCCTGTTCGTTGGTTTGATTTTTGTTTGTTTGAGACAAGTTCTCGCTATACAGTTGAGGCAGGCCTTGGACCCACTGTGGAGCCAGGCTGGCCTGGAACTTCAAACAGTCCCCTGCCTCAGCCTCCCAAGTGCTGCGATTACAGGCGAGTGCCACCACGCCTGGCTGCTTACACAGACGTGTGGTCTGTAAGGTTCTGACTTGCCCATGGGACGGAAGAGGGAAGGGCAGGCATTCTCACCCACCACCACCCCCTGCCAGTGATGAGGCTGACCGGTTTAGAGTGGGGACTCCTGGCTGCAGGGCAGGAGCCCAGAGTTGAAGATCACCCTCAGTGTCCCAGCGCTCCACATCTCTCTTGGATGGGTCCAGGAAGCTGCACAGGGGAGGCTGCCTCTTCCCTGAGCCCCAGAACACAGCGAGGAGCCCCGCCCTTCCTCAGACACCCAGAAGCACCAAGGCGTGTGAGCTGACTGCTCCTGGGGCACAGGCTGGGCATGAGTGCGGGGTCGGCGTGTACGGGGGAGAGGGCACCAAGTGCTGCTCGATGTTCTGAGAAGTCTCGGGGTGGGACAGGGTCACCCTCAGACTGACCACAGGATCCTCCCAGGCCCAGTGGCCTGTGCTGCCGTCCCCACCCCAGCAGAGGGTACCCCAGATGCGCCCCATGATTCCAGCCACACAGGAGTGAGTCGGGGCTCCAGGCACACATTTTGGGCTTTTATTGAGGTGGCCGGCGGTCACTGTCCCAGCCGGCCCAGGCCCTCCGCTGCGTGGGTGACTGCATCCGTGACGGTGTGGGTCACCTTCTCCGTGACTTCCTTTACCACTTTGTCCCCTGACTCCTGGGCTCGCTTCAGGGCGTCGGCGACAGCTGTCAGGAAGGGGGAAGAGAGCTGGGTGGGTGGCCCTGCCGTGTCACAGGGTGCGGGGAACCAGGGCTCAGGACGGGGCAGGGGCTGAGCCCGGGTTGGTTCTGTTCCCCACCCTGCATCCTCCCTCAGGCACAGGCTGTGTGGGTGACAGCCAGCCAGCGACAGGGGAGGCACCGTGGCACAGGGCCTGATGGTAAGCAGGGAAGGGGTGGCGCACCCTCGGCCTCCCTCCCCATCTCCGGCCCTGTTCACCCCACAGCCAGTCACGCGCCGCCACGGGGACCCCTGACCCTCACCCCCATGTCCGCTCCGCACCTTTCTCCCCGACCTCCTTGGCGTGCTCCACCACCTCCTTCACCACCTCCTCCACGGCGTGAACTGGAACAGGCAGAGCGCGTGGGGCAGCAGCCTTCCCCTCCCTCCTCTCCCCTCCCCTCGTCTCCCCACTGCCATTGGTGGGCCCTGGGTGCCACCCCAGCTGGGACAGGCTGGCTCGGCAGAAGGGCACAGCGCACAGGGCCACCCATGCCCGAGGCCCAGCGGGCCTGCAGAGCTGGGAGCAGCCACCTTCCTCCCTCCAAGACCGCACACGCCCAGGATGAGCAGGCCCAGCCCTGTAGCAGCCTCCCCGAGTCCACCTCCCTCCACTGGGCCTCCTCCCAGAGGGCAATGACACGACAGGGACCGCAAAAGAGGTCCTGGAAACCAGGAGCAGGCTGGGTGCCGAGGGCAAGCCTCATGGCAGCCCTTGGGGAGCTTGAGGCGGGAGGGTCCAGAGGCCGAGCCCAGCCTACAAAGTCCCAGCTTACAAAGGGGCTGGGGTATAACAGGGTGCAGGCCGCGGGCTCCATCCCCAGGACTTCGGGGGGTGGTGGGGGGAGGAGAAGAGAAGAGGGGAGGCGAGGGGAGAGAAGGGAAGGGCAGGGGAGGGGCAGTCAGCACCCCAACCTGACCCCACGGCCTGGGAGCTGAGAGCCTCACTGTGGGGATGGGCCCGACCTCACCTGCACCCTCGGTGGCCTTCTCTGTGCGGTAGGCCAGGCCATCGGCCGCCAGCTTCCCCAGATTTCCCAGCATGGCACCACTGCTGCAGACACAGGTGGGGCTCCAGGCCCTGCCTCCGCCTTTATAGGCGCTTCTGATGCGGCGGGCAGGAGGCGGGGGTGAGTCAGGTGCGGGGAGGAGGAGCCCGGGTGCGCCCCAGTGCAGGGTGCTGCCCTCGCCAGGGAACCCCCACCCCTTGCCCGGAAGCCGGGAGCAGGACAGGTCAGCTCAGGCTCCCCACACCTGACACTGGAGGGTCCGGGTGACAAGGCCTGGGGCTTGCCATCTGCTGGTCCCCTGGGGTTCCATGGGGACCCAGGCAGTCACCAGGGCCAGCACCCATGGGGCGCAGGCACCACTGGTCCCTTCTCAAAAGGACCTCTGTGGCTCTGTGAGGTCCTGGAGGAGCAGACTGGGAGCCCTGCCCCGCCGCTGGGGGCAGTCACCCCGGCCAAGTCCCCGAAGGTACCCCTAGTCCCTGTGTCTCATGCATGAGTCCAAGCTGCCTCCTGTCACATCAGGACAGCAGGACACGGCCACGTGCCGTGTGACGCCTGTCTTAGTCACCAGTCCAGCCTCAGCTTCGGCTCCTCATCTGTGAAATGGGGACAGCCATGCCTGCCTGGCTGTGTTGGTGGCCACAGGGGACCCCGTCCAGCACATGGGTATGGGTCAGTGGTGCTGGGAGACACTGCTGGGCCAGGCGCCAGGCCCTCTGGTCCTCTGTGGCCCTGTGCTCACGGATCCCAGCCCAGACGGGGGTCTGAGCCACCGTCCCTGGGCAGCTGGCCTCCCACCTCCTCCAGAGCAGCCCTCGTGGTTGAGGCAAGACCTAATTGATGTTTACCTGACAGAGCCAGGCCTGGGGCCTGGCTGGCCACCCTGCCCGGGAGTCAGAGGGTGCCGTGGGCAGCAGCAGCTCTGGGTCACAGCCCTGGATGGGTCATGCACGCCCTCGGGCAGAGGTGGACAGCGGCCTCGCCTGCTGTAAGGAATACACAACTCACGCACTTGACACACACAGAGCTGTGTGCCCATGACCACGTGGGTCAGGCAGGGGCCGTGGGCCCTCGCAGGCTAGAGAGCCCGCAGACCCTCTTCAAGCCCCCAGTCTACCGTGCCCTCTCTGGAGCGCGCTGGCTGGACTCTGGGAACAGCTGTCCTGTCCCTGCCACTGCTGCCCCTGGCCGTGAGACCCTGCCCCGCTTGAACACAGCCCCCCCATTGAGCCCCATAACCCAGTGAGCACACAAACAGTCCCTGGCTGAGACACAGGTCACAGATGCCTGGCAGGGGCTCAGCCAGGGCGAGGAGACCTATGCAGCCCTGGACTGGGCTTCGGACCGCAGCTGTTCCACCCCAGTGCAGCCCCAGCTGAGACCAGCTCCCTGTCCTCCAGCCCAGCCTGCGTCCCCCAGCAGGCCCTTTGCACCGACCTCTGGAGTCCCCTGCACCTGGACCCCCTTATCTAGAGCCTCCTGTCCAGGGGCAGATGCTGGTCCTGGGGCTGGTCTCGGGCAACGCCCACAGAGAGCAGCTTTACCTGCCAGACTAGGGCAAGCGTGACTCAGAGGCCACCCTCCTCCTCCCTACTTTGGGGACACCCCACAGAGCGCCCCAGGACACAAGCACTGAGACGCAGCCTGAGTCAGAGGGTCGGGTCCAGCTGCCCTGGCAGGAGGGCGCTGGCTGTGACGGGGGCCAGGGACTGCTCCTCGGGGAGTTCGCCCATTTACCTGCCTTGGCCCGGAACCAGCGGCTTGAATCACCGAGTCCAGAGAGCCGGGTTTTAAATAGCAATTTGCCAACGTAGCAATTACGAATTCCTCTTAAAGGTGTTTGTTCAGTTCGTGAGCTGCGCAGGGCTGGATCGTGGCTGCAGCCTGGTGATGTCTTGCATGCCTTGAGCCCTCAGTCACATACATCCGTGTTACGCTGGGCCAAGGCTGGTGCCTGGCTAGGTAGCACCCTTTCCCCGGATGTGCAAGGCCCTTAGGTCCATCTCTGTACCTCAGAACAAAAGGAGGATGCGGATTTGGGGCTGGGGACATGGCTCAGTGGTACAGGGTTTGCCTAGCATGCGTGAGCCCTGGATTCCAGCTCCGTCACCATGAACATTTTGTTCAAGATTTGTGTAGTCCCTCATGCCCATGCTTTTCTGCTTCGGGGATCTGAGCTCTGTGTGTTTGTTTCATTTTGGTTTTGGTTTTGATGTTTTGAGACTGGGTCTCACTCTGCAGCCCAGGCTGGCCTCAGGCTTGTGGCGATCCTCCCGCCTCAGCCTCCCGAGTGCTGGGTTACAGCATACAGCATCACACCAGGCTTGAGCTCCAGTCCTGTGCTGTGCTCATAGATCCTGGACACACTGCCCCTCCTGGGCACAGAGCCTCCCTGTCACCACAGGCAGAATCGGCCTTCGAGCACCGAGTGGCCAAGTCAGGACGGTCCACAGGGTGTGGGGAGCAGCTGTAGTGACAGATCTCACCCTGGTCAGCAGGGGCAGGCGGGGCAACCAGCCTGCGGACACCATCCTGTGTCTTCTCCTTAAAGCTATGGGAACCCACAAGAGAAGGAGAATCCAGTCCCAGCCACCGTAACATGCAGCCGGCTTCAGGGACCTCGAGGCCAGGCACTGCGGGGCCGAAGGTGGGGCGGCCCACGGGGAGGCTGGTGGAGCCGGGGTGGGGTGAGGCTGGGGGTTGGGGCAGTGGAGCATCTCCCAGTGGTCAGCAGACTGCCCAGGAGGAGGGGCCCTCCGGGTGAGAACTGCAGGGGCAGCGCAGGGCTGGGGAGTGGACAGCAAGGGAAAGGGGCCCTCGGCAGGGCTGGCCACAGACAGCCTGCTCCCCAGTGGGGGGCTGAGGGCGCACCCCCAACAGGGGGCCAAGAATCTCCCAGAGCCGATGGGCTCTGAGGACCCCTCCCCCTGGGGAAGGAAGGGCTCGCCCACTCCCAGACTTTGCAGGGGACCCAAAAGGCTCATGCGTGTTTTCCACGCGACCCTAGGAGCTCACTCTGCATAGCGTGGTAACCACAGCAGAAAAAGTGGCAGCAGCACCTTGGAGTACGTCACATCTACGTGTGCATCACTAAATAGCTAGGCTCACAGATTTAAATGCATGGAGTTAAGCCATTTCACCAGACAGTGAGTTTAAATAAACTGAAATAATTTAAATTAAAATCAAAATATTAGCTAAACTAAAGTCCTTGTTGGGGACTCACACATTTTTATCTATTTTTTTTTTTGGACAGGATCTCACTACGTAGTTCAGGCTGACCTTGAGCTCACTGTGTAGCCCAGGCTGCCCTCAAACTCACGGCGATCCTCCTGCCTCAGCCTCCCTGGTACTGGAATTGCAGGTGTGTGCCACCATGCCTGGCATCTAATATCTTCAGAATCCCACCCATACTCAGGCACTGTAATTAACAGTTGTTTCCTGCAGTTTCTTAGGCTTGTAGGAGCAACTCACCAGCTCTCCTTTTCTTTCATGACCTTGATACTGTTTTTGTTTTGTTTTGTTCTGTCCTGGGGTTTTTTGAGACAGTTTGGTTTTTTTGTTTTTTGGGGGGCTTTTTTTTTTTTTTTGTCTTTTTCCTTTTTATCGGTATCGGGGATCGAACTCACGACTGCCTGCTGGCAAGGCAGGCGCTTATGCCGCTGAGCTAAATCTCCAGCCCGAGACAGTTTTACTATGGAGTTCAGCCTGGCCTTGAACTCTGTAGCCAGGCAGGCAATCCTCCTGCCTCAGCCTCCCGAGTGCTAGACCTGCAGGCCTGTGCCAGCACATCCGGCTTGACCTTGACACTTTTAACTCATCTTGGTCCGCACTCAGCCAGGCTGCTCACTGTGCCTTTGTTGGTGTTCCCTGTCACTGGCCTGGTCCTGCACGTCTGGCGGAATATTCGGTAGTGATGCTGCATGTATGCACTTAATTATCCCCGCCCAGCACAGCGGCCGGATTCTGACAAGAGCCAAGCCTTGGACTTGGTCATCAGGAAAGGTGGGTCTGCTGGGCTACTTCACCGTGAGGCCGCTGCTTTTACCCCGAGCTTAATAAACATCTCGGAGAATAACACAATGTGGAGGTTTCTGCTCTTCATCAAACTTTAATTTTTTCTATTTTTAATTGTACTAAAATTCACCCTGCTACTGCTGGGTCAGTATTACCTGCAGTCTTGTTGGTGGATCGTAATTTTGACCCACGCTGTACCCGCCTCATGATTCTGCTCCTTATACAACTTCCTCTGAGAGGTGGGCTCCTGGGCAACCCACTGGGACCCCTCCTGGCTCTCAGCAGCTGTTCTGGTCCCCATTCCCCGCTCCTGTTCTCCAGTAAATTTTCCGGCTCTTAACCCTTGTTACTCCCTGCAGCTCATTGTCCAGCCTCGGGGGACACAGACGCAGCACACTTGACATCCAGCAGTTCCCCTGTGTCGCTCGATTCCACTCAACCCAGCTGTCCTGGGAATCTTCCCGAAAGAGCTGAAGGTATCAGGTCACAGGGTCCCGCGCGCGCCCGGTTTACAGCAGCACAAGTCACAGTAGCTAAATCTCAGAAGCAGCCTCTGTGTCCACCCCACGTGAGCGGAGAAAGAAAACGGGGCATTTACAGCCACGGAGCCCTGATCTGCCACCAAGAGGGGCACACTGGGTCGTCTCCAGGAAAATGGGTGCACAGTGAGACTCAGTCAGTCTCACAGCTTAAATACCACGTGGTTTCTTTCATATGAGAAACTCAGAATCTAAAGAGCAACAGAACCGATACTAGGACACCTGGAGACACAAATTTTACAAATGAGAAGGACTGTAAGGTGGGGGAGGGTGTCACCGGCCACTCCAGGGGCCTGGACCACTAGAGGGCGCTGATGGCCACCATGCCAGAGGGCCGAGGCTGACACCCAGCAGATTCTCTGTAGCAAGTGTGAGCCCAGTGTCACACCCAGCCAGGGCGAAGTGTGAAAGCCCCGGCTGTCAGAGGGAGGACACAACGCATCGGAGCTCAGCGATCATAATTGACTTTATTTTTGCCTCCAGTATCAGGACTTGATTCCACAGAACGCACCCAGTGTTCCCACCAGCTGAACAGAGGAGGCTGGTTTCCCAGGCAGAAAAAACAGAACAAAAAGCGAATTTCGAGGTTGCTTCGCTGGTCAGGTAGGCCCGGGAGACAGGGCCACTGCAGAGTGACCACTAGTGACCGGGACGGGGAGAGCGGCTTGGGAACCGGCGTCTGCAGTCCTGAGTTCTGGGAAATCAGTGCCAGCCAGCTCTGTTTCGGTGGAGCCTTAGCCCGAGCCACCCCATTTGTATTTCTAGCCTGGTCTCTGGGGGAATTTAGTCCAGAGTAATGGCTTCTTGTATCTTTCATTTAACAAGACCAACAACCTTCCTCAAACCCTGAACAACTCACAATGCTGCTCTCAGAGGCCCCACTGTTAAAATTCTTGTATTTAAGTCGTTCTTTTTAAAAACAGAAAATGCCATACATAAAAATAGACCGCCGTGCCTCCCCCCGGACCCGGTACCCAGCTACAAAACCGGGCAGCCCTGCTCCCAGGGGCTTTCAGCCTTGGGGACGGCTGGGGGTCGCCCTCCCCGCCCAAGAGCCACCAACCAGCAGGAGCTGTGACTCTGCAGGTCTCGGACTAACACAAGGCGTGGCCCGGGCTGGGACGGTGGACCACGCAAAGCGAAGGACAGGGGAAAGGGAGAAGCCGGCCACAGGCGCCAGAGCTCAGCAGCTGGGCTCTGGCTGGAGCAGAGAAGCCGAAAGAGGCTGCTCCAGCTGGCTGAGGGAGGCAGGTGAGGAAGGAGGAGGAGGCCGTGCAGTCCCCAGGTCAAAGGACAGAACCGCAACTGGTGATGAAGATCTTTGATTGTTTTTGTTTGTTTGTTTGTTGGTACCGGGGATCGAACTCAGGACCTCGAGCTTTTCCTGTCCTCCCACTTTAGGGAGTCACCCCACATTAGCTCTCCTGTCCCCTGTGGTCACAGCAGTGACCACAGTCTCAGGAATCACGCCCATCACAAAGACAAGCCCAGGGCTAGAGGGGAGACCATGTCTCCCAATGTCCTCTTTTTAAAACCCCCGAAGCCTTCCCCAAGCCCCTGCCCCTCACGCCCACCTCCTCTCCCAGCCAAGGCCGCTCCCTTGACGGAGTGGGAGTCACCCTCACCCACAGCACACAGCCCTACAAGCTCTTGGGGTCCACCCAGCTCACCAAAGGCAAAGGACACCCCCCGGCTCATTCTGCAGACTAGGAGCGGGGGCTTCTTTTGGGGTCATTTAGCTCCAGGACCTGAGCGTGGATCTCAGGATGAAGGTGTGCACCTGTCAGCCCAGGGCAGGAAAAGGCATCCTCCACAGCACCAGGAGCTGGCAGCCCATGCAGTGGGGGAACCCAGGAGGTAACATCACAGGGGACATGGGCCAAGCCTAGGGGGCACCGTACAGAGTCCAAGGCTGTGCCCACGGAAGATGCCATCATCAGGGCGTCCAGGGGAACAGTCTCCCATTGACACGGGTGCTGGGCAGGTGTGACCCCCACCCCCGGAGACCTGGCAAAGTGGTCATCCTGGGCCTGAAGAAGGGACCCCTGAAGCAAGAGGCTGTTGCCTGTGCACCCTGTACCCCTTGAGCCCCCAGCCACGCAGGTGTGGGCCCGTGGGGGGCGTGGCTCCCTGACCCTGGAACCCTCGAGTTCCAACCCCGTCCACCATGGTCTGAGTGATGCCTGGCACCCCTGCCCTCACTTCCCTGGGGTGAAATTCCCAGAGTGGATCTGAGGGTTGGGACCCCCACCCTCCAGGGCCTGGCAGCTGCCCCCAACATGGGCCTGGGCATCAGTGTGGAGGAAGCCAGGCCCCTGGACGTGGTGCGGGCACCTTCAGTGAGCGCCAGGCCCCTCCCTCGGGTGAGAAAGCAGGCTTGGTGGAGATGCTGTGCTTTATTGGAGAAGGGCAGCCAGGGGGGCGCTGCTTGGGGACATCGGGCCAGGGTCCACCCGGCCAGGAGGGCGCCTCACTTCTGGTGGCTGAACTTCTTCCCCATCACCCCGTCGGAGCCCTGGTTGGCAGCCTTGTCGGTGGCTTCTTGAGGCTTCTCAGCACCTGGGCAGGCAGGGGTGAGGGGTAAGGTCCACCTGCATCGTGGTCATGCAGGTGGCGGGAGCAGGAGGCTCTCTCCCCAGGACGCCCTGGGGCTGCAATGAACCGAGCAGCTGCAGGGGACCCCCCTCCTCCCTTGCAGCCCCCAGACCTTTCTGTCCAGCCTCAGGGGGGTCCACTGGCTGGCCTGCAGTGGCGCCTGTCAAGAGAGAGGGGGAGAGAGACCCCATTAACTGCTATGGAGCCCCTGCTGACCATGGCCCTACCCCACCACGCCAACCCACAGGATGGAGGTCACTGGGGTGGCATCCTTGTCTCCTCTGCCTGAGCTCAGACACCCAGCAGGTCCCAGGACCTTCACCCTGGCCTAGGAGCCCCGATGGGGCTGCTTGGAATGGGTGGGACACTTCCTGCCCGCACTGCTGTCCCCTTGGTGCCCATGTGGGTGAGCACCCAGTGGCCCCTGCATCTGAACTTGGGGTGGCTCCCTGGGAAGGGTGTCAGCTCACCTTCCTGGCCAGTCCCCTCCACCTGCTGCTTTAGGTCCTTCAAGCCTTTGCTGGCCATGGCTCTGGGAGCTTGGTGGGTTGCCCAGCACGGCTGCAGCGGAGCTGGACCCCAAGGACCACGGTGCAGACCCAAGCACAGCTGGGATTTTCAAGGCATGCATCCTGGCCCGCCCCAAGGGGGGGCTGTGGGCGGTTCTGGGACTCGGGCTGAGCCTGGCAGGCCCTTCCTGGGCACCGCTGGGGGCCGAGGGGAAGCTGGCAGAGGTGCAGACCCCTGGGGGCCCACAGTGGGGAAGAGGTGGCCTAAGCCAGGGTCCCAGCCACGTAGCAGGGGCGAGGGGCGGGAGAGGGGTACCCGCACCTCTGTCCCTGGGCCTGGCCCTTCCTCCTCCACCCTGAAGGTCCCCACCTGGTTGGGAATCAAGGCCACGGGTGATGTTAATAGCAGCTGCCCAGCAGCCTCGTGATGGGTCACCCTGCCAGCTGGTGAAATGGGGTCATCATTAACAGCATCAGCTACAGAGGAAACTGAGGCAGAGAGGGGGTGGGGTGGTCAGACTGGACACCAGGGACAGGATCTCAGCCTGGACCCTGAGGACACAGACAGGGAGGCTGGATAAAGACCCCACCTGAAAACAGCAAAGCCCAGAGAGGAGGGCAAAAGGAAGAGACTGTCCCCTGCATCACGCTGGGGAAGGGGACAGCGGAGGTCACCAGTGTCCAGTCGGGTGCCACCAGGCAGGAAGGCCCGGGTGTTTTTCTCTCCCAAGAGCAGTTAGCGAGGCAGCTCGTCGCTGGGCCCAGGAGGGCAGCGGCTGCAGGGGGAGGAACGGCCAGCTCAGAGGCAGCAGCAGACACCAGGCCCAGGCCTCCGGGACCCGGTGCCCGGGGAGGAGCCCTGTGCTCTCCCTGAGCCTTGCCGTCTACAACCTCACCTTGAGGACACTGGTCTAAGCCTCTGAGGCCCTCAGGAGGACACAGCTGCGGGGACCCAGTCTGTCTGTCACTTGGATGAAGGGCCCCGCGGATGCGGGCGGGTCAGGCGGTTTGAACAAGGAGAAAGATCAAGCCAGGCATGTGGTGCCTGCCCATCATCCCAGCACTAAGCAGGCTGAGGCAGGAGGATCACCACCTGCTGGATGCCAGCCTGGGCTACATGGTGAGTTCAAAGCCAGCCTGAACAGCACAGTGAGACCCTGCTCAAAAAACCAAAATGAAAAAAACAAACAAGCAACTCCATCTTGACTCTGCCTAAATTTCAAGCTCCTTTGTCCTTGGGGGAGGGCTCAAGAACGGGGTGGTGGGGGAAGGCTGGGGTGGGACCCGTGCCCGGAGGATTCCCGTCACCACTCCAGCGGTCTGGAACCACCGTTGTGAAAGCTGGGGTGGGCCACACACCACGGCGAGGTCGTGATGCCCCGGAGACCTCAAAAACCGCCCAGTTGTTCCTCTGCTGGTGTCCTCCACTGAGGGGAGGGGGTGTGGGGGCGGGGAGGGCAGACGGGCTGTGTCACGGCTGGACAGACATTCCTGGAGTGACTGAGCCGTCTACACACAGAGTTAAAGTCTGACCGGAGACTAGGGATGCAGGGGCACTGGGAGCGGGGGGCCCGGGATTCCCCCACTTTAGCTGCTGATGTGGCCCTCGAGGCTCTGATAAGCGACCATGGTCCTCGTAGCCCCTGGACAGGTGTCACCTGCAGGGAGGCTGGGGACTGATCATAGAGCAGCATGATCGCAAAGTTAGTGATTTTAGAGTCAGCTAAAAGCAGGTGAACTTGGGGCTTCGTTTGAGTTTTTTGGTTTTTTAGTGATTTTGTTTTGGTTTGGCATTTTTGAGACAGGGTCTCGCTGTGAGCTCACACTGGCCTTGAATTCCCTAGGCAGCACCGATCCTCCTGCCTCAGCCTCCTGGGTGCTAGGATTATACATGCACCATCATGCCCAGCTGTTAAGGCTTCCATTCGGTCACATGCCTGACACCCACAGAGGGCCCTGCAGGAGCCAGGGTAAAGGGATGGGGTGACAGCCCCTTCTGGGGGCCCAGAGCACAGGAAGTAGAGTCTAGAGACAGCCCTGCAGGGCCCTGGGTGGGAAGGGCTTCCTGGAAGGGGCTTGAATCCAAGGCAGGAGTGCATGCACACATATGTGTGTTTGGGGATGGGTGTGTAGTGGTCCTTCCATGGGCCGAGGCAGGGTGCTGTCCCCAGACACCCCTCTAGTACACCCCAGCTTCCCAGGGAGCCCCTGCTCCCCAGCCCAGAGAGCTGCCCAGGCTACCACCGTGCACAGGCTGACAAGCACAGGACGTCCCCAGCCTGCCTGAGCGCCCCAAATCTCAGGCCCCACTCCATGCCTTCCTGATTCCCAGCAGTGAGGCCCTGGCTGGGCGTCCGACTCCTGTGCCCCATTACTGACACTTGGGGAGGAGGCAGCGTGGCGGGGCAGCTCTGGGGTCCTGATATGCCCGACTGGCACCTCCGCTGAATCGCTCCCAAGCTCTGCACCCCAAGTGGATGTGACGCTGGCGAGGTCCTCAGGACAGGAAGGCCTGGCCCTGCAGGACACTAAGCAGCCTGGGGCAGGTTTCCTGCTCCAACCTGGAGCCATGCAGTCCTTGGCCTGGTGCAGCTTGGGCTCTGGGGAGCTCTGCAGCAAGGCCACCCCGCTGTGTGCCCAGGCAAGTTCCCTCACCTTGATGGGCCTCAGCTCCTCCCCAGGGCACGGGGATCACCTGGCTCCTCCCGGGAGGTCTGTGGGAAGCTGTGGCCCTGGCTCTACAGAGCTCCCTTCATGGCAGGGATCACTCCCTTCAGGGGAGGAGGGGAAGCCCTGCCCCTGGTCTGGGGGTCTGGGGCAGAGAGCAGGACCCCGGGCGCTGGCGTGTCTGCTGGGACAGTGCCATCATCCTCATGTGGATTTAGTACATATGTACGTGTGCGTGTGTGAAGGCCCAGGGTCTCAATGCATAGTCCAGGCTGGCCTCGAACTCACTGCTGGCCCAGGCTGGCCTCTGAGCACTGCCATCCCCCTGTTCCAGGCTCCCAAATGCTGGGATTTCAGGTGTGCATCACCATGCCCAGCCTCCTTACAGGGTTCCCCTCAATTGCCAAATTGCCCAGGTTGAATTTGTAATCAATCCTCCTGCCTCAGCCTCCCAGAGTGCCACTGCGCCTGGCTAGATCTCACCATCTGAAAGTTCCTGGCTGCTGGGGGAGGGGAGCAGGGCCACTGGGGCAGACCTCGCCTGCTGGCCTTGGGTCCCTCAGCAGGCAGTGTTTGGGGGCCACACAGCCCAGTGCAGCAGTGGGTGGGCTGTGGGAGTGTCGGGGTCCCTGGGCACGGAAGCACACAGTGTGTCCCTGTAGGATCCCCGTCCTTGGGGATCGTACTTCACGGAGGATGACGCAGCAGAGCGAGGAGGCAGGGCTGGGCTGAGGCTCGAGGTTTATTTGGAATCGTTTAAAAAATGAAAAAGATTTCACAGCAGTGTTCGACCTTCAGGCGAGAAAGAGCAGAGGAAACCGGCTGAGGGCGGGCGGTGACGCAGCAGCTCATGGAGGGCAGGAGGCAGGCTGATGGCAGCCAAGGTGGCCCACGGTGGCTAATGGTGCCGGTGGGGAGCGTGGAGTGCCCTTTGAGATGCAGGAGCCAGGGTCCAAGGCAGAGGGGCGCCCCCGGGCCTCCGGGGTCCACAGCAGCCGTCTAATCGCCCCCACTCTAGGCCTGACACAGACAGGGACCCTGATACTAGGCTTTGTGCCTCCCACGCCAGGTCCCTCCAGGTCCCTCATGGAGGCCCCCGTGGGAGGAGCAGGGTCAGAGGCTCCCTAAAGGCCCTGGGCCCCTGGGCCCCAGCCTGGGAGACCCTGGTGTGCCCGGGCAGCTCCTACCTCCTGGGCCGCGCCTTCCTCTGCAGCTGCTGGCTCCTCCTGGGCAGGGGCCGGGTGCTCCAAATCCTCCTGCGGGCAGCACAGCGGGGGCCTGAGGGCTCAGTGAAGGCACAGAGAGGGCCCTTCCGGGGTGCCTAGGACTCCTTTCCCCCTAAACTGACCCCCGGTCCTAGGTACCCCTGCTTGGATCCCTGATACAGATACCCAGGATGAGGGCTGGGCTGGGACGGCAGAGGTCTGCAAATCTCCCTTGTGTGTAACCAGGAGCAGGGCTGTGACCTGCTGTCCACACAGCCCTGAGGTGCAACAGGGCAGGCTGGCATCAGGTCCAGCTTGCTCCAGTACCCTCTGTCCCCGACAACCCCCTGCCTGGGCGGAGGCTCAGGGCCAAGCCAGCAATGGGCCCCATCTCTGGCCTTGGCACTGACTGCTGTGCTACCCTGGGACCATCCTGTCCCTGGGGCAGAGCTGGCCAGGTGCACCAGGCCTCGGGGTGAAGGCCTGACAGCCCCATCCAGAGTGAGAAACCCCAGGCATGGACTCGATCCCTGGGCTGGCTGTCACAGGACAGTGTCCGCCAGGGCAGCTCTGAGCACCTGTCCGCTCTGCAGGATCAGGGCAGAGCTGCCTGGCACCTGTCCTAGGGCCTGTCCCCTGGCATCTGGGCTCCTGAGCACACACAGATGGTGATGGGTACTCATTGTGAGCCTAGAAGAGCCAATTCCAGGGGACCCCTTCCCCACTGCACCCCACAGCCCAGTGAGACACAAGCAGGCACACAGAGGGGTGACGCCACTCCCCAGGGACACATTGCCCAGCGAGGACTCCCTTCAACTCCAGGACTCGTTTTTGGGGGCTCTGAAAGCAGAGGTCTGTGCAGCCCCCAAAAGGGCAGAACCAAACCCTTCCCAGAGAGGGGACCTGCAGGTGCAGGGCCTGGTGCTCCGAGCCAGGCCGGGGCGCCACGCCCGCGTGGACGCACTAGGATCCCTCAGCAGCCTCACGGACATCTGCGCCAATTAAATGACTTAACAAGCGTGAAGAGCTAGGCGCCTGGACAGCTCACGCCGCGGGCATCTCCTCGGGCCCCGCACCAGCTGATGGGCCGCACACCCGTGCACACTTGTCAGTGCATCATGACACGCACCCTCACTGTGCACATGCGAGCCACACACCCCCGCACAGTGCATACGTGCACGCTCCCTGCATGAGGCCCACACAGCCTGCACGGTGCACACGTGCGTGCGTGCGCGCGGGGTCGCAGAAAAGCGGGGCTGAGGGTGTGGTCGGAAGCCTCGCCGCTGTCTGCCGCCAGGGGGCGCTGCTCCCCCGCTGCACCTGGAAGGGGGTGGGGAGGGGTCCCCTGGACAAGGCCGCCAGGTGAGTCTGTCGCTGCTGTCACCAGCGAGCCCTGCGCACAATGACGCAGGCAGCCTCTCCCAGCGCTGGGGGCTCAGAGCGGGCGTGGCGTGGCCTCATTTTGCCCGTCTATAAAATGAGCTCCACTCTTCACTGCAGGGGGCGCGAGGCCGTGGACATGGACCCCGCTCCCCGTCCCCCGCGTGTCCAGCAGCGGTGTTGCCGCCCCAGATGTCCTCCAGCCCGGGGACAGCCCGGGCCCAGGCTCACCTTGCGCACCACCCCGGCGGTGACCACAATGTTCTCCGCCTCTTCCACCGTCTTGGTGGCCACCGTGTTGACGCTGGTGACCACGGCCTCGCTCACGGCATTGGCCTGCTCCTTAGTCTTCTCGGCCACTGCAAGAGGACGAGAGGACATAGGCGTCGCCCTGACCCTGCCCCAGCCTTCCCTTCCCCGGCCCCCCTGCTGCCCCTTCTTGGTCCCAGAGCCCCTCTGTCCCCAACTGGGAAGGAGAGGCCTGGCCCAGGCGCCCCAGGTTTGCCAGGACCCAGGTTCACACAGACAGGACCTGTGCAGGGTGCCCGCCCTGCCCTGCCCGTCCCCTGGTGCTGGGTCTTCTCACCTGAGGTTACGCTTTGTACCACGTTCTCCTTAGTCTTGGCTCCTGGAGGGGAAAGGAGGCGTCAGTCCCGACCACATCCCCAGGGTAGGGGGCTGGGGCAGAGCGGGGCTGGAGTCCACAGGGGCTTCCTGCTGCATCCCGGGGAAGGGAAGGATGACAAGGAGACAGGACAGGGTGGGGGGCAGAGGAGGCTGGGACCCTGGCTGGGCGTGGCCGGGGCCTCGGGAGCTGCAGCAGATGCAGACACAGCTGAGTCACCAGCTGGGTCTCCGCTGCGTCCTCTCCTGGGCTGCTGGGGGCTGGCGGAGGGACCCCAAGCCGGGTCCCTGGACCCAGCCCAGCCCTGCCTGGCCCATCCCTTGAGGCAGGGCCACCTGCAGCTGCTCTCACCCCGGGATGCAGAGTGGGTGTGCCCCTGTGTGTGGACGGATGGTGACCAGATGCACAGCCGCTCGGGCTGCGACCCAGCTTGGCAGCCAGGTCCTCCCCCTGCCCTGGTGGCTGGCGGGGGAGGGTAGAAGGAGGTCAGGCCGAGGGTCCCAGGCCCGGCCCCGCCCGCCCGGGTACTCACCCACATACATGACGCCCTCCTTGGTCTTCTCGGCTGCCTCTGTCACGCCCTGCTTGGTCTTCTCCACGGCGCCCACCACGCCCTCCCTGGCGATGGAGAAGCCCTTCTTGAAGACATCCATGGCGGAGGTGAGGAGGAGATGCACCCTGCGCTGCAGCTGGCCAGAGCTCAAGTGCTGCCCAGCCCGGTCCCTGCTGCCGGGCGCTGCCTCTTACTGACGCGGATGAAATATTGATGTTGTGGCTGCTGGCGCCGGCCCAGGCTGCCCGGGTGGGGGCGGGGATGCTGGGGAGCCATCTCCAGGCAGGGAACGGTGGGGGACAGGCCCGGTCACCCCTGCCCCCTGCCCTGTCCCCTGAGGCACTGGGGGCTGCCCCTCTCCTCCCACCCAGCTTGGCTGCAGTCTGAGCATAAGGTGGGGGACTGTGGCCAGGCCCCCACCAAGGTCTGGACTCCATCCTGATCCATCGGGGAGCAGGACAGCCACAGGCAGGCCATCATGGCCTGCCTGCTGTGTGACCCGGGGTCTCCTGGCCCTCCCTGAGCAGCCCCGAAGTGTGCGGTGCTGAGACAGCAGCATGCACCTCCACTTCCCGGGCAGCCTCAGGGGTGGGCAGCATTCCCTCGGGACCCAGCGACCACTTCCTGCTGCCCACGTGCTTCCCCGGACCCCAGTGCGGCTGGCTGGCCTTTTTGCCCGCACCCGCAGTGTCGGGGGCCCGGGGCCGGTGTGTGTGGTTGGCGGGCTCTGGGGCACGGTGGGGGCCGGACGAGACCCGCGGCGCGGGGCTGACCAGGCCACTTCCTGCCTTTGTTGTGCTGTGTTTTCTTTTCCTTCTGAGCTTTAACTTGGAGACCACGTCACCGGCGGTCCGAGTCACTGCCGCCTTGCCTGCCGGCCACTGAGATGATCCTAACTCTGCTGCTCGGCCTCCTCGGGGGGCCCCTGGGCTGGGGGGTGCTGGGGGTCGGGGCCCAGGCTCCTGGCAGCAGCTTCTCTGACCCCCACGGAGCCAGACCCCTGGGTCCCCCGGGAGCTGAGGCTGTGGATGGCACCAGGGGACCCCGAGGAAGGTAAGGAGGCTGGGCCTTGGCAGAGCCGTGGCAGTGTCTGCAGAATGGGCCGGGCCTGTCCCTGGGCAGAGGTGACAGTGAGGCTAAACCAAGGCACCAGGGGGTCTTCGAGGCCTGCACTGGGCACGGGGAGTGGCAGGGAGCCCTGGGTCTGGGGGTCCCTGCCACTCTGGCCGGAGGTTGAGTTCCTCTTCTAAGGGACCCGCCTGACACCCAGGCACCAATGGTCACTCCGGAGACAGCGGGCAGTCCCAAGGCCGGGCACACTGCTCCCTGCATTCTGCCTGTGCAGGACCAGGGCCCCTCGCCAGAAGGACCCGGGGTGAGAGGTCCGCAGGGTGGGGGCTCTCCAAGTCAGAGCAGCAGGTGCCACCCCAGGCTGGCTGTGTCTGCAGGAACCTCCCGGGCAGTCCTGGTGACACAGCAGGAGCCTGAGGCAAAGAGAAGCTGGGCCCAGATCACACAGCCCAAGGAACCGCGCCCTGGGTTCCGGTCGGGGACACAGGTGCAGGTGCCCCTCTGTGGAGAGTCCAGCCCTTGGGCTCTGATTTCAAGACCCTGAGCATTTTGCTGTCCCGACCTGACCTGGGGGGGCTCCCTGCTCATCTTGGGCTTGGGCTCAGAGCAGGAGGGTGGAAGGTATGGAGGGGACCGAGGGGCGGGGCCAAGGTAGAGGAGGAGCCCCCTTTCTCCGGGCTGCAGAGAGGGACCCTCGGCCTTCCCGGGCTGCTCGAAGGCTATGACTCCGTGGGCCCCACGACTCCGGAGGTGGGGGGAGTCCCCTTCCCACCGCCGGAAGCTGCAGCCCCAAAGGGGAGGGGGACGGGGAGCATCCGGCCGCCTGGAGGGCAGGGGCCACTGGGCTCTGCTTCCTAGTTCCTGGGAGGAGAGGGGACTGCGGCCCACACCCCACAGCCAGGGGTGACACCAGGGTCCCCCAGACAGAGCAGCGCCTCCCTCCTGCCCAGCTTCTGCCTCCGTGCAGCCCTCTCCAGGTCTCTGCAGGAACCAGCGTCCCCTCCCACCGGCCCGGGATGGAGCACGGGTGTGGCCAGTTTCGTCCTCGACCAGAGCCTGTGCGGGCTGCACCGTGCTGGGTGGGGCCAGAGGGATGGTGCCCAAGCCCGGTCCAGTGGCCCTAATGGGCCAGAGCCTGGCCCCACATTTGCTGGGTTGCAACCCCCAGGGCTAAGCTCCTTGGCTCCCCAAAAGGAGCAGGAGCAGGGGGCTGCCCTGGGTCCCTGCGCCAGGCTCCTCCTTTAGGGCACCTGCAGCTGCGTGCTGTGGGCACCCCCGTCCCTGACCACCACCAAGCCACAGCTGGCCCCGGGTCCAGCAAGGGCATCTCAGGCTCGGCCGCGCTGATGGACACACTCAGGGCTCCACCCAGCCCCGCCCTGGGCTCTCTGCTGCCCACACCCTCTGTCCCCAGGGCAATCGCTTCTTGGAGGTTCCACAAATGGGCAGGGCCTGGAGGGCAATGGCAGAGCTGGCCGCCCGTTTAGGCAGGAGTCGGGGTGGGATGAGGCTGAGCACCCCACCCGCACGCAGTCCCGGGTTCACCTGCCCCTCTGCAGACCCTGGGAGGCCAGGGCTCCCCAAGGCACCGCCTGGCCCAGGGCTGAGTGGCAGCTGCCAGGAGCCGGAGGAAGCCAAGCCAAGGTCCAGACTGTTCCCAGGGCTTCTCGGCCAGCAGCCAGGGAGGGGCACCCGGGCGTGGGCAGGGCAGCGGCCCTGAGCCAGACTGGAGCGGGCGGCTCCGAGAAGGCTGCTGCCCAGGAAGGAAAGGGGGCAGCACGCCTGCGCCCCGAGCCGGGGCCCCATCGTGCATGAGAGCAGCCACGGCTGGCCCTGCCAGAGGACAGCGCTGGCCAGGCCCCCAGCTGTCAGAGCACCCTTGCCCACTATGACAACGGGAGTGTCCCCATCGGCCTGTGGAGCGCTGGTCATCAGCGCAGTCCACCTGGGTGGTTCAGGGACACCCAGTCCCCCTCTCCGAGCCGTTCCAGGCGGTTCTTGCTTGGCTGTGGGGTGCGGGCTTTTTGCTTGTTCAGTTGCTTTGGTTTGGGTTGTTTTTGTTTTTGTTTTGTTTTGTTTTGTGGTGCTGGGCACAACTCTGAGCCCTGAGTATGCTGGGCATCGCCCGGGCTCACCTCGCCCTGCCGGATCTGGGCCGAGAGAGGAAAGCGGCTATCGGCTATCGCTGCCTTTCAGGATGTTCTCATTCATCCTCCTCTCTGCATCCACACGACATGACCAGTTGATCGACTGACTGACTGATAATTGATTTTTGCAGTACTGAGGGTTGAGCCCAGAGGCGTCCCACCACCGAGCTAATCCCCAGCCTGTCTTCTCTGCTCTTCTGTTTCTTTTTCTCATCCTTCTCTTCCTCTGGTTGAGACAGGATCTCAAGGCGGGAGTTGTCCCTCCTGGGTTTGAACTTACATGTGATTCTTCTGCCTCAGCCTCCTGAGTGTCCAGGATTAGGTGTGCGCAGCTCCATCTACTGTTTTTAAATTTCATTTTGTTTAGTTACCAATAACCATTGGCCAGGTCAGGAAACAGAAGCCAGTGGCCAAATGGCACGGTAGGTACCTGATTTCATTAGTACCATTTGATTGGAACACATTCGGGCTGGTTTACATATGGTCAGCACCTCGCTGGCAGAGTGGGCAGATGAGGCCGCCCCAGAGGACTTGGAAGGCCTCAAATCAGGGCCAGCATCCAGCAGGCCCTGGCCTGAGGCTCTGCAAAGCCCGTCAGAGGCCCACACTCCAGCGCATTCCTGCGGGGCCATCTGGCAGTAAGGATTTTTGATCAAGGATCCCATTGTATTTTTTTGCTTTTTTGAGACAGGCTCTCACTATGGAGCCCAGCCCGGCTGACACCTCCTGCCTCAGCCTCCCGAGTGCTGGGGTGTTAGGCGAACGCCACCGTGCCAGGTGAATCCCACAATTTTTATTTTGTATTTAATAATGTGCTTACATGGGGGATTTTTGAGGCAGGGTCTCGCTGTGTGGTTCAGGCGCCCCCTGAGCTCACGGCAACCCTCCTGCCTCCTGAGTGCTGGGCTCACAGGTGTGTGCCAACAAATTGCCAAGCCAGCTTTTGAGTTCCCCTCCATAGGACCCTGACGCCCCAGGTGGGCTGAGCCCCGGGTTGGAGGGTGGATGACTCACCTGCCCTGCTTACACTGGGGTTCACCAGGAGTGAAAACTTGGCCTGTTTTCTTCCTCAGCAGGTTCCTGTCTTTGTCTCTAATTCAACCTCAGCTTGCAGCCTCCCGTCCACTCCGGTCAGGCGGGCCAGCGAGTCCTCCTGGCGATGCCTCTGCCACAGTGGCCCGGCGGCCTCTAGTCTGGGAGGCGGCCCTGACCCTCCATGAGCCGGGCCCAGCACCTGGGGACCCCCACACCCGCACACTGCCAGAGGACCCGCATTGCAGCCCACGCTGAGACCTCTGGGTGGCCTCGTGCTGAGACTGGACACTCGTGTCGTTTCCTTTCTTTGATGCCAGGGAGGGGAACCAGTGCCCTGCAGCCCCTCTGCACCCCCTCCACACTACCCTACCCGCCCTGGCTGCGCCCAGTGCCTAAAGAGCCTTTCCAAGACTGGGCGCACTGCTGAGGGACGCAGGTGACCCGAGGACCGCGTGCATCCCGGGACGGTGGTCAGGGAGGGCGGGTCCCCGCAGCCGGTGTCTCTGTCCCGAATGATTCCTGGGACTCACAGGCTGCCCAGGCCAGGAGGGGCCGAGGCTCCCAGGTCACACCCGTGCGCGGGCATTTCCGGGCATCTCCGTGTGGGGGCACAGCCTGCTTTCTTCCCAGAACCCCAATCCTGAAGGCTGCCAGGAGTCCTGGTCCGCCCCTCCCATTCTCACTTCTGGTCTGGTACCTGACAGTTTTATCAAGGATTTCCTCCCTTTGTTCTCCCTTTCTAGAACTCTTGTAATTTGGATGTTGGATTTTTAGGATTGGAAAATTTTAGTAACTGTGTGTGTGTGTGTGTGTGTGTGTGTGTGTGCGCACGCACGTTTTTTTTGTTTTGTTTTGTTTTGTTTTGTTGTTTTTTTTTTTTTTTTTTTGCTTTTTGAGACCAGGTCTCAAGACGTAGCCGTGGTCTTGAACTTCAGGTGATCCTCCGGCCTCGGCCTCCCACACCTGAGATCACAGGTGCACACACCACACCTGGCTCGTCATCTCCTTAACTCCTCGTCTTGTTTGTTCTCTGGGGAAATTTGCTTTACTTTACCCTTGGACATTTTGATCTAAATTCCTTCTCATGTCTAATGCTGGATTTTTAATTCTCAAGAGTTCTTTTGCTTCCTGAATGTGCACATGCACGTGCAGATACACACACGCACACACACGCATGCACACACAGCTTTTGTCACAGCTTCCCTTTCTCAGGCCTTGGGTGCAGGACATTTTCTCCTCAGCCTGGGAACCTGAGCGCACACGCTTGGAAGGCTCCCTTCTGCCCGAAGTCTCGCCCGCTGACTTTTACCCACTTGGAGGCCCTCTGGTGTCCATCTCCCCCCCTTCCCCCCCGCCTTCCCCTCTCCTTTCCCTCCGGGTCTCCACCCTGCTCCCCGCACTCTCCCAGAGCCTCACCCCTGCAGCACAGTGGGCTCACAGAGGCCGCACCTGAAATCCCAGGATTCTGGGTGGCTGACGCAAGAGGATCGCGCGTTTGAACACAGCCTGGGCAGATTACAGACTTGGCAAGACCCTGTCTCAAATTTTAAAAACAAACAAAAAAGGGGGTTGTAGCTCAGTGTGAGGGTCCGGGGTTCAACCTCCAGCGCTGGAAAGAAAAACAAGGCAGAAGCAGGAGCACAGGCGGCCGGATGCAGACTCCCCCGGAGCCTGTCTGGCTGCTGCTGGGGTCCGTGGGGGCCACTAGGCTACAGGGCAGGGCGAGAGCAGGAACCCCAGCACCCGGGCACAGTGCAGGATGGCTGTTAGGAGGCAGCCCACCCTGAGAGCCCCGCTGCCCCTACCCTTGTGACCCCTTGCTTTCCCCCCAGTGTCCCCAGGGCCACGAAGGGAGGGGCCGGGCCTCCGCTGTCACTCCGCGGTCCAGTCTGCAGTTCTGGGCCTCAGTGGTCACCATCACCCATGCGGGGTTGGCTCTGTGTCGGGGGCTCAGAACAGAGGGCAGGCCTGACCCCCTCTCAGCCCAGAACGGCACCAGCTGGCCAAGGGCAACGACTCAGGGCTCGCTGTAGGAGCCCAGTGAGACCCACAGCTCTGCCGCAGCCGCCTGCCTGCCTGGGGTCACTGTGCAGGTCCCAGGGCATGGGCTGGGTCAGAGCCACCACCCAGTGGGGACCCCAGCAGGGGCAGGGTGGGGTGCAGAGCAGCCGCCGGAGGGAGGGACCTCCCAGAGCTACGCAGCCTACGGTTGAGGGGTCCACATCCAGGACTCTGCAGCCCCAGCCCCCCTGTGCCACTTTCCAGGGGCCCCGCCCTGTGATCCTGGGGTCCCCTGGCCTCTCAGTCAGGCTGGGCTTGGGCCTGCTGGCTCCCTGGCCTGGATGGTAACCCAGTGCTCTCTTCTCAGCTGGTGGAGGTAGATGCAGGTGCTGTGGGCCTCGAGGAAGCATCCCCACGCCCGGTGCTGGCTCACCGCCCACTGCTCTGGCTTGTTTTCCAGTAACTGGTGCCATTACCAGACGTCCAGGGTGGTCACCTTCGTTACTGCCTGCAAAACGGAAAGGTTCCTGGTCCACTCACAGCAGCCATGTTCCGAAAGGGCTCCGAACTGCCTGAGAGACAGAGTCATGTGAGTGGGGTTTGGATCCCCCTCACCCTGAGTGCCGGGGGCCTCTGCCCACCTGGGCTGGGCCAGGGTCGCTGAGCCCCCCTCCTCCCCAGGTACCGTGTGGCGCACAGGCCAGTGTACCGGCTGCAGCAGAGGGTCCTGCCCGCCCCAGCCTGGAGGTGCTGCCCGGGCTTCCGGGGCCCCAACTGCGAGCACCACGGTAGGGTGGGGTGCCCTCTGCTCAGCCTCAGGCCCCTTGGTCATGCAGACCTATGTTAGCCCCTGAGCTAACACCACTGTGTCCTCCTGCAGACCCCGCAGTGACCCCCGCGCCTGCAGAGCTGGGTGCCGTCCCGGAGCTGTGGGAGCAGCAGGCTGGCTCTGAACTCGGTGCGTTGCTTCCCTGAGGGCACAGGGATATCAGAGATGCTCGGGGCCACTTCAGGGAGACCCTGTCCCTGGACTCGTGGGGCTCTATCCCTGGGGCCTACCTGCCAACCTGGGGTTCGGCCCATCGCCTTTTCCTTGCCCCATGTCAGGGACAGATGCTGCACTGTCCCTTGCCATGGTGTTGGCCCCAGAGACACCCTTTGTCAAGTCCTTGGCAGTGGGAAGCACACTAGGGAAGACAGTGCCAAGATCTATTAGTCATGTCTGCAACAGGCAGAGGGAGACAGGGGCTCCATTGCCAGGCATTTACCCTTTTGGGGTCAAGGATTCTAAGTTGCCTCTTCTTGCTCTGGCCCCCATAATCCGATGCCTGCAGAACTCAGAGAACCTGAGGCGGGTCTGGCACGAGACCTCCAGAATGATGTCCACCAGGCAGCTGATGGTCTCCCAGGTCCCTGGACCACCTCAGCCACTGGGGATCTAACAGTGGGGAGCGTGGAGGCGATCGAGACAGAGCTGGGTGAGTAGCTGGTTTGGGGCTGCCTGAACCTCAGAGCCCTGGGCTGCACAGGGAGGGTGCCCGCGCCCCAGCCCTAGTGGACACACAGCCCTCCTTGCAGAGTCCCCCACTGGGGTCCTAGAGCAGGTGCCGCTGCTGCCTGTGGACACTCTGCTGCAAGAGCACGTCAGCCCCATCTGGAAGGGCTTCAACGACAGCCTGCACAGCCTCTCCCGGGCCGTGCAGAACCTGACCCTTGACCTGGAGGCCAACCGGCAGGCTCTCTGGCGTGTCCAGGACAGCTCTGTGGCCAGCCTCGACCTCCAGGAACTTGGCGCCAAGTTCGAGGCCAAGGTCCAGGAGCACGGCCGGCGCGTGGACCAGCTATGGCACAATCTCGAGGGCCGCCTGGAGGCCCAGCAGCAGGCCCTGCACCAGGCGCTTGCCGAGGTCCAGACGGAGATGAACACGATAGTCAAGAGACTGCTCAAGGCCCAGGAGCACCCGAGGACCAACGGCAGCCAGGTTGGGGCAGCTGCGAGGCCTGAGCCCGAGAGCCTGCAGGCCAGGCTGGGCCAGCTGCAGAGAAACCTCTCCGAGCTGCACGCGGCCTGCCGCCACAGGGAGCAGGAGCTGCAGGAGGCCTTCAGCGACGTGAGGGCCACCCTGGTCCAGCATACGCACGAGATCAAGGAGCTGTACTCGGAGTCCGACGAGACCTTCGACCAGATCAGCAATGTGGAGCGGCTGGTGGAGGAGCTGCAGGTGAACCACACGGGGCTGCGCGAGCTGCGCGTGGACCTCATGGAGAAGTCTCTGATCATGGAGGAGATCAAGGAGGAGCTGGAGCGGAGGCTGCAGGAGCTCAACGCCACCCTGCAGCAGCTGCAGAGCGCCCAGGCCAGGGACCCCAAGGACTGCAGCTGCCCGAAGCTCTCCTCGGAGCCAGACGCCACGCACGCCCCGGAGGAGAAGCCTGGACCACAGGACGCCGCGAGGGACGACTCCTCTCTGTGGGCCCTGCGTGCCACCGTGGAGGCCACGCTCAGCACCGTGAACACGCTTGGGGCCGAGGGCGAGCACGCACGGGCGGAGAGGGCGCGGCTGCGGAGCCGCGTGCAGGCGCTGGACAGCGAGGTGCGCGCGCTGCGCATGGCCGTGGAGGACGCGCAACGCGACGCGCGCCAGCTGCACGGCTCCTTCGCGGCGCTGCTGCAGGACGGGCTGCGCCACGAGGCCGCGCTGGCCGCGCTCTTCGGCGAGGAGGCGCTGGAGGAGCTGTCGGAGGGCGCGCTGGGCCCGCTGCCCCTGCGCTACGGGCAGGTCCTCGAGGCGCTGCGGGACGCGGCCCGCGGGCTGCAGGACCAGGCGCTCGGCTGGCATGCGCTGGAGGCACGCGTGGAGGCCCTGGAGCGCGCGCCGGGGCCTGGGGAGGCCGGGCCGGGCTGCGAGGCCTCCTGCTCCGCCAGGCTCAAGGGCTCCCTGCAGGGTCTCCAGGGCGCGCTCTCCGCCACCCAGCGGGACCTGGAGCAGCAGCGGCGGCTCTTCCATGCCCTCTTTGGAAACTTTCAAGGGCTCCTGGCTGCCAACGTCAGCCTGGACCTGGGCAAGCTGCAGGCCACGCTGGGCAGGAAAGGGAGGAGACAGAAGGAGCCGGCGGCCCACAGGACGGACGCGGCGCCGGAGCTGGAGCACGGAGCCCCGGGCTCGGGGCTCTGGGTGCCAGGTGAGTCGTGGGGAAGGGGGCTGGAAGGACCCAGGGAAAAGATGGTCCTGTTGCTGTGGCCGCCTGCAGCCCAGCTCAGCCTGGCACGCGGAGGCGTGGCCAGCCGCCCCTCCCTCGGGCACCTAGGCTCTGTTGCTTCCTTTGCAAAACGGGGTGCTCACTCCTTGCTGGAAAGAGCGTCAGGGAGACCGAGGACCGCACCTTCCGGTCCCTTAACACCTGGGGTCCGAGTCAGGGTCTCCAGCTCCCCCCAACACTTTTGCAGCAAGAGGCCGGATCCGCTTTGACTATTTCCCCTCATTTTCTTCCTATAAGTGGTACAAGACCCGAAGTATGCCAGGGACTTACACACTTCGCCCAGTGGCTTGTGAAGCTGTGATTCCCATTGCACGCGTGTATTTACTTACTTATTTTAGTTCTTTGAGACCGTTTCTTTTTATATAGCCCAGGCTTGCCTTGAACTCACGGGATCCTCCTGCCTCAGCCTCCCAGGTGTTGTGATTGCAGGCGTGCGTCACCACCCGTCCCCATGCCCGGCACCGCTGCGGTGCTTTCTTTTAGGGCATTACTCCAGCAGGAGGTTTGTGGGGCTAGAATTGTGCCCTGCAAGCCATGGCACGCCCAGATTCCCACCCGCTGGAGGCCTGCGGGCGCTGGGCAGGTGCGGGTCCCTTGGTGGAGAGGCCGACGCAGTAGGGTGGAGGGAGGCGGAGGCCGGCAGAGGGCGCTGCAGCCCAGGCCGCCTCCGGCTAGGCGAGCTCGCCACCTGCTGGGCAGGTCGGGAACTGCAGCGTCAGCGCGGCTCTGCATTGGCTCCAACAGAAAAAGCTTTTGAACAAACCGGACTCTGGAGCCTCCCAGGAACGTGACCTTGCCAGGGCTGAGGTCACCGTCATTGGGTGTCCAGTGAGCCCTGGCCTCTGCCCGGCCACCTTGGCCAGCCTTGCCCCTTCCTGATCCGCCCCAGGGCACTCCTCTGCCTGGTGCCCTCTGCCTGCAGGCAGAGCCCTGGGCTGGGGGTAGCACGCCAAGGCCCTGTGAGCGGCACCTGCCTGTCAGCCTACTATGCTAAGGCCGGAGAAAGTGCTTCCACAAGTGGGGGACGGACGAGTGCCCTGAATCCAGAGCTCCGAGGTCCGCTCCAGTGGTTCATTCTAGAGCGAGAGCTGCCCCTGCCTGCCTGCAGGCTCCCCAGTTGTGATCTAGGGGCTCAGTGCCTTTGGAGACCACAGGAAGAAGCCGTGGGTGGGGTCTCTTTCCTGTCCTGGCCCCTGTGCAAACCGTGCGGCCTTGGGCAGCCCTGGCCCTCCTGGACCACGTGAAGGAGTTGGGTGAGTGATCAGCCAGACAGCAGGTCTCGCCCTCTGATCACACACATGTGGTTACTGATTGCAAGCCAGGCATAGTGGTGCACACACCTGGAATCCCAGCACTCGGGAGGCTGAGGCAGGAGGATCTCCATGAATCTGAGGCCAGCCTGGGCTACGTGGTGAGGCTATGTCCACCTCACCCCCCTACACACATACACACCAAAAAAAGTCACCTATTTCCGGTGTTAATGGGGGACAGGAAGGTATCAGTGCTTAGTTTCCACCATGGAGCTGAGGGGCCGAGTGGCTGAGCCCGTCTCTGCCTTGCAGGCTCCCCCGTGGCCTTCTACGCCAGCCTCTCCCACGGGACAGGGACAGCCGCCCCCCAGACGGTGAAGTTCAACGCTGCGACCCTCAACGCCGGCAGCAGCTACTTCCCCGAGCACGGCTACTTCCGGGCCCCCACGCGGGGCGTCTACCTGTTCGCAGTGAGCGTGGAATTCGGCCCCGGGCCTGGCACCGGGCAGCTGGTGATCGGGGGCCACCATCAGACGGCAGTGTGCACCGCGGGGCAGCGGGCCGGGGGCACGGCCAGCACCTTTGCCATGGCTGAGCTGCAGCGTGGGGAGCGGGTGTGGTTCGAGCTGACGCAGGGCACCGTGGCCACGGGGAGCCCCACGGGCACTGCGTTTGGGGGCTTCCTGATGTTCAGCACCTGAGCCCCCGCGGCCTCCCATGCTGTGGACTTCCAGTGCCCCTCCACCCCCCAGTCCAGAGCACCTGGCTGCTCCGGGGAGCCTTCGCAGACCCGTGGGGTGCACTGTGCACCCCGCATGGCCGGGGTTGCACTCCGAGGGGCAGGATGGGCACGCTGCTCTCTGGTCCGCCCAGTCCCTGCCCGAGTCCTCGGCCCTGCAGCCGCTGCACCCACAACCTACAGCTGCAGGCTCTGCTCTCCCCTGAGGCTGGAAACTTCTGTAGACACTGCAAATCTGCCTTCCGCTTGGTCTGCTCCCCGAGTGGCTGCCGAAGGAGAAGCTGCAGGCAGAGCCCTGGGCTGGGGGTAGCATGCCCAGGCCCTGGGCGCGATCCCCAAGACTGAAGCAAAGTGCAGGTGACAGCTGGCCTAAAACCCCAAAGCAGTGGCCAGTGACTGCGCACTAGGCTAAATGCGCCCTTTGGTCTCAGAAGTGGTGCAGAGGCCGCCGGCCTGCGCTGACCTAGGGAAATAAAATGGTGTTTTTTCTTCCGTCTCAGCCGCTCCTGTCCATCTGAACGTGTCATTTCATCTTTCTCCTTGCATTGTTCAGGAAAACACCGGGACCTGACAAAGGGGGACCAAAGCGTGTTTAGCCATCCCTGTCCCCACCTGCTCCAGTGTCTCCGGACTTCAGGGCCCTGTCCCAGCCAGGCAGGGTGGGACGGCAGGGAACAGCACTGTGGCCTCTACCGCAGCGACCGACGCCTTTGGAATAAAGTGACATCCTGCAGACAGCTGCCCTGCTCACGGCGGGGCAGCACAGATGCCGTGTGGGGCAAACGTGGCTCGGTCCCTCAGGCCACAGGAGCTCAGCAGCCTCAGTCAGCCCTCCTTGAAGAACCCAGGCAGGCACACTGGTCCTGGTCGGTGCTGTCAGAGAGCGCTTATCCTGCGCTCTTATCTGCATTTTGTGTTCCAGAGCTTTCCAGCCCCAGGGACCGAGCACCCAGCAGCACAGAGTGAACGCAGGAGGGGTTCTGTGCGTTCATGGTTTCCACTGGCTCAGTCCGTGGTCAGCTTGCTCCACAGCAAGGGGAAAGGGCCGGCTGGAGGTCGATTCTCACCTCCTGGGGCCAGGAAGCAGAGAAGGGAGGACCTAAGGATAAGACCACAGTGACCACCTCCAAGCAGGCCCCAGCAGTCAGCTGTGAACTTACCCACAGGTGGAGCCACTGCAGAGTGTGGCCCCCTGATCCGTCACCTTCCACACCCATGAGACTCGGGGCATTTTAGATCCAAACCACAGCAACGTGATTAAAAACCACTTCAGAGCCTGCAGCAAACAGGCCTGAGAACAGTCACCCAGCCATCAGACAATCAAGTGGCCTTGAGCAGCACAGCGTACGCCTTAAAGTAGGGGTTCAGAGTCCCCAGCCTCAGCCATTCACAGATTTTTCCTTGTCTGCACCCCCCCCACACACACACACACAATTTTACAAAAACCGCAAGCCAGGCCTAGTGGTGCATCCCTGGAATCCCAGCTCTCAGGAGGCTGAGGCAGGGGGATGGTTGTGAGTTTGAGACCAGCCTGGTCTATAAAGTGAGCTCAAGGCCAGCCTGAACTGCACAGCGAGACCCTGTCTCAAAAAGACCAAAAAAATAAATAAAAATTTAAAAAGGCTGGGCATTTAGCTCAGTGGCTTTAAGTGCTTGCCTGGTAAGTGCAAGGTCATGAGTTTGATCCCCAGTTTCAAAAAAAAAAAAAAAGAAGAAGAAGAAGAAAAAGCCCAACTGCAAATATCCTCCGTGATTTTCTTTTTGGCAGCAGGGCTGCAATTGCCTGTCCGAGTGTCATGCAGCTCTTTCTGCTGCTGGCTGGCTGCGGCCCTGTGACCCACTTTCCACCGATGTCCCAGCTTCTCGAATCGTTATGGGGTGCGGTACTGTGGGTAGATATCGCAAGAGTGCCGGGTTTTGTTCGTCTAAAGCCCTAAGATTCCCTAAGATGCCCCAAGACACCCTGCACCTTCTAAGTTTTTTTTTTGTTTTTTTTTTTGTTTTTTTTTTTTGTCTTTTTCCTTTTTATCAGTACCGGGATCGAACTCACGACTGCCTGCTTGCAAGGCAGGCGCTTATGCCGATGAGCTAAATCCCCAGCCCCATGTAAGTGTTTATTGATAATCTTTTGTTGAATTACATAGTTCTGGGGAACATAGCATATTTATGGTTTAAACTCTAAAAATAAACATTCATAGGCATTTTTCTGACCATATCTGAAATCTGAGGTTTTTCACAATTTTCAGGGACTCTAGGAATGTAACCCCGGTAAATTTGGGGGATCACTGTATTCCATGTTTGTTGGATACTCTTCTCCTTAAGGAAGTCAGATTGGCCTGAACAATGAGGTGCTGGCTTAGTAACACGAGTCCCTTGGCAGGGGATTTGGCTCAGTGGCATAAGTACCTACCTGGCTAGGTGAGGTCTTGAGTTCAATTCCTGGCACCACAAGACAAAAACAAAAATCCCCACAATATTCTCAGCACTTCTCACCTTTTCATGAGTTCAAATCCTTGCCTCCCCCTCACCCACTTGAATTTATTTGCCACTAGGCTTTGTGAACCGAATGTGCTAAAATATTGACTTAGAGCAGTTTGCAGGCCATTCTACCTACCTCTAATGGTTTGGGGTAAGCCAGAGCTTTCTGGAACATTCTCCACTGTGTCCTGCCTGGCATCAGCTTATGTGAGAAGCTGACATGGCTTACGGTTGCAGAGGTTCAGTCCTTGGTCAGCTGGCTCTCAGGCAGGAACGTCATGCTGGAGGACGCTGCTCACTTTATGGCGGCAGCTTAGGGAGCTGCCAGGTAAGGACCCCCTGCAAAGTTCTGTCCCGGGACCATCCCCAGAGTCAGCACAGTCAGGTTGGCAAGACCCACTGGCAGGGGTGGCTAAACTGCCAGCTCCCAGCTTTGATCACAGGGTAGAATCTCAGCCACCCCGTGCAGCTGTCTGCTGCTGAGAGCAGCCCAAGCTGAGGCCAAAGGCTGAGCAAAGGTGGCCATCCCTGCCAGCTGGACCAAGCGTCTCCATCTAGTTGTCAATGCCAGGTGTCAAGATGACTGAGGGGAACCTTTAGGGCAGAGCAGTCTCACTGAGGCGGGCGGTGGTGAGGGAGACAGGAGGCAGGGCCCACCGCACAGCCACTCTCGGAGCTGGATCCGCCTGCGTGGGTCCAGGCCACACCTCAGCCAGGACCAGGAGGCCCAGTCTAAGGGGACAGGTGGCTTCGCCTACACACAGTGAGCCCCAGGTGTGCACCCCAAGGGTCTCCTGCAGCTCTAGCCACCATGTCACTGGCTATGCAGACTGGACCTCTGTGGGCTTTGGATTTGGAGATGCTCCTCCCAGGGCCATTAAAGGTCAGACTCCATTGCCCACCAGAAGGTCATCTCCAGGAGTCGGACTCCTTTTCACCCCACCGCTGGTCTCACTGCTACCCCTGGGCATCCTGCTGGGTGGTTTGCTGAGGACACTGGGTGCCTGGGCAGATCCCGGCAAGGTACCACCATGGCTCCAGACCCGCCTTTGGGATGGACAGCAGCTCTGCTTCCTAGTATTTATTTGCGTAATAATAGTCCACATGCAGGACCCAGCGATGACTCAGGACGCGTCTCCATGCTCTCCCGACACCCGTGGTTCCCTCTGTCTCTCTGGCCCTTCCCTTCTGCCAAAGACCCACCTCACTGTCACCTGCCTCTAACTTGGGTTACTCATACAAGAGAAACGGGGTGACATTAAAGCTCCTGTCTGCATAATTCACTCAACACTCTGGTCCCAGGGTGCACCCTGCCAGTGACTCAGCTTTGGTGACCACGCCGAACAGTGCCCGTGTGAAGTCCATCCTCTCCACCCCTCATCTCCTGGTGGACATACAGGCCGCCTGCAAGGTTTAACGTAGCGGCCAGGTGCAGCGGTGCAGGCCAGCGCTTGGGAGGCCGTGGCAGGAAATGGAGGTGGAGGCCAGCATGGACCGCACAGTGAGACTTTGTCTCAAATAAATAAGAGAAAAAGATTTAGCTCCTATGAGTTGTGCTGCCATGAATCCTATACCCCCGGTCTCATCCCCCAGGGCAGGGCGCCCAGCCTGGCCTCACACAAGTGCTCCCTGGAGTGCAGGGTAACACAGCCACTGTCCCTCAGCTGTGAGGGAACAGGAGGAGGAGCAGAGCCTCACCGAGACAAAGGGGGGCCGTGGTCCCCAGATGGCCCCCATCAGGCCCAAGGGACTCCTGAGCACAGCAGAGGACCCTGGATTTGTTTTTGCAGTGCTGGGGATCGAACCCAGGGCCTGGTGCACTTGAGGAGCCCTACCACAGAGCCGCAGCCCTGGCCCCGGGAAATGCGGATGTTGACCCGGGATGCTGCCTGGTGCAGCCTGGCTGTGGGCACCACCACCCTGACAGGCAGAGGGCGCAGGGAGGCGGCCAGCTGTGTGGGTGCCCAGAGGCTCCTGAGTGGCTGGCAGTGTCCCGGCAGCCAGGGACGGGCCAAGTGGAACAAGCAGCAGTGAGATCTTGGCTGACTGGGGCCGTGGGCAGCAGCCGGACCCCCAGCACGACACTCATGGCAAGTACAGGTGTCACAGCCTCAACAACAAGAAGTGCCACTGAGGACAGCTGACACAGGACCATGGTGGCAAAACACTACAGCTCAGCTGGACGTGGCTAAGGCAGGAGCATCGCTGCAAGCTCGAGGCCGGCCCAGGGTTCACAGTGAGACGTTTCAGAAAAATAGGGCCAGGGGTACGTACGGTTCAGAGCATGACGCCTGCCTGGCAACTGCGAGGTCCTCAGTTCGATTCCTGGTTCCAAATAAAATAGAATGGTGAAGAAAACTTTCTTTTGGCCAGAGACATAGCTCAGTGACAGCACCTGCCTGGCAAGCACAAGGTCCCGAGTTCGATTCCTAGTTTAGAAAAACAAAAACTAAACAAAACAAAAATGACCATGGGCGAAAGGTAAAGGGCATTCCTTAGACTATCTCTGCACCTTTTTGGAAGTTTGGAATTGTTTGAAAATAAAGTTAAATTTGGCTGTTGAAATTTTATAAACTCAGTAGATAGGCTGAGAAGTTAGGAGGGAAAAACTAAAGAAACATGCTAAGAAGAGCAAAAGAAACACCCAGGATTTAGCTCAGCGGCTTAAGCGCCTGCCTGGCAAACGTGAGGTCATGAGTTCGATCCCGGGTACAAATGAAACCCCCAGAAGACCTAATGTTCTTCTAACAGGAGACAACAGCACACACCTCCGTACCAGAAAAGCCGGAGGAAGACCAGAGCGACACCTGGGCTTGGAGGCAAGAACCAGCTTTATTTACACCTGCAGGCATGACCAGGATCTTTCCCAAAGAAGTCGGCCTGCACGCTCAGGGAGGGAGCTCGTCACCCGGAGACGGGTTCTCAGGTGGCTTCTCGGTAACCAGCCGTCTTTGGTCAGGAACTGCTAACAGGACCTGAAGTAAACTGGAGGTCACTCGGGCAACAGAAACTAACAGCCACCAGCCGCATACTGGCTTGTTGGGGGGCATTTTCTGCTTTACCCAGCGGCCCAGCTACTTGGGAGGCTGAGGCAGGAGGGCTGATCGAGCCCGTAAGTCCCAGACTTGGGCAATACAGTGTGAACTCATCTAAAAAAACAAAACAAAAGCCCTGGAAAAGACCAACAAAGGAGAGGAAAGAAGCAGTAAAAATTCTCAAGTTCAAGGGGAGCCGTTATGGTTGCACCTAGACGCCCCCAAGCTGCACGCGCCCACAGGAAGGGCTATCTGGAGCCGACTGATCTAGGGTGCTCAGGACTGAGTTAGTCCCCTGTGGCCCGGATAGGACCGAAGGGAAAGGCTGCTGCTGCTGCCACCACCTTCTTCGGCCTGCCCGTCAGGGACTGTGTCCCCTCCGCGACACCCCTCTGCCATGCCACCCCGGCTTGCAGAGTCAGCTGCGGGCTGAGCCTCCACAAACCAGGAGCTGAGATACAACTCTCCTTGGCTCTCAGGTATTTTGTCCCAGCAATAAGAAAAGTAACCGAGACAGGAGGCTAAAAGGACCCAGTTCTTCAGGGCCAGGCAGCAGAAAAAGCTTCCTTGGATGTGGCGTATTTAAAGTTCAGACCATCAAGAAAATGAGCCCTGTGTGGCCAGCCTCTCAGGGTCGCTCTGCCGTGACAGGGTCGGGAAGGGCCGGGGCCGCAGCCTCTTCAGCGGAGCCACTGCGTCAGCCCTAAATGCCCAGCACTTGGGCTCTGGGCCCTGCCAGCTCTCCTTTTCGGGAGGGTGGGGACTGGGAGGAAAGCCAGGACCCTCGCGCTGACCTACCCCCCAGTCTCTTTTTAACTTTGAGACAAGGTCCTAGTAAATCCCTGGTTACCCAGGGTAGGCTGGGCTCAAATTTGGGGTCCTCCTGCCTCTGCCTCCAAGAGGGCTGGATCGTAGGTACGCAGTCCGGTCTTTCCCCGCTTGCCAACACTGGCATTTCGGTTGGCAGTGACTCTGGACTCTCGCAGCCCGGTGGTGCCCTCCTGAAGCCCACGCTCCTTTCCCTGGCCTGAGGCCTGCGGGGCCCTAAGCACTCAGGGTGACATGCCTCAGTCCCAGTGTGAAGCATGGAAAGACAGGCAGACACAGGGGCACTGGGCTTCCCCGGACGTCATGGCTGAGCTGTGTGGAGCACCAAGGTCACAGGTCACCAGCTGCTCAAACTGGAGAGGAGCCACCAGCTCATCTCCCGGCCACCCCGCGGGGCCTCGGCCAAGACCCTGTCTCAAACTAAAACCTTCACAAAGGGGTGAGAGGGGGTGGGGCACGGCAGCCTGGGCTTGCTCGCTGGCACTGTCCAGGGCTGGGCACACCGGAAATGGTCCACTTATTAGTAAGGGAACGAAGACCTGCTGCTGGTCACAGGGTGAAACCCCTTTCCTTTGGTAGCTGGGTGGGGAACCCAGGGTAAGGGCTGTGCCACAGCGACCCCGAAGGCCAGCCCTCCCACACCTCCAGCTGCAAGGCCAGAGGCCTGCTTCTTAATTAACACCAAGCTCTACTGGAAGGACAGCCCACAGTCCGGGACTCAGCCCTGAGCAGAAGGGAAAGGGACGCAGCAGTGGTGGAGGACCACCCTGGAGGGACAGCGCAGGGACAGCGTGCGGACTCTGAGGACCCCAGGCTAGCCCACACACAGAGGTGGTGAAGGGCCAGGGCCAGGTGGGCATTGGCATGGCAACGCATCCTCTTTTGACCCTGCCATGGCCAAGGGCAGCCCCAGGGCGGCATAGGCCAGGCAGCCGGGGCCCTTGGGTCCACCCCATGCACATCCACCTTCCCGGTCCAGAAGCAAGATGTGCAGGGCATCTCCAAACCTCGCTCTCCAAACCCTGGAAACCACCCAGATTGGGGGTGGGGGGCTGGCTGCTGACTCAGGATTCCTTCAGCCTGGGGGACACGGGGCCTGAACCCTAACGGTCACAAGCAGAACACAGCATTCAGTGGAAGGGGCGGTCATGTCTGGAGGTGACGGTCTGACTTTATTTGCTTCTGTATTCTTTCCTATGTCTTTCCAAATTTTTCTAATAAAAAAACAATTTTTGGAATAAAAGGCAAAGCCTCCTCCGGTGCGGGCCGAGCGCTGCGCTCCTGCCCAGGGCTGGGCGTGTGGCTGGGCCCCGGGTCACAGGCACTGGGGGAGGGCTCACCTGCCGCCCTCTCACCCGGGGCCTCAGATGCACAGGGGGAGAACAGCAGCACAAAACACAGCACCCCGGTGTACTAAAATAAGGTTATTTACTTAGAAATGATACACGGGCCATCATCTGTATGGAGGACAGAGCAGTCAGCGGTAAACCGAGTAAGGCACCCTTTAAAGCAGATGCTGTACAAAATACACTTAGTGTGTTGGGTATCAAAGAGCAATCTGATGTCTGGCGTTTTACAATTGCATAATAAGACTGCTTTGTACCCTTTTCAATGTCTATGTACAGTTCCCTAACTAGCTGTGATATTTTCATTTTATACAACATATACTACACTTTCGGTGGGGAGGGGAAGGGCACTGAGAGCTCAAGTTATTCCACCGCAGCAGAGCGCAGACACGGCTCAGGTCACTGCAACGCGGCCCACCTCCGCACACGTGCGAGCACACGTCCCCTCAGGGGAGCCCCACGGAGGGCCCCTGGCCTCGTTCGTCGTCTTGTTCTCTGCTCCAGGGTCTCGAGATGGAGCGCAGGCAGCCTGGGACGCACCTCGGAGGCCAGGCTGGCCCTGAACCCTCAGTGCTCCTCTGAGGCTCCGGAGCACACCCGGGAAGAAAGGTTTTCAGCCTACAAGACGGGTCCCGAGCTAAATCCTTCAGGTGCAGGGTCACCTCGGCTGACTCAGAGATGCACCACCCTGGAAACCCCAGGCTTTCATTCTGACCAGGGCAACAGCCGGACACAAGGAACTGGGCATTGGTTAAGTGGCTACACAAAAAGCCTGGCACACCCAGGAGCACACAACGGAGCAGGCGGGCAGCTGGCTCCTGGCTCAGCCGCGCTCTGGACACAGGGTGGGCCCCGGCTGTGGGCCGGACTCTGCCCTGCACGGAGGGCTCCCCGGCATGGTCAGGGTGCAAGTGGGCTGGTCCAGGCGGAAGGCCGGGGCCCTGCAAGCGCCTCTGACGCAGGCCCTGCCGGCCAGCGTGAAAGCTCACACGCAGAGTTCCTCCACCATGAATGCTGGCCCCTTACACTACACTCGGGCAGCCGGCCAGGCTTCCTGGTGGGGTGTGTGTGTGTGTGTGTGTGTGTGTGTGTGTGTGTGTGTGTTGGACTGGAGCACTTCACTTACCCGTGAACTCCCAATTTAAGAGGGCACTTACATCCCATGCAACGCTTTTAGAGGAAAATCTGAAAATTACAAACATGGTGGCATTTGCTTTTTGAGGAACACGCGTTCACTGACCACACTGCTGAGGGTCACTCTTGATGCCACTCCTCGGCCACGTTCACTCCAGACACTCAGGGCGGCGACCTCGTGTGGCCCCTCGGCCTCCACATGCCTGCCGCCGGCGCTCAGAGGAAGGCTGTGCGCCTCCTCCTGTGTGCTCCTCAGTAGGGGCAAGTGACTTCCAAGATCAAGTCCACCCAGGGAAAAGGAATCGGGCTAACGGCCCCAGTCAGGCTGCCTCTGATCCCAGTGCCCCACTGCTCCCCAGGGAGGAGGGCAGGCAGGGTCACCTGAGCGGCTTCACCCTCATGTCAAACGGAACCTGCTAGAGGGAGCGTGGTGAACACAAGAGGAAGCTACGCCTCCACCTGGTGAGGCCGGGGTGAGGACATCGGCCGCCCTTCTGGCCTCAAGTGAGCCACGGCTTTGGTGGGGACCCGCGCTGGCTCCGCCCATCTGCACCTGCCTGGCCTCACGACGCTTTCTGAGTTGGTTGCTGGGAACCAGTGGAGCATTTCAAAGGCGTGACACACGCACGTGAGCTTCAGGTTCTCAGTGTCCCTCGGGGGGCACCAGGCCTCTAGCAGAGATTGGTGTCGCTGTGGCGGTCAGAGCCCCAGAGCGCGGACAGGAGCACGGAACACTCCGCACTGCTGTCCTCCTCCTCCTCACCAGTCAGGGACCAGAAACGCCACCTCCGCGCTTCAGGTGTCTGCACATCTGCAGAGTACCGGTGGCTTCTACCAGCCGACACATGTGTCTCTAGACAGCTGAGATGGCATCGTCCGCACAGATGCCACTGCCCTCAAGGACAGGCGGGTGGCGCAGCCTCGAGGCGGCTGCTGCGGGCTGATGGACACGGCCAGGGAGGAGCGCACCGCACACGTGACACAAATGACTTCCCTTTTAAAAGTCCCTGTGCACACAGAACGCGGACATGGTTTAGGCACTTACACTGCTGCCAAACGCAGCGATCACTTTGCTCAGGAGCAGCTGCTTCATCAACGTGTACGTGGCACTGGAGCTCTACTTTGGATAGGATGCACTGCATGACGAAAACAGTAATTACAAAAAAGGAAGGGGGTGGCAGCAGAAAGGGACACAGTCCAAACGTGCAGACACGTTCATTCTTTTGGCCTTTACAGTAACTGTTACGTTACCGGAGGAAACTGCTGGGAAGCCGCCCCACTTGCGAGACAAACGGCCTGGACCCACTGGCCACCCCTGGCCACGTAATGCGTTTGTAAAGCGCAAAGCCACCAGCCCCGGCCTCTTCCTGTGTGCACGTGAACCGTTTCCTTTGCATTCCAGGACGGGCAGCAGCGGGCCGCAAAGGGCAGTAGGCACCCCCCAGGGGAGGCCGCGACACAGAGGCAGAGTAGACACTGCGCTTCCCAGGAGGCAGGCGCGCGGCTGAGCCCTAAGCGCGCTACGGCTTTCACAGAAAGCACCACTGGAGGACAGGCAGCTCCGTGCCCAGAGCGGGACTGGAGACGTAAGGGTCAGGGTCGGAGTCTTGACGCAGCGCATAAAAACTCAGTTAAAAAAGGCATGGAAAACCGTATTTCGAATAAAGCTGTCCGCGTGGGAAGGCCGAGGGGCCCCCTCGTCCCTCAGGACGCGGCAGGGGAGCGTGAGCAGCCTGTGGCTGTCGGGCGGGCGTCAGATCTTCACGTCCTGGGACTCCACCATCTTGGCCAGCGTCTTCTTGACCCTCAGCGCGGTGAGCCTGGAGGCCGGGTTGTGGGCCCAGCACTCGGACATGAGCTTCAGCACGGCGCGCAGGCACTGGGGGAACAGAGTGCGTGAGCCAGGGCCCCACTGGGCCGCCCGCCCACCCGCCCGGCCGGCCAGAGCTGCTCACTTCGTCACTGTTCCAGCGGTTGGACACCAGTGGCCGCAGGCGCTTGACACACACGACCTCCCGCATGTCCTCGTAGGACGGGTCGCTGGGGACCATGTTGTAGTACGGCAGCTGGTACTCCTCCACAATGCCTGCGGGGAGGCGCAGGGCCCCTCATGGTACAGCTGTGCTGTCCTCTGCCGCCCCGTTACCCTGCCCCTCCACCAGGGAACCGGCCCAGCGCCCCGTGTCCATCAGCAAAGGGCTACTAACAGTTCCTTACAGAAGAATCCCAACCTTAATCCGACCCTCTACTGAAGGAATCGTTCCTACTTTTTGGGAGTGGGGGTTTGAAACAGGGCCCCCCTGTGCAGTTTGTGCCGGCCTGACCGCAGTGACCCTCCTGCCTCAGCTTCCTGAGTGCCGGGATCACGGGCTGCGCCACCAGCCCAGCCACTGGCAGCTTCCACTGATCCGTGGGGCTTCTCCACGTGTCTACTGTTCGTCAGGGGACAGCATTCACGCGGAACCTGTCCCTCAAGCCCAGGCGAGGTGTCCCACAGGAGGGACACCTCCCGCAGGGCCGGGCTGGCCGAGGGGCCCTTACCTCCTGTGACACAGCGGCGGGCCATCTCCCAGACGATCAGGCCGAAGCTGTAGATGTCGGCCATGATGTAGGGCTGGAAGTGGTTCTTGTTCAGGCTTTCGTCCAGCACCTCCGGGGCCATGTAGCGCTTGGTGCCCACCCTGGTATTCAAGGGCACATCCACCTCATTGGTGTCACTGCAATGGGAAGGGACACGGTCCATGGTGAAGACTGACAAGCACATGCACTTCTGCCGTCCTATGTCATGACAGGGCACACGTGGGTGTGCAGCACTAGTGCCCAGGAAGACCAAGGCTCCAAGAAAGGGGGTGACTCTGAGTGTACCCGAGGAGCGAGGAGACCCACGGGAAGCGGAACCGTCCTGTGGGCACTGTGCTCCTCTAGCAAGGTGGGTCTGCTTCGAGCAGGCTCCCCACCAGGCCGCCACGTGGTCACCTGTCCACTGGCTGGGACTCGGGGGCAGGGCTGTGCTCTGCCACCCACACCTGAGGAGACGGAGGCCAAGGGACATGGGTGCTCAGAGCTGGCGGACGCTGCGGGGCAAAGCTGCGCACTGGAGCGATGGTCTAGAATGGCATCCCGAGTCCCTAAACCTCTCTGACCCGAACCGCTTTGCTTGTTCGCTTGCTTTTTGGTACTGGGGAGCAGACTCACCACCTCACGCTTACCAGGCAGGCGCTTGTGCTGCCGAGCTACATCCCAGCCCTCTAATGGCCTTTCAAAATGGACAACAATCAAAGACCGAGGAGAAACGGCTCTGCTGTCCCCATTAGAAGGGCGCAGGCCTCCTGATACACACTGTTGGAAGCAGTGACCGCAGTGGACCACGCTCCGCATCCCCACTGCCCTGGCAGCTCCTCACTAGGGAGCTACCGTGAGGATACATGTGACAGACACCCTGCAGACGACCGCAACCGCCCTTAAATGGGTCACCTGTAACAGCTTATAGCACATCTGTATGACGGAAAACTCTGTATCTGTTAAAAAGAATGCAGGAAGTCAGGCTTGCCAGTGCCAGCCTGGATCCCAGCTGCGTGGGAGGCTGAGTCTGGAGGACCCCAAGTTGAAGCCAGCCTGGGCCACTCAGAACAGAATCTACAGAAGGGCTGAGGCACAGCTGGGAGCAGAGTGCTTGCCTCTTCCGTCCTGGGCCTGGCTTCATTCCCCACTGCTGCCAAGGAAAACAAAAGCAAACGAGGCAGAGCTATATCCATGAAGGAGAAAAGCCGTCCACGCCAGGAAGAGGCCGGCAGTGAAGAATTACGCATACGCATCTCTACATCCCACGTAACGAGCACTGACACTCTTAGAGAACTGCACTGTCCTGACTGCAAATGCACTGCATGTGCACGGACCTGTGTGTGCTTCCGGGATGCACACCCACCATGCCACCTGGGGGCTTTATCCCCAGGCTGGTTCACACTTGTGATCCTCCCTCCTGCCTCAGCCTCCCGAGCAGCTGAGATTTCAGGTGTGCTCCCGGAACAGGCAGGGATGAAAATCACTTCAGAGCAGTGGGGAAAGAACCGCCCACCTGTTGAACTTGACCGCGAGGCCCAGGTCAGCAATGCAGCAGCTCCCATTCTTCTTGATGAGGATGTTCTTGCTCTTGAGGTCGCGATGCGCAATCGCAGGCTTCCCCTGGGTGCCGTAAATCTCTGTGTGCAGGTGGCACAGGCCGCAGGCAGCCGAGTAAGCCAGCTTGAGCAGGGCTCTGGTGTCCAGGGTGGCACACTTCAGGAAGTCGTAGAGAGACCCGTTCTCATGGTAATCAGTGATCAGGTAGAGCTGCGTCCAGGACCCCGTGCCTTTAATGTCTGCGGCTATGAACCCTGTGGGGACGGAGGAAGGGGCAGCTCTCAGTGAGGGGGCGGGTACACACAGCAGTAATTTCATTCTGCCTGGCAGAATCTCCTGACTAAACACTATTTCTACCACACACACGCTCGCATATACACACTTCTACCATAAACATGCATGCGCATGTGTACACACATATTGTACTTCTGCAACACACTTATAATACAATGCCATGACCAAGGAAAGGAGGACATATTCTGTAGTAACCCACATAACGTTTGCAACCTCACAAGCATCTAGTGGAAAACTGGACCAGAAGCGGTCAGGGAGCACTGTGTGGCTGCAACACTGACTGGGACCCCGCGGGGGCACAGCAGAGCCCGGCAGGCCCTGGTCCTGAGCCGTGCCCTGTAACGTGGCAGCGTGGACACAGGCCCCCCAGGCCGCCATCGAGCACAGCCGGAGCTGGACTCCTGGCCTGGCGGCTGAGAGCACTCTGGAAGGTCGGGTAGGGAAGTGGTGGTGGAAAGGAAAACTCCGACAACGGACCCACGCACGGCCCTGCCGCTGCCATCAATGGACCGACTCACCGCCGCTGCGGGCTAGGTGGGAAGGGTGCACACTAAACCCAGAGCACGAGGGGCGCCTGCTCAGGCGTGGCCTCATGAAAGGCCAACAGCCTGCGTGTGCAGGCTGGGCACGCGTGCAGCCGGGCTCTGGACAGCGCGGGGCCCGATGCTCCCGCCCGCCAGCCTGCTAGCCCGCCAGCCCGCAGGGCACCCACCGAGGATGTTCTCGTGGCGCATCAGCACCGTCTGGTAGATCTCCGTCTCTCGGAACCAGCTGGCCTCCTCCGTGGTGAAAAACACTTTGACAGCCACCTTCTCTCCGCGCCACTTCCCCATCCACACTTCTCCATAGCGGCCTTTCCCGACCTGTCTCACCATCTGAATCTGTTTGGCAATAGTTCGCTGGACCTTGACAGGACAAAATAGAACACTGTGGCCTCAATGAAAACCCAAAGCGCCCTTTCTGGCTGTCCTGGGAAGCCCCACTCCCCGCAGCCCCGCAAGCTGTTGATCTGCACACTCTGGCTCCACGCGGCTCACGCAGCCCCAGGAAGCCGGAGGCGGCTGTGGCGTCCAGCATGGCAGCTCGTACTGCTGGCTGCACCCCCTGCTCTTCCCTGCACCCCAGAGCTCCGTCCAGCCCCACCGGCCGCACCGCGTCCTCCTGTGCATCGCTGACACTGGCTACTTCACTCTCGTCTCCTCGCACCTGGGGCCAGGCATCACCAGGGAACACGAGGACGGACCTGAGACTGGCCTCTGGTGCTGCCCACATCAGTGCAGTAAGCACCACAGCGGCAGCGCTGTGTGGGGCAAGGGCCCGGCACTCGGGTGCAGCGCCCAGCACTTCGGGCCTGTGCAAGGCCCCGCACCACCACCTTTGGCAATCTTCTTTAATGGACTATCAAGGAATGACTTATATACATTCACCCTCTTTGAGGACAGTGCACCGCATGCTGGTAAACAGGGCCACTGGATCCCCCGCCCCGCATGTAATCATCATCATCTTTTTTTTTCCTTTTTGGAGACAAGGTGTCACTTTGCAGTTCAGGCTGCCCTTGACCTCACTTTGTAGCCCAGGCTGCTCTCAAACTCACAATCCTGCCTCAGCCTCCCAAGTGCTGGGATGACAGGTGTGAGTCACTGCACCCCCAGCACCGCATTTAAGATGCAGACCAATTCCATCCCCTGAGAAAGTCCCCACCCTCCCGGCCCGATCTCGGCCGCTACAGTCCTGTTCTTTTTGGAGAGTCACAGAAAGAGGCACGCGTGACACACAGCCTCTGTGTCTGGCTCCCAACCCAGAGCAGGAAGGGCTGGAGTGGCCTGTGCGGCTGCGGCAGGCATCAGGGGCTGGCCCGTCTCCTGAGAGACCTGCGCTGCTGCAGCCTGTGTCCTCTCGTTACCCACCTGCCAGCGGATGCACTGTGGGGCTGCTGCTGCTGTCCGTCTGGTTTTTTTGAGACAGGGTCTCACTCTGTAGCCCGGGCTAGCCTCAAACCCATGGCGATCCTCCTGCCTCGGCCTCCCGAGTGCTGCTGGGGTTACACGCGTGCACCGCCATGCCCGGCTCGGCCTGTTTCTAACCTATGTCTGTTATGCATGCCACTGCTGTGAGCACCGTTGGGTCTCTGTGTGGACTTGGTACTTGTTGGATAAATAGCAGAAGGACTGAGTCCCCTTACACAACTCATACAGGCTGGACAGAGTGACATGACTGCAAGCCAGCACTCTGGGAGGCTGTGGCAGGAGGGTGGTGAGTGCAGGCCCAGCCTGGGTGACTTAGCTCAAAACAAATACTAGAGAAGAGCTGGCAGTACAGCTCCCTGCCAAGGGCCTGGGGTCAATCCTCAGCGCCACAGAGAAAAGGCCCAGCTTTCCGGTCAGCTGGGTCTCACGGCACTCAGCCAGCCTTCAATGCCCTCATCTGTCTGCCGCCTCAGCCTCTGAACAGGGCCGCTCTCACCGCTGAGTGTGCGGTTCCCGACATGGCCCGCAGGCGAGTCCTTTATTAGATCTGTTCTGCCGTCCCAGCCGTTCCTTCACCCCCCTAAGTTCTTCTGTGCAGAACTGTAACTTTTGCTGACTGATGCGCATACTTTTTGTGCGCTAAGAAGCCTTTATGGGGCGGGGGGATTTTTTTAGCTCAGCGGCATAAGCACCTGCCTTGCAAGCAGGCAGTCGTGAGTTCGATCCCTGGTATCGATAAAAACGAGAAAGACAAAAAAAAAAAAAAAAAAGAAGAAGCCTTTACGCAACTCAAGGTCACAGGTGTTTTCTCCAGCATCTTCTTCCCACAGTTTAGAATCTAACCCTTCAATGCTAGTGATTCACTTCGGGAATGCCCATCACAATGGGACATAAGAAATCAGTACTTTCAAATTCTTGTTCTGTGACTTTTTCTAGGTAACGTACAGAAATTCCAGGCAAAAATTAAAATAGTGTCAGTCTTTGGGATAAATGGGCCCACATTTAGGTCAATTTCCCCATAAGCCAATTTTCTACAGCCGCGGGCTAAGGCGGAGAGCTGCCTTTTAACAAACGGACACCTGAGTCCCCCATGCTCCCACTCTCCCGGGAGGCAGTTACTTTGCTATCTCTGTTTACAAAGAAAAGTCTCGCACCCACAACCGCCTGTTCCTTCCCAGATTCTGTGCTGCTCCACCTTCTGCTAACGACAAGTCAAAAGCTCGCCTTATATTTTCCTATAAATCTTAGAATCGGTTTCTTCAAAATTTATTCGTATGAAAACGAAACTGCCAGGTGTGTGGCACACGCCTGTAATCTTAGCACTTAGGAGGCTGAGGCAGGAGGATCATTGTGAGTTCAAGGCCAGTTTGGGCTCCATAGTGAATTCAAAGCAGTCTGAACTAGAAAGCCTTACCCTGTTTCAAACAACAAACAAACAAAAAGAAACCACAAGCAAACTTGAGGTAAACTAAAGACCGTGTAATACAGGGTCCCCTGAGTCATAAACAGGATACGCGTCATTATTTGCTTACGATTTTATTAACACTATTTTGTAATTCCCAAGCTGGGGAGGTGGCTCAGCAGCATAGGCAGGCCTGGCAAGCAAAAAGTGCGGAGTCTGATTCCCGGGACCCCATCCACAAAAATATATGTAATTTCCAATGTGCAGATTTTACGTACATTTCTTAATCCTATTCTTAAATATTTCTTGCTTTTGACGCCATTTAAAATGGTACCACTAGACTTCTCAAAACCTAGAACTGGAGGTGCCATTCGACCCAGGTATGCCCCATCTTTCCAAAAGAATTAAAAGCATCACACCACAGCGATCTACGTGCATCCATGCTTATAACACCACAGTTTGTAATAGCCAGATCTTGGAAACAACCCAAATGCCCATCAACTGAGAAATGTATAAAAAAAAGATGTGGCATTTTTATACAATGGAGTACTACTCAATCATAAAGAAGGATAAACTGGAGACTTTTATAGGTAAATGGATGCAACTTGAGACCATGCTCATTAGTGAAATAAGGCACACATGTGTAAAAAGATGAACATGCTATCACGTTGTGAATTTCTAACCGTCTTCTGCTAGTGTATATCCACCCAACATTACATGTGACGACTTTACTCCGCAGCCTGACACACTCACCCACTGCCTGCATCCGTTTACACCACGCTTGGGATTTCCTGAGGGTCTACTCTGGGTGGCAGATATTCACTTTTAATGAAGTCCATTAAAAATCAATGGGGTACGAGTCCTTCCCAGAGCCCACCTCCACACCCAGGAGCCTGTGAGATCAGTAACCCTCTACATCCCCAAAATTACACTTCCTTCAGCCACCCAACTGAATCTACAAATGCAGAGAGGTTCTTACGCTGGACCCCTCCTGCTGTCTATCCAAAGGCTGACGGCAAACCTGGGGGCTAATTCTTGCACTCATCTAAGACTCTCTGACCTAACCTTCTCCCCAACCCCGCTTCTGGAGGCGGGCTTTTGCCACACAGCGCGGGCTGGCCCTGAATGCGGCAATCCTGCCTCAGCCTCCCGAGAGCTGGGATTCCAGGCGCGCGCCTCACCACACCGGCCTGAGCTAGTCTTCTTGCCCTCTGACATCACATGTCTTTCTTTCGTTGGAGTCTGTTACTGACCTGTTCTACTTTTCCTGGCTCATGCTTTTTCTTTTTGTCTTTCTTGTTTTGAGATAGGGTCTTGCTAAGTGGCTGAGGAGCCCAGCCTGGCTCACCATTCTCCTGCCCAGCTAAGAGTCCTGGGGTCACAGGCCTGCGCTACTGTACCCAGCGGTAAACTTCTAACTTTATGTCACCTTGCATTCGGGATGCACCTTCTCGGCACGGCACGGAGAAAAAGGGGGCCTGGCACATGTGCAGGGCCGCCCGCCCCCCCAGAGGCGCCACTCACCAGCAAGGGCAGTCCGGACCCACTGCCGGAGCTCTGCGACTGGTCAATGAGGTCTTTCAGAGACTCTCCCACCGGAATAAACGCCTCGTCCTGTTCCAAGTCGCGATTGTAGCGGCGTCTGTTTGAGATGCTCTTGCAGTAGTGTCTTTTAAAAAGCAGAAAGCAATGTATCTTAACGTTCCGCAACCGTAAAATCCTGGGCTTCCCACACCATCGTCCACCCTCTGGATGCCGCCGTACACCGAGCAGTCTCAAGACCGACAACACCCTGGTTATCCCTCAGGAAGGGACTCATGCCTCGGCCGAAGGGAGAGGCTCGGGGGGCCTGACAGTTAAACACAGATCAAGTGGCATGGAAGGTGTCCTCCAGGCTGTGACACGGTTTTCCTCAGTCTTACAGTATGAACCATCAGAAAGGCACACAGCACAGCACACCCATTTCTGCTGTGGAGGTTTTCATCTGTTTACAGCTGCAGTCTGGGGACATGAATAACGAACGCACCTGAACACACCTACATTTTGAGAAGGAGTACTGCAGAAACACTCCGCAGCACAGGGTACCCGTATTTTTGACCTGCAGCCTGTCATCTGGCTGTTTGTGGTGGTTTTTGTCACACAGCAGTTTTGTGTTGGTGGTGCTGGGGACTGAACCTCAAGTCCTTTAAAACGTTTTATTTTGTGACAGGCTGGCTTGAACTCGCAACCCTCTTGCTTCAGCTTCCCAGAGTGCTAGAAGTACAGTGTACACCGTCGTACCTGTACATAGCAGAGTTTTATTTTTATTAGCTAATGTTGTTTTATCTATTTATCTATCCATCTACCCCATCTGCCTCTCTACTGTATTTATCTGCTTCCAAGTTTTGTTCCTTTCTCTCTCGCACTGGGAATCAGTGCCAGGGTTAAGGTGCCACCGAGCTACCTTCCTGGCTGCTTCCAAGTTTTGTGTCAGCCTCAAAAAGTCTTCCAACCTCTGAGATTCATTTTATTATATACATGCATAATCTGACCTGACTCAAATTTATTTCAGGGCAAGAACTGTTCCAACCCCATTCCCCATTTATCAGTGGCAAGTCTCAAATCCATTTATTGAACAACACATCTTTCTCCTCAGTGATCTGGAGAAACCTACTTTGCATTTTGTTTGACTTTTTGAGACAGAGTTGCACTGTGCAGTTCAGGCTGGCCTTGAACTTGCTTTGTAGCCCAGGCTGGTCTCAGACTCCCAAGGATCCTCCTGCCTCAGCCTCCTGAGCGCTGGGATTATAGGTGTGAGCCAGCAGGCCTGGCTCTCCTCAGTGATCTGCAACGTAACCTTTGTAATACACTAATCTTGCTTGTCTATTTCGCTGACATCGCTTCGTTATCCCATTATGACAATGTTTTATTAATGGAGTTGTTTTGGGCTGGGCCTGTCTCACCTACTGCTCTTCTTTCTGGCAACTGTCTTCTAAGCTCACTAAGTACACACAATTCTTTTCTTTTTTTTATTTGGTCTTTTTCCTTTTTATCGGTACCAGGGAACGAACTCACGACTGCCTGCTTGCCAGGCAGGCGCTTATGCCGCTGAGCTAAACCCCCAGCCCAGTACACACAATTCTGAAGCTGTTAGTTACTAAAGAGTATCAGGCAACTGGTTTCTAGGGGTAGGGTATAAAAATTCAGACAGAACAAAACTATTTCACAACAAAATTGCGAATGTGCAGGAATATATAAGTATAAAATTGTGTCCAATTAATTAATTGGCAGTAAGATCTTTTCTCCTCTTAAGAAAACTAGTCTAGTTAACTGAAGGAGAATCCAAACTTAACAGTTTCTGAATCACCTACAGCAATCAGTGGTTCTGCAATAGTTTTAAAATAAGCATCAATATAATTAAAAAGTATTCTACATAATTAGAAAGTATTCTGCATCAAACCAAACCAAGTATCTTCTTACTTGTAACAGAAGCAGCTGGAGAAGATGATCATAGCGATTATGCAGATGGCCATGGAGATGAGCACGGCCAACCACCGAGCGCTGCCATCAAAAAATGGACCTGCCACACAGACAGAGGCAGAGAGTGAGTGAGCAGCCCTGGCCGCCACCTCTGTCAGAGGGCGCCGCACCACAGCTCAAGCCACAGGCACATGACCTACCTATGACGACAGGAGGAAGTGTCGGCTGCAAATACTGGTTACACAGATTGGTCCGACAACATTCTATGGTCCGGCGAGGCTGGGCTTTTGGAGAATCCTGGAACGGTGGTAAAATTGGAAAGGTTTGATATATTAACTGATAAGGAACTTTTAAAGTACTGCTAAAATACAACTTCTAATTCACTGAGTGAAAAGCATCTGTGAATTTTCAAAAATAATTGAAAAATTAAAATTTTGTACTTAACTACTGTTGCAAAGACTGTTAAAATAGGTTTCCTTTAAAAAATTGTAAAAGCAGTGTCCCCCTATGAAAACACCAGACAATAATTTACAAATAAAAATTTTTTATTGTTTTTCATTCTAAATGTTGGTGTGTCTTAATCAATTACCATATGGATTGTTTTTAGTACAAAAGTGACTAAAGTCATGGTGGCTTCTCCTAGAAAAGGCGGGTAGTAGGTTTTACTACAGTGATAAATTAGTATGAAAGGTCTAACCACACACGAGCAGCTATGACTCGGATGAGGTTTACAGTCAAACCAAGCAGTGGAAGAAGACCTAATCCAAGAGCAAGACTGGTGGAGAGGTAACCGAGGTCGGAGCAGACACACCAATCACAATGAAACTCAGGGAGCTGGCGTGGAGTCAGGTGAAGCACACGTGAGAGACGGGTGAACGCAGCAGTACTACTTCTCAGAGTCTGGCAGAGACCACCCACCCACCCACCCACCAGGAGAGGGAACTGGCCCGTCTCAGAAGGGAATCGAGGATTCCCTGTGGTGGGTGCCAGCGTGAGCAGCTGGGTGCTGACGGTTCAGTGCCGCCCGGGAGAGCCATCCTGGACCCAATGCTCACTGAAGGAAACTGTCATTTTCACAAGAGTAGCAGGAACACAAAGAGAAGTCTACCACGCTGCCTCATGCGTCGGATGGCCAGACAGGGCAAGCATCGTTCTGCTCGGGTCTGTCTTCACAGAGGCGGACCCACGTCCGTGACTGAGATTCCACCTGGTGTGATGGTCAGGAGCACCCTGATCTCTCTAAAAGGTGAGTTTTTTAAACTGAGTAGTTTTACTGTTTAAACAAGGCTTTCTCTGTGCTCAGACAGAGAAAACTGGTAGGTGAGGGTTACACTGTAGACGCTGCAATGGCCACGGTCCACAGACTGTGTGGAGGACGGGATGAGGGACACAAGTGTCCGCTACCAAGGGGCAGTTCCAGGACGGCTGCCGTGGCAAAGTGCGACCGGAAACCAGGCAATGGCTTCTCCACCAGTGCAGGGAAAAGACTAACCAGGGTGCGGGAGACAAGGACATGCGGTCCCTCAACTCCCAGGAATGGAGAGCTGGGACCCCGCGGGAACCGAAGAGTCTCACGACGCCCTCTGTACTGTACAGAGCGCGCTTTCCAATCTGGTGAGTCTTATCCCTGGAAGACCAGAACTCTTGCTAGTGAGAGCGCTGAAAGACAGCGATGACGCTGGTTTCGGAAGCCAGGAGTGCCGTGAAGCAGAGCTGAAGTCCTGTTTCCTCACTTGGCAGGGGACTGACGTGGCGCAGCGTCCTGGGAGGAGCAAGGGCTTCGGAACCTCTGGATCCAGCTCCACCAGTTGCTCCCTTCTGACCTTGGGGATCTACCTCTTTCTGGGCTTTGGTTTCCTCTGCTGAAAAGTGCAGGACACAAACTACCTGCCCCCTCACCCAAGATCCTGGGTTCTATCCCCCCCCCCCAGTACTGGGGCGGGCAGTAACTGCAAGCAAGGACACAGCTACCTACCAAATACTCAGCACCAGAAAATGCAAACAGTAAGTGTCTGCCTCCCTCTGGTGAGCTTGATGTAAATCCTAGATAAGATCCTGTGCACAACAGATACTGTCAAATGGAAGAACCCGTTCAGAAGGACAGAGAAACTAGGATGGGGGAAGGAGAAGAAAAGAAAAAATACATCCACAAGATCCTTCAGACAGTTACATCATCAGTTTCTCTTAGTGTATTGGAAAGAAAGGCTGTGCTAATACTGTTTGAACAATTAAATGCCTGTATTTAGCACTCTGAGTAACTAATTCAAAGATAACAATACACGAGGTATGGATCGTTGTTATCCTATTATCTTGTTTTGAAAATTTTTTTTTCCTCTTAAAAAAAAAACATTCTAGAATAACCCAGAGGGCAGGGCAGCCCCAGGAGAAACAGCAGACTCCTCGCTCATCTGTCTGTCTGTCTGTCCTACACAGGCTGCCCACAGACGCAGCGGGTAGAAGCAGTACCAGTTCTCTACCTCCCCACTGGGGCTGCTCCTGGGCCTTTAATCAGCACTGTGCATTAAACCCTCTCGAATGCAAGCCAAGGGCTGCTGCGGCTGCAGCCTGGCCACGGCTGTCCAGATGATGGCACTGGAGGCACACGTTGTTCTGTCCACACGCCCTCCACTCACTGCCCTTGTCCTCTGCAAGTCAACTTGCAGCTCCTGACTTAGGGGAATAAAAATCCTTGTAGGGAAAAGGTCCACTTGGCGCTGGTGAAGTGGAAGATTCCTTTCTGCGCGCCTGGGCTGGAGGCTGCACACTGAGAGGGAACAGAAGCCAAGCAGCAGGAGGCACCACAGCACAGCAGGTCCAGGGCCAGGCTGACCCCAGCGTCTGGGCTGCCCCACACCTGGCAGCTGTGCAGTAGGAGCAGGGGCTGCAGGACACGCAGAAGGCTGGGCTGGGCCCGCACTGGCCAGAGGCTATCATGTGGACACTCCTCAAAGACACTGTAAAACAACACTGTAGCATCTTAAGGCTGACATCTAGAATTGTTTACCATGAATTTAAGTAACTACACAGAGTGTATTAATTTCTGGCTTACCTCACACACTGCCACTTTAAAACATAACTGTTACCTCATCCTTTAATCTACTCAGTGGAGTCTCAATAGGACTCCATTTGATAGTCATTGTCAGCATTTAAAAAAATGAAGACTGCTTCTTGTAATCACTGAGAATTTCATACTGGAGCTATTTCCGTGCAGTGTTTCTGACAGTATTATGCTTGAATCATGTAATATATTAATATGCAATTCTCTACATCAAAATATGTATGCTTAGATTGTATCCTGTTTTGTTTTTTTTTTTTTTTTTTTTGGTACCAGGCATCAAACTCACGACCTCAAGCTTGCCAGGCAGGCGCTTGTGCCACTGAGCTAAATCCCCAGCCCCCTATTTTTGTATCTTAAAAAAAATGTCTAGTTTAACACTGCAGTTACTATCAGTATAAAACCAACTGAAATAGGATGCATTAACATCTTTATTAAGATATTAACAATTTTATTAGCAAAGACATTTCTTAGATGGATGGGTCTTTCAAAAGACTAGTTCATAAATCTGAGGCTAAACATTACTCAACACTAATGCAGACCTGAAGCAACTTTATTTCCACTGTTCTTTCTCTTTTAAACAGCACTACACCCTTCGTCCACATAAACAGACGATCACAGCAGCAATCTGCCACCCCAGAGCATGTGCTAGAACTCCCAGGGCAAACAGCACCAAAAATTATCCTCCACGATCTAGCAAAGTAGCCAAAGGCAAAACCCTGGACACCACCTGCCAGGGAAATGCAGCTGGCACCCGCGCCTGCCCTGCGGGGAGACCTGCGCTTGGAATGCCAGCACTGTATGGAATCCGCTTCTACACTCGGGCTGAGCCGCATTCACTGGAGGAGAGAGGACTGCGTGCAGAGGAGGAGGAGAAGGGAGAAGGCTTCGACAGCATAGCTATGTCCTCAGGCAGGACGGTGAAGGGACAGCACCTGACACACCCCGGATTTGTCAAGGGACCCCCTCAGAACTATCCCTGAGCTGCCAGACAACACAACGCCAACAGCCAACACCAATTTTGCCATCACGTACCAAGTGTGTGAAACCCTTCACCTCTCGGTACCCTGCCTGACCCTCAGCAATTCCTTTGCAGTCCCGTGCTTCAAGTCACCGAGCTGAAGAGAGGGCGTTAGACCGAGAGTGTGGACACAGACGGTGGAACTTAGCAGCAAAGTCACACTGCGGTGAACTCGGTTTGGGACAGACCTAGTTGAGAGCCTGCAGGGCACCTGACATCTCCACCCTTGGGCCCTCCTCTCACTGTTCAAAGTGGCTTATGGGTAATACACTAACAGCGTAGAGCCAGAAGCTGCGACTCAATCAGCATTGCCCCGACGCTGACAAGTGAGAAGGAAGGGTTAATTCCCACAGGACGAAATGTACCATGGACACATACAGGAAGCTACACAGAAAAACTCTCCGTGTCCTTTCTTATCAATGTCCAGAGCCAGCACCCTCCTCCACACAGTGGCGGGGCCGTGGCTCAGTGGCCTGCACGAAAGGGACCAGAGTACCCGGGAGCGTGGTGCGACCACTGAAGCTCTGACGTGACACCCACGGAGCAGCCGCAGTGACCACCCCTGGGAGGGCCACACGGAGCAGCCAAAGTCCCCGGGAGCTGCTATTTTTTCCTGGGCTGGGATAGAGGGTGTGGAGAGGGGAAAGGGTGCAAACGCTTTTTCTCAGGGCGAAGGAGGAAGGAGAGCCGCCTCCGAGGCCCAGGGAGTCCGACAGGAAGGGGTCTGCGGTCCCGCTGAGCGTTTGAAGCACAACACCGAGGTCTCAAGCAGACCCATGGAAGCTGAATAATGTAATTTCTGGCACAGCAGAGGCTTAGGAATGCGTCTAGAGAGTTCTATCCGGAGCTGTTTTTACACACACGAAGACTGTCCAGAACTCTGATGCAAGCACATTTGAGACCACAGCTGGCAGGATATCCCCAGCTACCACCGACCCTTAGCACCCCTCGGGCACTGCTTTTAGGATGACTCCACTGACACAAGGGCGTCCTACATCCAGCCCTGGCTGCCTATCCCCCTGAAGTCCTTCTCAGTGCCCTCGATGGCCACATCATCGCTCTGCAGGCAGCACAGCCTAGCAGGACTTGGGACCTGGCACTCCAACAAGCACAGCCCTGTCAACCACCAAGGTATGCGCCCCCAGGACTCCTGCTTCTCCAGGGGGCCACACTGCGCACGTGGACCCCAAGTCAGAGCTCACCTTGCACTGGAAGTCAGACCCTTCGTATTTCATACACCCTGAAGCTAGAGTGGTTTCTCCTTGGTCATCTTCTTCTATGATGGCGAAGCAATGTCCATTCGTTCTAACAGGAAAAAGCAACAAGGTGACCTCACATCAGACAGTACCAACAAGCAGGGAATAGCACACAGGGCCACACAGAAACATGCTGAACACCACACTATCAAGTAGGAAGAGTAAAATAGTCATATAAATCAGACACGGACTGGAAATTCAGGGAAAGAAAGCAACAGTTAATTATCCCAGCATTTTTTATGTTTCAACCAATTAAGAAGCAGGAGTTGTGGGTGAATTTTTTGACTTCTTTATGGTAATTTACTTAAGAAAAAGTGTTCTACAATGAGCATCATTAACATTATAATAAAAAGTGCACCAAGTGCAGAATGTTAGAAAAATCTAATTTCCTTCAAAAGGCCATGCTACAATGTAACACTAATAAAATAACCCTGAATCGCTTCATAGTAGCAATGTTCCTATATTTAAAAGGGAAGCCTTGGCTTTCTGGAAAGACTCGGTCTGGAAAGACTCCGCACACACGGGGAAACACAGCCAGTTCTAAGGGTTCTCACAGTAGTGCTGCGGCCGGATACTCACATGCACGTGTTGTTGATGGCATCATCCGGGCAGTGTCCTGAGCAGTAGCACTTTAGAAACGGCAAGGTGTCCTCCGGCGCTACGGTCACTCCGCTCTCCACCGTCTTCTTGGGGTCGGAGTCTGACCTCACCCCGGCACCGTGGAGCATGCTGTCTAGATTCTGCCCTGTGTCCAAGAACGGAAGGTGTCAACAGCCTTTCTGGGGCTGATCATTCATGAGTCCCAATGGGGAAAGTTTCTAACTCATGACAGTAACTGAAGCTAATACACCTTCTTTAAGAATCTTCCATTCCTAAACTAACATTAGTTAGAAACTTGCACAGAGTCTCCACACCAATCACTGTGGGCTGTATGGAGACGGCCACCTCACAAGTCTACACTAGCGGAAGACAAGACCCACAGTCAGTCCGTGACAGCTTGTAAGGAAGGCTGAGATCACTTCCGATCACCAAATTCAGGATTTCTTTCTCTCTTTCAAAACTTTTTTAAAGTTTTTTGAGACAAGGTCTTGCTGATCAGTCCAAGCTGGTCTTGAACTCATGGCCATCCTCCTGCCTCAGCCTCTCAAGTGCCACAATGCCCAGCTCAAAACTTTTGACTGCGTTTTCCTTTCCTTTTCTTTTCCAAGGTTCTTGATCTGTGCCGGCCTGCAAATGGTGATGCTAAGCCCCTCGCCACGGCCGCCAGCTGCCTAAGGAAAGCAGCAGTGAGCGTCCCAGCCTGCCATGTTCTCTAGAGCCTTTCTAAACCATCAGGGTCACTGGTTCAAATCCAGATTACGCTGCAGGACACTGAAGGCTGCGGGAGGCTAACAGCTGTTTGACGGGAACACAGCGGGGTTCCTGCCCGGTCCAGACGCCATGGACGCTATCACGACAGGACGCTGGGTCGTGCGGGGCTAGCAGCAGGAGTGACTAATCCAGCCCTGCAGGGGCTTAGCATCACCATTCCGTCCACATCACGTCGGCCCTTACCACCCGTGTCAGGATAACTGCTGAAACGTACCAGCAAAGCTCCTGCTAACTCTCGCAGCGGCCAGCAAACACAAGTCCTCTTCTATTGTAAAAGTTGGGGAACGGTGGTAGGATAGGGGTGGAGAAACCCCACCGGGCCCAGCCCTGCTCAGCTAGCTGGGGGATGCTCTGCAGCCCAGCCACGGCTCCAGCCCCATGACTCCAGAGACTGCGGGACTGACGGCTGAGGCCTCTTCACCAGCTTTAAAATACTACTTCAAGTCAGGCATGGAGTGCACACCTGCACTCCCAGTACCAGGAGGGTGAAGCAGGAAGATCGCCAGGAGTTCAAGGCCAGCCTGCGCCACACAGTGAGGTCCAGGCCAGCCCAGCCACACAGTAAAACCATATTTAGGAAGAAAACCAGCAACCAGACGAACAAATCCTTAGTGTCCTATTTATTAAGAGAGGGACAGATAGAGATAGAGACAGACATAGAGAGAAAGACAGAGATAGAGATAGAGACAGAGACAGAGATAGAGATAGAGAGAAGAGAGAATCAAATGGACACACACCAGGCCACTTTGTGAGGCCAAGGCACAAGGGTACCAATTCAAGTAAAGCTGGGCAGCTTAGCAAGGCCCTGTCTCTAAGTAAAGACCACAGAGGACAGGGAAGACGCAGCTCAGTGTGAAGGCCCTGCATTCAAGTCCTAGAGTCACCCAAAGAACCAGTGTCAGTAGCACCTAATTCACTTAAAGAGGTCACGCATATAAATGAACTGACAGTGTGCCCCAGTATAATCAGGTGTAGAAGTGAAGACAACGTAATAACAAATTACAACACGGAGGAATCCGGGAAGTCCCAGAATACCTCCGGAAGTCAGGAGGTAAAACCCAGAAGCATCATTTGCATCTCGGGGCTTACGATGTTACCTCAAGCACTTACTCAGCAGAACATTAACCGGGACCACCTATGAGCCATCAAGGTACTAAACACTGAAAATACAAAGACATATTTTAAAATGATCTGCTTCGTAAGAAATTCAGTTAGAAACAAATACTAATCAACACAGTGTAAAGATGCGAGCATACAAAGGTATGGGGGTGGAACAGGACCTGCGCCCCAAGGCAGACGCTGGCCGTGTCCGCCAGGCCAGTGACCAACGTGCTCTGCCACCTCCCCTGCTGGTGCTTCCTCCATGTCTCCCTCCATCCGTGACTTAGTCTTTTTTTCAAACAGAAAAAAATAATAAGTAACAGTAAAAGAGAGTCTCAAAACAGGCTGGTGGAGACTAACGATAATCATAACACTGCATATTGTTAAACTCACAGGAGCGTTCAGCATACCAGATGCAGGCATGAATCATGGTCCAGGAAATTACTGGCATAAAGCTTTCTCAATGAACCTGAGAAACCAGCTGGGAACTATCTTAAACGTCTTATGTTTATATGTTTTTTCTTCTCCCTGCCTTTCCCCTTTTTCCCATCAGTTTTTCTTTCCTTTTGAAGAATTGCTTCCCATTTCACAGTATCTATTATACATTTTGAACCTTGTTTACTCTGTCAGATTCTCACACTAGGGAGACAATGTAATGTTTACACATGAGTCAGATTTATTTCACTTACAAGTATGTTTTCAAGTTGCATCCATTTACCTATAAAAGTCTCAACTTTTATCTTTTTTATAACTGAATAGTATTCCATCATAAAACCTCACATCTGTTTAAGCATTCCTCAGTTGATGGGCCTCTGGGTTGTTTCCAAGATTTAGCTACCACAAATAGTGCTGCTATAAATATGGGTGCATACATAGCCATTACTTAATCTTACCTTAAACAGAACCCCTGTCTTGTTTTAAACTTGGTGTCAAAAAATAAAACAAAATAAACTTGGTCTCTCTCAAGTCTCCCAAGTGCATCTGAATTGTCCTGTCTTTCTCCAAACCTAAGCTACCCCTAGGCCCATCACCTGGCGTTCCCACCAGCACAGGCCCCTCTCAGGCATCTCCATCCCTTTCCAGCCCTGTGTTTCCAGCCTGCACGTGGCCAGAATGAAAACACATGGCTGAGCTGCCCGTTCCTGCCTAAACCAACCAATGGCTTTGTGCACGCTCCAAGGAGGACTCTACCTGGCTCCACCCTGCGGGGCCAGCATGGAGGCAGCTGCACTCCAGCTTCCCGAATGCCCACAGATCCTGGGTGCCAGAGGGCACAGCAGTCCTGAGGTCTCGGCAGCTGGGCACTTGGGTCGTATTTCAACACCAAACAAAACGTAAAAGCTCATAGCCCAAGTGTGAGCCTCGGGGGGACGACAGGGACAGACACAGACGTGCTGCGCATCTCTGTCGGCAGCCACAGGCTTGGGCATCCATGAGTTACCAGCTCTTTGTTTCTGGACATCCTGTTTTCCCAGTAACTTGGGAGTTCTGTGGACAGCAGAGAACCTCCCTGCCCCAGCTGTAAGTGGAACACACGATGGGACTCGGGGGCAAAGGCCGGAGAGCCGGAGGCCCTATGTGACACAAAGGTGGTACACGAATGCTCTGCCACACTGATCAGACACCAGAGAGAGCTCAGGAGGACTAAGGGAGAAGAAGAAAGCAGGAAAGTGACTGGGGGTGAGGGCCGTATCCAGCTGGCTCCCACCAGGTCCACGTGGCTATGTACATTCGGGTGAGTCAAATGGGATGGAACTGTAACTCAGCTTCTCACTCCCAGTGCCGGAAGTGCTGGACAGACAGGCACAGCTGCAGCTCTCCTAGCAGATGGCACGACGGAGGACCAGTGCCGCTGCTCGGGCCACATGCAGCTCTGCCAGCCAGCGCTGCACAAGCCAGTGTGGCTGCGTCCCAACAAAGGCACTACGGATGGCGCAATCTGAGTTTCACAGACCGTCACACACCAAGACATAGACTCCCCCGTGTCCTGCACTCATGCAAACAGAACACTCATTTTCACTCACGGCTGGAACAAAAGCAAGCAACACGCTGCCCTGCGCCACGGGCTGCAGAATGCCACACCAAAACCACTGCCAGAGGACCTTCTCCCACACCACGCTGGTCTGGGGGAGGCGAATTAAAGGAGAAACAGGTGACTTAGTGGCAGAGTCAGGAAGCACAGTAACAGGTCTCCAACGTCTGACAGAGAGGCACAATCGATGACTGCGCCTCTCGCTACACTCCTGGACGGCAGGATACAGACCGCAGAAGGGAGTTACAGTGCGATCTACTTCAGTGCCTTCAGTAAGTGCGCACCGACTAAAACGGGTTCTGAACCACTCACCAGCAGGACGGGACTCCACACCCCCTACTGCACACCCTGCTCCTGGGTGACCAAAACAAGCTTGAGAAACAGACGCTAAAGCCGCACACTAAAAGCTTCCAGATCCTCGGCTTCCTGCTTCATGGCGTTATGGTGAGAACACGAGGCTCTGAGGTATGGCATCCTTACTTCAAACATTCCAAAACAACTCATGATGCTGGAGGACGGTAACAGTGTGCATGAGGACACAGGTCTGGGCCTGAGTCGGCGATGTCAAAGACGACTGACAAGGTCACGGGGTTTCATTGCATCCTTCTCTTTTCCTCGGGGATGTGCTTGAAATAAGTCCTTTTCTTCTGTAAAAGTTTTTTTTTTTTTTTTTGGTCTTTTTCATTTTTATTGGTACCAAGGATCGAACTCATGACTCCCTGTTTGCAAGGCAGGTGCTTATGCCACTGAGCTAAATCCCCAGGCCCCGGTAAGGAGTTTTTTAAAATACCAAGTAAAGCATGGATGCCTTCTTGTCACAAAAAAACGAAACCACACATGAAAAGCAACGATGTTGGGGACGCACGCTGCTGCTAACCCTTCTCCTGTGCACTTGCCTGTCAGGATGACAGGTGACATATTCTCTCGGGTCCACACATCACAGCTGCTGTCTCCAAGGCCCTCCTCTTAGGTGCAGGGCTTTGTTGTTTTTTGTTTCTTTGTTTTGTTTTTGTTTTGAGGCAGGGTCTTGCTATGTGTTTTAGGCTGGCTTCAAACTCACTACACAGCCCAAGCTGGCCTTGAACTCACAGTGATCTTCCTGTCTCAGCTCCCAAGTGCTGGGACTTGAACCCTGAACAGGCCCTCCAACCTCAGTTCCAGATCTCTTCTGATCTCTGAGTTTCCTCTTCTCCTTGAAGAAAAAGAGTTGTCTGTCCTATCGTACCTGCCAGCGCGGACTT